ACAATATACTTATGATCTCGATAAAAGTACCCAAAATCAACTAGCAAGAGATTAACAATCTCGTGAATTGCTCAAACAATCCCATTACAAGAATGATAATGAATTGATAATAAGTGGTGACACCATATCGTAAAAAAAAATAAAAAAATCAGAATATGTCAATGTAATTTATCAAATCATAGGGTTGGAGACTCGTAAGTTTTTCCTTGAAAATAAGACATTGAGTTGGACTTTGATAAGCGGATAGACAAAGTCATACAAGAAGAAGGAAAAATAGGTACACCATAACTTACATTATGTGTTTAATTAGGTATCTTACCACTTATCGGTTTTTTTTGGGTGTTTACATATTTTGGTACCAAAAAATAAAATTATTCTTCGTGAATATTCTAATTTATGCGTGAAACGAGGTTTGCATCTTTGACCGGATAAGAAAAGAGATTAATTGAGATTTGCATAAATTTGTTCGAACATTCTTGATCGTTGAAAGAAAAAAAAAAAAAAAAATTTTGGTACCCTAGTATTTATACAGATACGTACAGTGTTTGTTAGAAAGATTAAGCCAAAATCTGGCACCAGAGTTTGAAGATTTTGTTTGATAATGTTAACAATCTGGCTATTTTGCCAAGTGGGAGAGAATGACGCATACAAAGAAGTGCATTATCATTAACGGCTAAAAACACAGTTCGCATTCATGTCACGTGCCACATAATCGAGGTTATGCTTCAATGATTATCGTCTCCTCCGTTGTTCATCTTTAAGATTATAATTTCAAATTTCATCGTTTTTTTTGTGGAGTTTATTTTGTGAAATTTTTTTTAAGACTTAATCCATAGAGCAGAGACTTGGGTCAATAGGCCCAAGCCGTAGCAACATTCATGGACATGCCTCGTTGCCTTTAGAAAAAAAATTTTGGTCGATTTTCTAACCCTGTACGCAACACATATATAAATTGTTAGTCAGTGATTATGGTTTTGGATTCTGTACGGTCATCGCCTTTTCTATATTCTTTCTTGAGAATAGTGAGATTCTTATAACTTCGTGAACGTAGGCAAATTACTGAATTATGTAAATTTTGTATTGTACGATTGTTTGAATTGTATTTTTATTGTTCTTTTTTATTAATTTCACTTTATTATCGTCGTTTATTTTCACAACCGTTTTTATCTAAAAAAATATATAAAGCATAATTATATGCACTTTTCAATCATATTATTTATATATAGATATTTTTTATTGTACAGCTTTTTGTTAATTCTTTTTCCCTTGATGGACCCAGTCAAAAAGATGGGTTTTGACCAAGTCACCGTCTTTAGCTAGTATCCCGTTACAATGCTGTCACCAAACATGTAAGTATTTTAGGAACCCAGAACCTGAGTCACGGTCGAACCGGATTAAGTGGCATGCTAGCTAAAGCGGTTCAACCGTACAGATCCAATACAGTATCTTCATTTGTCATCGATACGATATTTGGGAAGTGTCAAATGTATCTAATTTATACGTTACAGAAAGAAGTTATTTTTTCGATCTCTATTGTGTATGTAGATCATGAACAATAGTTAAATGCAAGTCGTAATAACTTGACGCAGGCAAAAGACTTTTTTAATCCCGAAATTTAAGTAAGTTTGACTTTAATTGTGATTGATTTGAAAAAGAAAAAATTATCACATTTTTTCGGGTTCGCACTACATATTGGACCCACTATATGTAATTGAATCCCTTTGCGAATACACAGTGAATTATTCATGGTTATTCATCCTTTTTAATTGCCACCGACTAGATTTAAAGGTCCAAGCAATCAATCCCTGATTGATTTTTTTTTTTTTTTTGTTTGAAATACAATCAAGAAAAAACCACTATAGCCCAGAGAAACAAATGAAAAGCAGCAGTTTTGTACACCTTTGGTAGAATAAGTGGGAGTAACATCAACAAACAGTAGGTCTTAAAGGTGACAAAATTATGAAGTCAAGTCCAGTGGAGCCAAATCTTTGAGAAGAGAGGGAGATAGAGAGAGACTACTGGAGAGATTCCATCACTGTCCTTCTATATTTATCAAGGAAATTAAAGTATGGCATTGGGATTTCCAGGTAAAAAAGTAGAGAAAGAAAAAGAAAAATAAGAACCTCCAAATTCCAAAGACTCGTTTGAAAACTGATCTTCTGGTCAATGGGACCACTCCTTGGACTAAACCCACCACTAAACAGTTTCAAGAGGTCTAGGATTGGTCACAAGGCATGTCAATGGATCGGGTTTCCATCAGATTCTGGGTAGTTCAATTTGAATCTGAATTCGATAATCCGACGGAAAAATCCTACCCAAGTGATGTGGGATGTGATAAATTGCTCTAACTTTCTCGTGGAAACAAAAGAACAATCTATGGTTGAGGAATATAAACATTGAGATAATCACCACATAATATGTTCATGTTTGACTTTAGAAACAAAAGAACAAGAGTAATGTTATCCTTACCAAAATGCTTGTTGCTGTTACATGTGTGGAATCTGAAATTTGAGACTTGAATTTGATATGTGGACTATGGATAAGGTATGTCCAATGAGAAATTGGTAAAGGGTTTTGATAAGAATAGCATAATTGTGAAGTCATAGAACCCTAAACCTACAATTCAATTATGTCTCCAATCAAATAATGTATAAGAGGAAAGATAGCCAACAGATGCGAAAGGAAAACTTAAATAAGATCCCATATGCATTATCATCATCACCAAGGACAAAATTTACTTGATTGCTCTACAATGCAGCAACCTAAGTGTCAACAAGTTCATGATCATGACAACAAACAGTAATGGTGGTTACAAGAGGTCCTTGCAATTTGTCAATAACAAAACAATACCAACTGTTCAAGCTTGGGAAAAACTTCTTAAGTGAACAAACTTCATTGCCAAACTCGAATAAAATGGTGATGTTGGTGGCACGGCATCGATTTAGGCAATTACGCAACTGCAACAAGAAGTATGCCGATGCAGTTTTTCCAGCTCTTGCCTTCAGCGGCTTCTTAGAACTAGCCTTACTGCCTCTGTCCAACTATCCAATTTTACCCTAGAGATCAATGTAACAGTAGGGGTAAAGACCCAAGAATTCAAAACCTCTACAAAGTAATGAACTTTGGGTTGAGTTCGGGTTGACACATCCAAGTTGGACCCTGATGCAGTAGACCAGAAACTTCAGAACAAACTGGAACTACAGAGAAGAGATTAATGGAGGTCCAGAAGCTGATCGGCCAAGCAGCAATGAGTGCTTAACTTGAAAGGGGGGAACATGGAACATGATAATGGGGCCTAAAGATAGATGCATTAATTGTGGCCATTACAGCAAATCCTTATAAACTAATGAGTGTTGTCAGATATGTAACCTGTTAGATGCCAAGAGATCAAACGAACTAAAAATAAGAGAAATTGGACTCCACACATGATCAACAATCCAGGATGGTCTAATTATTTGGAGAGAGGATAGGAACAGACAAATATCTAATCAAAAGGTTAAAGTATGCAAGAGCATGTAATGATAACATAACATGGCTCAAAAGATATTTGACTTAATTACGTAAAGTTGAAGTCGAGACCATAATGATAAAAGAAAGGAAAAGAAAATCAGACCAAGATAATAGTCCACAGCCGAGACCAACAGCGTCTTGTGACATTAACCGTGATGGTATGAATAAACAGAATGCTAGAATCTTATAAATAATAGAAACAGCATAGAGTTCCAAATTTAGTACCCAAAACATCGTGAATTTTTCTCCCAACACAGCAGACAGTAGGACAAACAGAAGAGAGGTGTAGCAGTTGCGGGGGACTATTCAGTCAGTATGATATAACATGTAAATCAAGTAATCAACAAGTTCTATTCAGATAACCCCCTCCCATCCTTTTTGCCACTGGTTAGTTTATGAGCAAAGCAGAGGAAAAAAAATAACTCCTAAGATTATACATGTAGTATTGCATTACAGTGGGAAAACAGGCTCTCCCCAGTAACTTCACTCTCATAGGTTATTAGTCTGAAAAATCAGAGAAAGGAGAAAGGAGAAAGAAGGTACGTCCGAAACAACCATTCCAACCCCAAGTAGTTCAAAAGCTTAGTTCTCTCCCCCCCCCCAACACACACACACCAACCCTCCTCCCCAACCCAAGATATATGATGTCAAAGATACCAAATGGACTTGGACTTTAACTTTATGACATCAACTGATATACATCTCTGTCATTTGTGCACTAAAGAACTAAGAGGGATGACATTTCTAGTCGGTGGGAAAATGAGAGAATTTGTCAACTGATAGAAATGAGTGATCCTGAACTCTGAGTAGCAATTTAGCACATGATGCATAATTCTTCCCCATCAACCATGCATACTTTCAAAATCAGGATATCTCTAAGGATAACAACGTGACAATCTATAATAATCAACATGAGCACATTCCCACCTTTGTCTGTCATCAGGGTAGTTTATGCCACATGAATGCCGTAGCACTTCAAGTAGCCATTTGCTTGAATTGTATGACCAGAGAATGCAGTAGACATCATAACCTTGACCTGAGTTTATGTCTTCCTAAGAATCTGATTGGTGTCTTCATCCACTAACATCCTAATAACTGAACGAAAAGGAAATTAAGTCTGGCACTTATGACATGTTAATGAACAGTAATCTATGGACAATAAGGGGGAGTGAAACCATAAACCTTTGGTTAAAAAATCAGTCATAATGTACCAACCAAGACTGAATGAGCACATTGGACCAAAAATACTGGCATAATATGAGCTGCAAGCTACTCACAAGCAATTTGACGTATATTTCACCAATTTAAAAGGACCACTAATTCAAATGTAGAAACCCCCTTTCCCTCTGGAGCTTTTATTGATCAAATTTATCCCCCTCTCTTCCTTTTGAACTCTTGACAATCCAGAATAAGTTAAAACTGAAATGTGTTCTGAATCAGTAAGATAAGCTTCTCCAATGACATATACTGATCATTGAATTCACACCAACTTGCAAATGAAATTTTGATGATTCAACATATCCAAAGAAAAATCACTGCCCACAAGCCTACAACTTTACATAATCAAAGCTATTCCACTTATCAAATTCCCAACTTTCTATTAACAACAAAAATTAGCAATTGTAATTTGTAACAAACAAATTGCAGCACATCAGTTAGCAAAACTTGACAGAAAGCAGAAGTATATGGAAAAGGAACAAAGATTCCAAGTCTTCACTGGTGGATGCAATGACCGAAGGAAATAAAATGAAGTTACCCCAATTTACACAACTGAGGATAACGCCATTTGCATGTTTTCTTTTCCCTTTTCCATAACTTCTGCCTCGTTCGGTGTTCTATTATGTACAGTGGGCAAAATGTGAAGAATCAACCCCGCCTCTGTAATTTCAAAAGTTTCAATCATTACAACCACATCTGGGGTACCAGGACGTAGAGCAGAACGTTTTCAGTTCTGCACCCTGCTCAATTGTCATCGACTAAGTGTCTTTCTCTTGTGACTCCTCAATTACTGAATTTTTCACTGACATATCATCAAGAATATCACTTTCTGAATCTACGTGCATTTCTTTGAACATTGCCATCACCTGAATCATGGTGGGCCTCCGGAAAGCCTTTTCATCAAGGCACTCAAAGGCAATCTTTAGGTAATGCAATAGTTCAGCCTCATCAGACATATTTGATATTAGTTCAGGATCCAAGATTTCATGACTTCTTTTATCCTTTAGTAGCTGCTTTGCCCATCCAACAAGATTGTTGTCATCACCAAACTCCAATGGATGAATTGGCCTCTTTCCTGAGAGAAGCTCCAGTAATACAACTCCATAACTGTACACATCACCTTTTGTGGTGCACCTGAAACTCTGATAGTACTCTGGGGGGACATAACCTGGAGTCCCAGCAAGCGTACTCACACTGAGATGAGTGTCAAGGGCATTCACCAGTCTTGCCATGCCAAAATCAGAAACTCTCGCTTCGAAGTTTTCATCTAGAAGCACATTGCTAGACTTCATGTCCCGATGGATTATGTGGGGAATGCAGCTGTGGTGAAGAAATGCTAGTCCTCTTGCTGACCCAATGGCAATTTTCTTCCTAGCTGCCCAGTCGAGCTTTGTACTGCCTCCTTTGGCTCTATCGTGAAGAACATCCTCCAGGCTTCCCCATTTCATGTACTCGTACACGAGAAGCCTCTCCTCTCCAATCTTGCAGTAACCCAGCAAGGGAACCAGGTTTCGGTGTTTAATCTTCCCTATAGTCTCCATTTCAGCCATGAACTCCCTGTCTCCCTGACCTGTAACATGAATAAGTTTCTTGATTGCAACGACACAGCCATCTCTAAGTTGGGCTTTGTAGACCTCACCAAACCCTCCAGACCCAATCAAGCTGTCAGCACTGAAACCATTGGTAGCCTCAAGCAGATGGGCAAAGGTCAGCTTCCGCAAAGGCTTCTCAAATGTCGCTACATTGATACTTAGAGGCTCAGGAACACTGGAAAGTTTCCAGCTGCTGCTGCAGGAGTTGGGAAGGCTCTCAATATACTTTTCTCTTTTTTGCTCGTTTTCCTGATACTTTCTCACCCTGTAAAGGGCAAGTGTGAGCATGAGGATGGAGAAAACAGAGACTGCAATGCCAATGACCATCCCTATAGCCACAGACTGCTTCTTTCCATGATTGCGAGAGTTTTGCGGATGGCCTTTATTTCCAGAGCCACAAGGAGGCAAGGGAACCCCACAAAGGTCCGAATTGTTCTCATACCTAGAAGCTGGGAAAGTAGTCAGCTGACCACCTGAAGGTATACTCCCAGTAAGATTATTGTTTGAAACATCAAGGTCACTAAGAAATGAGAGACCAACTAATGATCCTGGGATGAACCCCTGTAAATTATTATGAGAGACATCAAGAACTCCAACACCCTTCAAACCTCCAAAGCTGAAGGGGATGTTTCCTGTTAGATTGTTGTGTCCCAAATTTAAAACCTGCAAAAAGTTCATGGAACCCAAACTGTTGGGAATAGTTCCTGACAAGGAATTATAGGAGAGATCAAGGTAGATCATGCTGCCATTACTTGGAAATGTGTAAACAGTCACACCAGAGTAGATTCTAGTTGATGGGCATGAGTGAACCATAGGAAAATTTGCCAGCCTATCCGCCCGAATTCCCTCATATTCAACTAGTCCTCCAGCACCTCTGCATGCTGTCCCACCCTCATTTCTCACAAACGCAAACTGCTTCCCAGAAACAATTCCAGGAACAACTAGGCCAGCTTCACTGGCAAGCTCTGGTGGAATGGAACCAGTCAGGGAATTGCTATTTAAATCAAGCCAAATGAGGCTTCTGCACTCACCTAGCCCTGGTGGGATCACTCCAGTAAGTGAATTATTACCCAATTGAAGAATAGCCAGGTTTACGAGATTCCCAATGCCTGCAGGGATTTCCCCTATGAGCCGGTTGCTGGACAGCGACACCCAAATCAAATTAGTACATTTGGCAATAGACACTGGAAGGGTTCCAGTAATAAGATTATTGTTGAGAATCAGGGTCTGAAGATTTCCTCCATTGATGCAAATGCCTTCCGGGATACCTCCCGTAAGATTGTTTGCCCACATTACCACGTCTGAAAGATTTGGGAGGGTCCAAATTTCGAGGGGAATTGAACCAGTAAGGCTATTGAAACTAAGATCAATGGTCTTCAGGTTCTTGCAGTTTCCAAGCTTTGATGGTACCATCCCCGTGAGATAATTATTGGGTAAAACTAGCTTTTCCAGAGAAGAGGAGGATGCTGATGAGCAAAACCCAGAAGGTACATTCCCTGTTAGGCCATTTGAGCTTATGTCGAGCACTCGAAGTTGAGTACAGTTTGTCAAGGACTGTGGCACAGTACCACTTATGTTGTTGAAAGGTACATAGAGATACCATAGATTTTTTAGAGAACTGACGACTGTACTGAGAAAATTGCCAGAAAGCTGATTGTTACCAAGGTTGAGGTTGAACAATGAAGAGCACAGTGAAAAAGTGGAAGGAAGCCCACCAGTTAATCGGTTCCCCGAAAGATCAAGCTCCTCAAGAGTCCCACAAGCATGCCCAAGCTCCGGCGGAATATCACCGGAAAACTGATTGTGGGCCAAAGACAGCTGCTTCAAGTTCTTCAACTTTCCCAATAAGGCACCTGGAATACCAAGATTCAGCTCATTGTGGCCAATGTCAAGCGTTTGAAGAAGCTGGCAATTCGTCAAGCTAGCCGGAAACTCACTAACAGACAGGCGGTTAAAAGAGAGATTGAGCACAGTAAGATTGCGACAACTCCCAAATTCAAGACCCAAGATGTCGCCGGTGAAGTTATTATGTGAGAGATCAAGAAATCTCAGAACCGCCGGCGAGTCTGCCACAAGGGTGGCCGGTATTGGCCCTGACAAATCATTACAAGAGAGGTCGAGAGTTGAAATGCTTTTGCAAGAAGAGAGTGAGCTAGCTAGCACTCCGGTCAGCTTGTTGTCTGAAAAATTAACCAGATTCAAGTTCTGGCAGTTGGAGAGAGTGTAATTCAAGAGGCTCATGTCTGAAATTTTGTTCCGAGAGAGGTCAAGTTGCGAAAGAGAAGGGCCAAATTGCAAAGTACCACTTGGGACTGAATTGCGAGAGAGATTCAGAGAGACAAGCCGGTCACAAGAGGTTAACAGAGACTGTGCAACGAGTGGTTCCGATAAGTTGTTGGCCGACAAATCGAGGGTCTCAAAGCTGCAAGACGCAGAATTGGATGAAAGGTTACCGGAGAAAAAGTTGCCACTAAAATGGAGGTGGGTGAGACTAGGCAAAGCCATGAGATCGGAGAGATGGAGGCGGCCTGAGAGACCGCCGCCGGTGAGATTGAGCGCTGTAACTCTGCTATCGACGGAGCACGAGACACCTCGCCATGAACACGGGTTTGAAGAAGCTTGAACCCAATCTTCCAAAAAACCATTTAGATCAGTATCTACTGAGGATTGTTTGAAAGCCAATAAAGACACTGCGTCATTGCCATTGTTTCTTTGCCTTGTTGATGATAATTGTCTTGCGTCCAAAGCCAAAGAAGAAGAATCATTAGAGCACCAAAAACTAAGTAGCATTATGAGAAAGCGAAATGATCTCATCGATTCTCTTCCTGATGATGATATCCTCCATTGTCTCTGCATCTTGTTCTGATTGCGATATTAATAATGCCACCAATTGCATAAATCAATGACTTTGCTATTTCGTGTGTCGATTTGGGCGGGGTTGTCTTCTCTGCTACTACTTCTACCACCCTCTCTTTCTCTCTCTACATTTGTGACTGAAACCCACACCCATTCTCTCTCCCTCTCTCTCTCTCTATCTATATATCTATACCTGGTTTTGTATTAAAAAACCTGTTGATCAAATACCCAGAAACCAAAATTGGGGGGAAACAACAAAAAAAAAACCCAAATGAGCAACTAAATATCTCTATCAGATTTGAAAACCTAAAAATGAAATTAAAATCAAGTCTACAATCAATAATATATCCACAGAGATTGTAATAGTAGAGGGAGGTAAGGGAGGGTCCGAGGTAAAAAAGGAGAAAAGGAGAGAGGAGTACCTTCCTGGTGTTGGTATGTTAGAAGTAGGATAGTGGGTATCCTGAAACACTACAAATCCAAAATCAGACACCGTTAAAGATGGGTACTTTGAGACGACAATTTAGTACACAGGTAGCAGCAGAGAATACAGTTTTGTCTGTGGGGTTGGGGTACGATGTTCAGAATTGTCGGCCGTCACAGGAACTATGTGAACTGAATTTATATATGTATTTTTGTTATTATTGAAAGAGATGAAGATATGTATTTTCATTTACTGTGAAGTGAATGAGAAAGAGAATTGTAGCTGTTTAGTATAATCCAGACTCGATGGGAGGTAGTAGACGAAGTAAAGTGACATAAAGAAAGAGGAATAGAATAGAGGTGATGACAACTTGAGAGAGAGAGAGAGAGAGAGAGAGAGAGAATCAAATCCCAACTTTGACCGCACTCGAAATCTGAGAAAGAAAGAAAGACAGACGTCTCATTGAGCCTCACACGCACTCTCTCTCTCTCTCTCTAAAAACTCTCACTTTCGAATTACGGTACCTCTACGTCTTTTCCGTGACAATTTAATCAAAGGCTTTTTTCAACGCAAGGACATTTTTGTTCACAGTAGTAGTTACGAGTTTTTGAGTGCACGACACGAACTCCAGCTTTCTCCTCAGTTAATAGGGTTGGTATAATCTTGATAATGACATAGATTAATTTGATATGGTGTTAATACGAATATTTTGATTGTACCAATGTTGTTTCAAAATTTGTTGAGATCCACCTAGATATTCAATCGACAGATAATTTTTAAGCAACTGTTTATAAAAAGTTCAAAATATTTTGTTTTTGATGTTTTTTGAATGAAAAATAATGAACAAATACACGGTGCATTAAATTAATAAAAGATGATTCTTTTATTGATTGCATTAATAATTGTATCCTAAAAATTAATTTAAAATTACTCATAAAAATACCCAGATTATAAGCCTTATGGGGAATTTGAGTTCATTCTATCTATCTTTTCCATTAAGTGCCCTTTATATAGCCATTATTTTCGACAAGTTTGCTTTAATTGACAATTTAATTATTCTTCTTCTTTCCCTCCAAATATAGTTGTGTCTGAACAATTTCCGATTTTTTTTCGAATTTTGTCATATGGCACTTCCTTAATACACTTGATACTTGAGATGTCGAATGTCGATACGTTGAATATTCCTAAAATTTGATATTTTTTATCCAAACAAATACAAAAATAAATTTTGACACCATACAGTATCAAATCGATCCGACCATCTAACACATAACTAACGTAGTTTTTATATGACAAAATATTGTAAAAAAATATCTTATTTCTCAATTTTTGTCTCATAATCTTCTTGCATAGTATGAATTGTCAATTGTCATGACATTGTATTATTTTTGTTTATATTGGGATGATGTGAATCGAATTATTTCATGATTTATGGGTATCTATTTGGGGTAAATAAGAAATGGAAAACTTAGTCATCCAATTATTAATCACTTGACATATAATTACAACGTGAAATAGTATGATCCAAAAATCACACAAATTTAAAAAATATACCATCACAACTTGATTGACATTTGATACACCCAACTTTTATTTTATCTTATCCACCTACTCAAATGTTATATTATGAACTATGGACCTCTATTTTACTATGAGGACCACCATAGTCTTCTTCATAGTGGGTTTTGTTTGATGTTTTTTGGGGATAATATTCTCAATCAAAATAGAAAATGAGATGCTCAAACAAAAATTTCTACTCTAACTTGTGTTTGGGTACATAATGAATTTCAAATTCTAACCAAGTACTCATCATCTAACTGCCAACTATTTAATTAATACATGTTGTCTATGGCTTCTAGTCAATAAGCAATTAAGCATGCCTTCAATCATACCTCATACTACTCATAATAAATTGTAATTAAGAAAACGTTGACAATAAGACAAACTTCTTAATTGAAAAACTAGCAAATCATAATTTGTTTCAAGGGTAGAGCCGAAAAAAGAGGAAAACAAAACAATTGACAATCAGATCCATCGTCATCGTGTAGAAATATCATATTACAAACGACCTAACTTTTGAAACTTTAACAATACTAAAATTGTCTCTCTTGTGTTGATATGGTATAAAATTTGAATGACTTGAACGTAATATAATTTAAAATTTCTTATAAATTTGTAGATTCAAATTAGATTTTAATTACTCTATAGTGTGGGTATAGGTATAGATTGTAGAGGGACAGGATTATTATTCTAAGTATAATACATATTGGGAAGTGGGTGTGTTTGTACTAAAGTTCAAAACATGATATGAGGGCACGGGGCGCGGGACTTAGAGCTTGGAGCTATTGGCGTGGGATTGTGCATCACTCTCTTCAATGTGAATAGGTAAATAATAATAAGGGCTAATTTCATTTGACACTCCAAAAAATATTTTGATTCTTATTTTATATTTTTAAATATTAAAAATTTTTATTTGTATCTTCAATATTATAAATTGATAGTAATGTGGATATCATCTAAACTGTTGTTCAATTTTTCGTCATAAATTGAAGAATATGATGTACAAGTGTTTCGGGCATGAGAATGAGGTATATTTTTGGCCGTAAATCTTCGTATATGATCAATTTAATATCATTTCTTATATCGAAAATATAGTTTCATTGATTAGATATAAACTAACCCTATCATATATAACTCATATGAAGTGTCAATAGTCTACAAATTTTACACATAAGTTCATGTTCGAATCACTTGCAACTCAGGTGTTTCAATTGATGATGAAAAACTAAACGACAGTCCAAATCAAGTTCACATTGCTACTAATTCATAACACTGATAGTACAAATTGAGATTTTTAATATTTAATGATGTAAATTAAGAATTGACGGATCTTTCGGGAATAAAGGGTGAATTGGATTTTGTACCTAAAGATTTTAAATTTTTTATTTTAAATTTTTAAAAATTACTGTAGATATTTTACATTATACGTAGATATATAAAAAGTGTTACAATAATATTCTTTCTATTAGTTTATGTTACTCATTCATCAATGTTAATGAGATAATTTTTGACAAAATAAGTAACGAAAACTAGCAGAACTGTAGAAGGACCATATTACAACACTTTTAATACATTGATGTTACATTACAAAAAAATTAAAAGTGTTGAGAATTTAAAATAAAAATCTTAAATCTTTTGGGGTATAAAATGTAATTCCCCCAATAATAAATGAATGTTTGTCAAAATTTATTGGTGGGTTGGGGCCCACTTTGTCAGGACGCACTGCGCACGGGCGCATCCTATTCCCCTCCTACGCCTCTCCTTCATTAGATTCCCAACATGCCAACGTCCAAACAATTTTGAGTAAATTACATTTTCTACCATACCTAATTTTTTTTATTCATCTTCTAAATTATCAATTGAAATAATTACACTCACAAATTTTACGTTGCGTATTAATTAAGTCTTAATCTCAAAATTTGCTTGCAATAATAACTGGAAAATAGCATCATTTGAATAATTTTGAGACCATGTATGTAAATATCTTAATCAAATCTGCTAATGATGCGCTAACATGTCTATTTATAAGAATTGCTAATGAATACAAACAAACAAACTTAATTGAAATAGCTTAAACTTCAGGGACCAAACAGAAACTCGATATAAATTCAAAAACTATATAATATAATTTATCAAAAGAAAATTGACATAGTAGGGGAGAGGTCTTTTTCTATGTTGTGGAGACAACTTTACCATTGTGATGGAGAAACAACCATAAAGTAAATTTTTTTATATAATTGCATTATAAAACAAGCGGAATCCTCGCAAAGAAATCAGGCTGATTTTTGGATACTCCTTTCAACTATTTCTATGTGGAATTTTGTTATTAGTGGAAAATGCTACACAACTAAATAGAATTTTAAAATTATAACTTAAATGCGTATCATTTATAAGAAGAGTGGGTCTCACTGAAAAAATTGATGGGGGGACCCCACTCGTCTAATGAATAATATATATTTGAGTTATAAATTTTTTAAATTTTATTTAAATTGTATAACAGTACTCTAATTTTATATAAAGACTTGCAAATAAAAAGGGTCTACACCCACGATTAAATCAGAAGAAACCCTATGGGACCCCCTCTGTTTTCCCTTTAAGAACAATCACCCTTTTGTGTTGTCTATCTTGACTAAAACAAATGCCTTCTTGAGAAAAATTCACATGTGTAGGTGAGGCTGTCTAAGAGATTAGATACCTTAATTATATGTTTTATTTTTTTTTAAATTTAATTATATATAATGAATTTTATTTGAATTTATAATACATGATTTTTTATTGAATAAATTAAGAGATTGAGAGAGATTCAAATCCCATTTCTAAACTCATATATATACTAACTTTTTTAAATGAGTTCTTTTAGATCATTTAACTCAAAACAAATTTGGAATTAATGAACAAAATCATAATAATATAATTGAGATTCTCTCCTGTATACTTTTTTTGTTCAATTTTTTTTTTTTGATACATCATCTACTATTCATTCAAGTGGAACCCATTATATATAATTGAATACCTCATTCATCAATGGTGGATCCCTCACTCATTAATAATAGATAATATACCAAGAAAGAAATTAAAAATATATATATATATATATATATATTAAAGAGGATCTGAATCTATAATTTTATGAGATGTGTACTTGCATTGATAGAGGGATAATCTCTAACGCTTCCTAAGAATGTACTAATAATAGTATCCATTTCGATCTCCTCAAATATATTTTATTAATTTCACTTAGTAGTAGACAATCAAACATACAAACGTGAGGACTTACTTATAAATAGTAGATCTTACTTAAATTTTTGATAATTGATTTACATGTCAAAAAGAAAATACACAATAAGAAATCTCAATCCTTATAACATTCCCACATTCACCCCTCTAAAAATGAATCGACAAACAATGCAAGAGGTTTTTAATTAAACTTTCAATTGTCTTAATTTAATCTTTTAATTGTCAATTTCGTTTCAATTAAATTATTTTATCTATTTTCATGGCCAGATCAACTCGAGACTAGTTCAATCTGATATGTTTTATGCGTTAAATCATATTTTTATGTTATAATATAACGGTGGAAATTGGCAAAACGGCTCAATTGAAATAAAATTGATAGTTGAATAGTTAAATTAAAATAATTAAAAATTTTAAAAACTAAATTAATATAAAAAATAAAATTTACTGACCAACTATGATATTTATCCTATGACTATCTTCTATTTCTTAGTTACGAAGGATCAGGAGGATAGGCCAAAATAACAGCTATGGTCTCTACACAATTCTTGATTTCTTGCAGCATTGGGAATGGTGGGTCCCTCTGCCTTCGCACGAGTGTATGTGGGGGCCATTCCGAAATGTTTGACTTTGGGACCCTGACGTTTTCAAAGTGTTCAATTTAAACCTAACACGTGGCTAAAGGGTGCGATTGTGTTGCAGCGGGACTGTAGGAGGCTGGTTGGGGATTGGTTTGCTTAAAATAGACGTCTAAACTTTTTCAACATGGCCCACAGCTAGCTCTGGTGCAAACGTCCAATCTACCTAGTAGTAGTATTACTATTACAATTACCCCCCCTTGTCTTCACATGCACCAAGTTTAGATATGTCACACGTGGGGAGACCTTTTATTTGGGCCCCACATATTTTGGATGATAAGATTGTTATATGACCTTAAGATGCGGTTGATTTGGGAGAAGCTGGAATGAGATTGAAATATCCATTTCAATTCACATGTGGTGGATCACTGGATTTGGGTCTGTGGGTTTGGGTATCATTGTTTTTTTTCCAACAGTAAAGACATCTGAACCAATAAATAACGTGACAAGAAAAAAAGTATATCCATAAATATCTGAATCCGTATTAATAAGGTGTTAGTTGTGGAAAAAGGGTTGTATCGTGGGCACCACGTTTTGTTATTTAAAGATGATGATATTACTCAAATCTTTTTCCTGTTGAACCTACCAAACTAATACGTGATTTTGGGGACCTTTTTTTCCTTTGCTTTTGACATTTTTAACCGACCATATTATATATGTGAAAGCAATGGGGCCAATGACTATCATTAGTGTCTGATTATGTCTTAACAAGTTTTAACTTACTACTACTACTCATTATTCTTGAATTTATGAAGCGCCAAACTATAAAGCTAACTTTCACCCTTTTTTTTTATGGGACATTTTTGAAATACTCTGAGATGAAGACACGTGTCCTCGGTGTCATTAATCCTTGTTATCGAGATCACGTATCCATAGGGTCACAAGTCCCCTCTCCCCCGTGGTACTGATCATAGGGATCGAGTGACATCAGTATATTTTTATGTACCGACACGTACCCTCGGTCTGATATGGTACATCGGTCGCTAGGCCTCCCCCTCTCGGCTTCAAGATGTACCTATTCCTCGGCTCCGAGATGTACCTCTTCCTCGGTACCGAGATGTACCCCCGTCGTCCAGGATGCCGTTCTCTGCTCCAGCAGAGGCTATTGATGCACTGGTCACTAGCTTAGGCTAGGCTAGGTTAGCTATCATGACCTCGTCTTACACAATTGGTGTCAGAAGCACAGGAAGACAGGGGTCACAGCCAATGGGGAATGGACGCGTGGCATATTGTGTCACATCAGAGACAGAAAGACCGCATGACCTTGCTGACATGCGACTTGGGAAAACAAGCATTTAATTACACCATTCCCTTGATGAGACTGCATTCAATGCGGTAAGGCTCGGAAGTGAAAGGCTGGGCATTTATTGTATCCTCCCCGAGAGGAGCTCATTAGACCGTCGGCAGGCCGATGACACAGTCTTGATTGCTCGGGGCTCCGAGCAGTTAAAAGAGAAGACATTCCTCATAGAAATCATTGCGCACGTTGCCTGTATCTAATAATCACCTACTGACCACACTGACAACAATCATGAGTATTTAAGGTATAAATACTCCTCACTAAAGACAAGGAAAGAAAAAGGTGAAACTTTTGCTACAAATTATACTCAGTGTTTTCTTTTCCTCTCTCTAAAAAAAACTGACTTGATCGTCAGAGGGATACGCCGGAAAATACTCCAGCGCCCTTCTAACTTGTTCTTCTTTGTTCTAGGAACCTTTCTTCAGCCTTACTGGATCGTTCCTTTGATCCGCGAGGGTCTCCCATTACCGTTCCAAGTTACCATCGGATCTCACAGGCTGTTCCAAGCAGCGTGGTTGACCACTCAACTGACTCACTCGAGTTCACCAAAGAGAGATCTGTTCTCGTTTTTATATTGTGCAAGATCTAGCATGCACACTTTTGTTAATGGGAGAAATTATTGGCTTACGCCCCGATAAGTAAAGACACGTTTATGTCGTTCAGATTCGTGAGTCCGAATAGAATCGAAAACAAATCCCTAGTGTATGAACTAATCCATCAATTTGTATACCAATTAAATCAGGAGTAATGTTTCGGTGGAAATTCAAACCCATATGAGAGGCTTGGATATGGTTCTTCCATGCAATTGAGGTTCATTCTATTAATCAATCACGTTTTTTCGTTGGTGTAAGTTTTATTTTCATTCATTTTAAATATAATTTTTGCTTATTATGTTGACACTGTATCATTTTATCGTTATATTATTACTCAAATGCCAAATGTAGAGTGCAATATGATTATCCAAGATTCTAAAAAGTGTCATTTTTAAAAGAACATTATGACATCATTTTTCTGTAGTATACTGAAATTTTTTTAAAAAAAAATTCAAAAAGGTGATGAGTTTTTTTATGTATAAAAAAAGTGAAAAATTTCACCCAAAAATTTTGTAAATTAAATCAAAAGATAATTGTGCTCCAGAAATTAATACATTCTACTCAAAATGTGGTATAAATACCTAAAAAAATTGATAACAGACACCTGAAATTTTTCTAAACCCGCCCTTTTAATTAAACTGAAACTTATGATTCAATGGGCCCACGCCTAAAAAGCTGGGTCATGGTCTCCAATAAATGGGCCCACGTCAATGAGAAATTTTACCACTAGCATCGTAAACTGAGCCAATATTTTCAAAACATTTTTCATCTAAATAGGACTCGTAAGATAAGACCATATGTAACGTTTCTTAATCGGGTCGTATCCATTGACCCATGATCCATTTCGAATTCACGCCGCAGTCTTTTTTGGGCCGTGGGAATTACCTTGGACCGGGGTTGGTTTGTGGTGGGCTTTTTGGGCTTTGTGTACTGGTTCCCGACAAATACAATAGTTTGACACTGTCTGCTCTGCGAACGTTGTGGGATGATGATGATCGGCGTGTGGGATGGGGTTCAGGCGGTCGGCGAGTTAGTTGAGGGGACCTTCATAATCGCTTAAACAGGTAAAAAGCTTATAATCCATGGCTCTAGTCTTACATGTGTGAGTGTGAGAGAGACATATGCGATATATATATATAAAGAGAGAGAGAGAGAGAGAGAGAGAGAGAGAGAGTATCAGTGTGTGTGTGCGTGTGTGTTTGTGTATACATTACATCCTGTTCTTTTGGACGTGCGTAGAGGTTAGAATCTGTTATATTGTTTAGTTTTATGTTTATGGTCTCAATCATTGAATAGAAATGTTAGTTGGGGTTTTTCCAATTAGAGTGTTAATCTTGTACACAACTCTTTCTTGTTCAAATTGACTTACTGCCTAATTTATTTTGTTGATGGATGAGATCTCCTGGCTTGGACTGTTGTATCAAACCAATTTATTGAGAATGTAAGCATCATAGGGAAAATTTCAGTATGTTGTTCCTTCAGTAATGGAGGCACTTAAGATAATTTTGATTTATCATTACAAATCATCTGCAATGATAAATGGGGGCACTTATGAAATAAACTTGATATTTTGATTTATCATTACAAATTTTGCTATCTTAAAGTTCATGAACCATGGTCAGAAGTTGAGAGACTAACCTAGTTTGATACTGCTGGTATAAAAACAAAGGTTTAAAGCAATGAAGCATAACTTTTTCTTTTGTGCATTTTGTTATAATCTTGTCAGGTCATGAAATTCTTTTCTTGCTGTCACCTTTGTAGGTTAGTATGGGAGATTGTGTGCATCTCGACATATATTGAAATTACATGCCCAAAGAATTGTGGTTTGAACAAACTGAAATAAAATTCCCTGCGAAATAATTTGGACAGAGAATAATGTAAAAAGGGCTTCAACTGTTAAACACCAAAGGCAGCAACTGCAAAAGTACGTGAAGTCAAGACCACTGCGAAAACCAGATATTGGGACCTGACAAGATCAGTTCCCTCTTCAGCCCCTCCTTCCAGCAATGAGTCTCAGTGCTGGTTGCAAAGGTGGTGGCAGTAGTGGCGGGTTGTTGGAGAGGCTACCAAACAGCATAATCAATGAAATACTGGTAAAGGTGGATTTGGAATCACTTTGCTCCATGGCTTGTGTGTCCCGAACTCTCCATTCCTCTGTCTCTCAAACCCTTTTCTATATCTCCTCTATTGATCTCTCTGTAAGTATCCCTTGGATGTAGTCGTTCATGTGCGTATATGTTCATATTAAAGGCTTCTTGTTGAAATTGATTTCTTGACTCAGAATTCCTGTTGGATTCTCAAATCTAAGTTTTCTCCGTTTAAGTTCCACACGTGCACGTGCCCACTCACAACACCAATACTTATGATTGTGACTGGGTGTGTAATTGAATGAGGGATATATCTGTGCTGACAGGCGTTTTCTCCAGATGTTCAGACTCTGTATTTCATCATTTCCAAGTTCAAATACCTTAACAGTGTTACCGTGGATTGCCGTCACCTCAATGATTCTTCGGTCATCGATATTCTTGGCTCACACATCCAAGAGTTGAATTTGTTGAAGTGTTCACCACCATCTTACCAAGTTCTAACGTCCTTGGGATGCAAATGCCCCAATTTAAGGTACAACTCTATTAGCCTTGTCATTTGCATTTCTATGGTGGTATCATATTTGTAACTGATGTATGAAGAAGTCCAGCTGAAAAAAAGGAGGAAGATGGTAAGGAGACAGAGGGGGGAAGGAGAGAGAAGAGAGAGATGGTCAAATAAATAGAGTTTTCAATGAGCAAGTACTATTTCCTTTCCTTTCTTTTCTTTCTTTCTTTTTTTTTGTAGTCTTTAGATCTTGAGGCAGACTACTAAGCCGATTTGTAGGTAAGGATTGGTCAACGGCAGCAGTTGCACGCAGTAAGCAGCCTCATTGTAGGACTGAGCATATAGCTAAACTGAACGCTGATGTTAGCTTTACTTTGTATGACATTATCTACAATAGCTGCAATATCCCATGGACGGACTCCTCTTGATGAACTCACCTTGATGGCTTCAATACTGTCACTTGCATTATAGCAATGGAGAGATTGGAGCTTGAGCCTAAGTGCCTGCAAATCCGCATGTGCAAATGATTCACCAAATTGGTAAAAAAAATAATGATGTGTTTGGCAAATGGATTCCAGGCTTGAAATGGGAATTGAAGAAAAACTATGTTAAATTTTGATCAATGTGGACACAAATTCCAGTTCTCGTTCCAAGGCATAAATTCCATTTTCCCAAATGCAGCCTAGTGCAATTTTTACTTTTATTTCCTGCAACATTTGAATTTAAGATTCTGTGGTGCAAAAGAGACCACCTTCTAAATCTTACTATGGTCTTAATCCTCTTGTTTGTCACCAAACCACCTTGCCATATGCACCTTTCATTAACTCCAAACAACTTTTGACTTCTCAGAATTTGTTTCTAGAAATAAGTTTCGATTTCATTTCAACTCTAGGAACAAAATCTCCAGATGATATTCTCTTGCTTGATAGGGTATATTTTTTTATATGTATGTGCTTGACCAAAATGTATTTTCTTGAAGTGGAAAAGAAAAAAGAAACGGCAAAATGATCCCCAATGTGACATGTGGGCCAACTTTTAAAACTATAGTTGCAACACTGTATTCCTGGGGTATATTCACATGAAGCTGTTGTGATCAGTTCTTTCATATTGTTATTTTATTTGTTTCATCTCAGGTTACTTGTGCTAGAATTGGCTGGCGGGGATGAAATGTTTCAGAGGAGACCCTTGAAATTTCTTAAAGGTTGTTTGTGCTTGGAGGTAAATAATTATCCTACGATCCATTTTCTCTCATTTGAATCATATTTTCATCCTGTTCTTTGAAATGTGTTATACTTGGGGCATGAGATGAGAATCTACTTTGTCAACTCAGGCAGCCTGTCTTTTCTACAGTATCTATCCGTAAAGATACGAGGAACAGAACATGATGCAAAAGCTTTTTGTTCCATGGAACACTTCCTCCCCGGAACAGTCAAAGTTCTGAAGTTGCAGCCAATGCTCGAACGAGATGCTATCCATCTCATACGTGGACTCAGAGATGACACAAACTTTTTGGAAACATCTACCAGTTTTAGCATTCCACTATGTCCTCGTTCCCCTAGTTGTGCTTTGCAGCACTTAACACTTGCTTTAGATGTCATATCTGATGAGCTTATCATCTTGATTGTCAACTCTCTCCCTCTTTTGGTTGAGCTGGATATTGAAGACAGACCAAGCAAGGAACCATCAGCGCCCCGTGACTTGACCAACAGAGGCCTTCAGTCATTGTGCTTTTGTCAGCATCTGACTGACCTCTCTGTTGTTCGAAGTAGACAGAACTCTCCTGTGTCTTTCAAAAGAATAAATGACATGGGCATGTTTCTTCTTTCTGAGAATTGCAGAGGCCTACAATCAGTGACACTTGGTGGGTTTTCTACGGTGAGTGATGCTGGCTTCTCAGCAATTTTACACTCTTGCCAGAACTTGAAAAAATTTGAAGTTCGCAATGCATCACTATTGTCCGACCTAGCCTTTCACGATATCAGTAGAGCTGTATGTTCTCTTCTTGAGTTTAGGTTGTTGGCTTGTAATCTTATAACCAGTGAAGCTGTGGAGAAATTGGCTTCTTCCAAAATCTTGGAGGTGCTTGACCTGTGTGGCTGCAGGAGCGTGGCAGATGGCTGCCTTAGTTACATTTCATGCCTTAATACACTATCTACACTAAATCTGAAAGGAGCCGATATTACTGACAGTGGCTTGGCTATTATCGGTAGAGGGAATTCACCCATTGCATGTTTGTGTCTCAGCGGCTGTAAGAGGGTAACTGACAAAGGAATTGCTCTTTTGTTGGATGGTGGAGGGATGGTTAGCAAGACATTGTCATATTTGGATTTGGGCTACATGCCAGGGATATCAGATAGAGCCATTCTTACTATCTCTGCAGAAGCTCAAGCAGTTACTGAACTGTGCATCAGGTATTGCTTCTCCGTGACAGATGTTTCACTGAAAACATTGGCTTTAGAGGAAAGGTACAAAGGTGGAAGCAAATTACTTCGGAAGCTTGACCTTTGTAACTGCCTTGGGTTGTCTGCTGAAGCGGTAGGGTTGCTGAAGAAGCCTTCATTCCGTGGTTTAAGATGGCTTGGTGTTGGGTTGACTCGTTTGGCTAGTAAAAGAGATGCTTTCGCTGAAATTTCTAGGGAACGACGATGGCTGACTGTGTGTTTCGATGGTTGTGAAGTGGGGTGTCACGATGGATGGCAGTACCACGAGTCTGATTATAGTCAATCTTGATTCATTTTTATGGACTTCGACACATTTTTTGTGATGAAGTGCATGTGAAGCCCCCTCCTCAAGGCTAGACAGGAATGATTCAATCCCAGTTCTTGGTGTTTGTAGGATGAAGAATAGATCATAAAACCCCGTGCACAAAATAACCCATTTACAGGTGCTGGTCATTCAGTTGATGATTCTTTCTTACCCCTCTGTTTTTGTTGTTTATAAATTTTCTCTCTAAATACTTTTATTTTTCACAATCTTGTGAGTAAAATCTAAGAATAAGATTGTTGATGGAACATGAGGGAGTGGAGTAGGTCTGCGGATGTATTATGCTCAATGTAATTAGCACATTACATTGTGACAGCTACCATGCTAGAACAAATTCCTCTGCTACAATCCACATCATATGCCAGCTTATTTCATCCATAAACTTAAATTCATAATGCGCATAAAAATAACTGCTGCACCACGGATAATTCTCTAATTGCAGGCATATGACCCGTAATCAATCATCTTTCAGATAAAAGCACTTCGTCCTCCCCTCCTACTATGTCTATCGTAGGCAGTATTGAACTTGTCGACCAACTCATTCATTGTACTGCAAAAACAACAGAAAAATTAAACTCGCACGTAGCTGGAGGTCAAAGCTAAGAACAACCCCAGTAAATGAGTAAGATTAACATCTGTGTCTTACCCCCAACTTGATACGCTCCGACTAATGTATACAAGTTCAAGAAGATGGTGTTAAGACTCCTCACTTTCTCTGATTCTCATGCGAAATATGGGTGGGTATACTATTGTGTGTTTTTTTTTTTTTTTTTTTTTTTTTGGGGGGGGGGGGGGGTTTGGGTAGGGTGGGGGGTCAAAATGTAATTCTAACGAAAACAAGAAAAAAAAGTGGATGCACGAAAGCTGGGGTGGAGCCAAGAATATGTACAAGGGGCCAAAAAATAATAGAAAATAATTCACTAGTTGATACAAAAAAAAATTGTTCAATAATCACAATAAATTAAGATTCAGGACAAATTTATATGAATTAATAAAATCAATTTTTATGTAATGAAACAAAGTCTGAAAAAGACAAAATAACTTTTTTGGTATATTTTAATCCAATCATATATTTCAGTAAAATATAACATTCTTTAAAATCTCTAAAATTCAATATAATTAATTAATTGTAAGTTAATTTCTCACTAATTTCCTATCAATGCGCACAATCACAAGTTTGTAGAAAATCAATCTTCATTTACCTGCAAAACCTAGTTGAGATAATTATCAATTTTTTAGGGAAATTGCATTTTTGAAATAGCTTAGAATATTTTTGGGTTACAACATATTATCTTTTTTATCCAATCGTATTTTATTGGGTAATAAACTACTAGTTTGCTAAAAAATGATAAATAACAACTACAAAATTATTTTTAAAAAGTAAGGAACATTGTGTTAGATAAATAGAGGTATTATCTTTACATACCAATAGATTAGGATAGTTACATTTAATCTACTCAATTCAAAAATAAAATATTTATTTTAGTGGGTTAGTGGACCACTAATTTACTAAAAAAAAATAGAAAATTCAAGGGGCAAATATAGTGTATTGAGTAACATTATGGGTTCTCATCAAAGGTGATCCAAAATTGAGGAGGAAAAGACGGAGGGGGGGGGGACCACCCTAGTCCCAAGGTGGCTCTGCCCCGCGAGAAAGCTATACATCATACCTTGAGCAGTTGGTGAACATGCCCAGGTAAGTCATCAACAACGTGTCATTTGTATTCCTACAAAAAAAAAATGGAGATATGACAGGTAAGACAGTATAATCATCTAAATACGTCATAGATATATGAGAAGAAAATGGCTTAAAAATTCCAATGAGGGCCAATACTAGCTATCTAAAATCTCCCCCATTGTATTTGTCAAGGACAATAGCTTGACAACACCCCCCCCCCTTTTTCTTCTCTCTTCCTCCTCTCGTTTCCCGGAAGTGTTCTTATCAACCACTCAGGAAAATAAATCCACAAGTAAACCAAGAAAAGAAAATTAAGATTAGTGAAATTTTGAAAGCACTCACCATCAAAAAATCATCTTGAAATTTTACTGATTCAATGGCCGGTAATCTCCTCAAGAGACTAGATACTTGTCTTAGCAATGAATTCTCACAAAGAATATCACCTGCATTTGAGGCACAAATACGAAGTTAATAGAACTGTTGGTCTTCTTACCCTCGTTGTCCAACACGATTGACAGTTGATGTTGCCTAGCTAACTGATCAGAGCAACCCCATAAACACTCATGACTCAAATCAGAAACATGGTACCCTCCATGGAGAAGTTGGTACATGTTGCCACTTGCCAGATTGATGATTTGTTGGGTAATTGCCCTAATCACATCCCAGAGAGAGCTTTGAGGGTACCTAGGAAAAATAGGAATCCTATACCAGCACAGAAGTTTTGTTTCTAAATTCTGACAGTAATATCTTTGTCTATGTTTCTATTGCTCAGAGTCTCTTGTACAACTTTCTAAATAATGTTGCCTGTTGGCAAATATATACGCATACCTTTTTGCATCGCCTGAAGATAGTGGTGAAGCACCCTAATTCTGCTATTCAGCATCTTGATGGCACTGTGTATACCTCTAAGGTGAGCAGCCACTATACACACAAACACATTGGTGAGTCCTTCAGATTTTGAGGAATGTAATGAAATTGAGCAAGTATTTATAACTGGTTGGTAAAGGCTCACGTTGAGTTGCAGCAGAACCTCCATCTGCTGGTTTAAGATGTGCAACATGGTCAACTGAGATCCGTTCAGCTTCTACTGTCTTTGAAACAATCAAAAAGAGATTCAATCAACATGGTCTCCAATTATGATTTGGCATATGATGAAAACAAATGACAGGCCAAACCTCAATGGTGTAGCTGGAACGGACAAATATAAGCTGTGGAATCCCATCTATGACGTGCAGCTCTTGAGTTGTACCAATTAGTTCAATAGAACAGAAAGGGTCAGTATATCAATGCAACTGGCACATAAGGACAAAAACAGAAACAATCTTACCAAAAGACTCAATCATGTCAGACGATTCGCGCCTAGACTACGTAACCCATCAATACATCCTTCAAAAAGGTGGTCTACTGAGAAGGCCATATTTGACTTCTCCATCAAAATAGAAGATCTTTAAGGAAGAGTTTTTAGGCTGGCACTTCTACAAAGCAAACAGATCGAAAAGTGTATGCTTAAAGAAATTTCTTTTAAAGTGCCACCAAAACAGAAAAGAGGAGATGATTTCATGGCTAAATTCAGGTTTTATTTAGCATGATCCACCGTAAGCACATAAGTGATGTACTTTGACTTTGATATGGCTAACTTATTTCCGAATGGCAGAGTGAACGCAAAACCTTATATCAAGATGTTTGCTCCAGACCCAGATTCTGCAACAGTCCATACTTGACAGGGTGTCTCAGTTTCTGATGCTAATGGACCAACAAAGGGGTAGCTTACATGAAAAAAGAACATTTATTAAACATTGTTAATACTACACTTAATGTGCCTATGAAACATGATCTTGCCGCTCACACCAGCACCGCATAACTTGCAATGGTATTACATGCAAAGTAATAATAGAGAAAAAATAAAGGTTACATACCACTTTCGTAGATAGTTACCGGAAGATCTTTCTGTGCATGAGTTATTGATGGATTGAGGACAACATACACAGGGCTTTCGTTAATATCCATCAACTGTTAGACAGGGACAATTGTCATGATAGTTTGACATAAATAAAAAGATCTATTACAGTGTAATATCGAACAGAACGTATCCTCAATGCATTTACCAGTTAGAACAATATAAACATTATACTGTATAAACAATTTAAAGACATTTTTTTTCGATAAGAAACAAACTTTTCATTGATATAAAAAATTTATAATGTCCAAGCAAAGGTGGATCAATACTCCAGCCCTAATACATGCATGATTTGTAACTTTTTTTTTTTTATAAGAAACGATACTATTATGCATAATTTGTAAATTAAACAAAAAGAAAAGCAAAAAATCCACCGAGAGTTAAAAAAGTATCTTCCACAAGATGCTCAAACTTTTCATTGAGCAAAGGAAGTGAATCAAAATGCAAGCCAACAAAAGTCATTTGATCATAATTTAACTTTATTAATTGAACTGAAAAGGCCCTAAAATTCAGGGTAGGTACATGAACCATATTGGAGCAATAATTTTCTCTCTCCTCCTCTAGCACGTGCAACACAAACTCTTGTAGAACACTACTTGTGCAGCAAAAGAGCTGAAGAAAGGGACTAACTATTTTGTAGGATAACCACACTACCTATGCCACCAAATAAAATCGACAGGGTTTACCTGGTCAATGTAGTATAGCCTGCGAGGGAAATTTGGTTCATGTGCATACATACACGTGTATACATCTACAACAAATTTCAAAACAATATGCACCAAATCTGAAGTCAAGCAGTCGAATTGACAGGGATCCTGTAACCTGGTCTATAACCACCATCAATGCAATGAACACAAATAAGATAAAAAAATATTTCCAATCAGAGGTTCTGGTGTAGGCTAGCAATCAAGCCAACCAAAAAAAAAAAACCTTTCTTACAACTAAAAGAAAAATAAAAGTATGTTTAGAAAAAAATTTGTAGGATAGATATAAAAACGTGACACTTAGTTCAAGGAATGAAATGCTTCCTTCACCTTCCAACACATATTTCGGGTTCTCCCATTTAGTTGCAACCACATAACATGTAAGCAATATAGCCACTGCAAATTAATTAGCATTTTATTTTATCAATTTCACATTTCAATTGTGTCAACAGAGATATAAACTTGTAAGAAACTGTACCTCACACCACTTCTAAACAAACAAGCCTGTAAAAACTACACGAACCTATGACAACAATAGAAGCACTTGCAATATAAATTGCAATGTTGCATTGCCATAAACTAATGACAACCACCATAAAGAACATTGTTATACACTTATATCCACTGCATTATCCTTTGGAGTACTAGTCCCGAAATTGGATTACAAAGGAAGCTGGCATGCTTTGAAGCTCAAATGAACTCAAATTGCTTATGATCACCAGATCAGTACCAATCCAAAGACCAAATGCAATCTTAAAAGAGTACATTGTAATTTGATAGAGGGACTATCCGTTCTATCGCTTGCCCTTGCTTTCCACTATCAGGACATGGCCCAGAAGTCGAGCAAACTCAATAAACACAAACGAACACCATGCAAGGCATAGCAAAATCGAAACAGAAACAGAATAATATGCTATCAATAAGTTTGTATTGAGTGGAAGTCATATGGATTCATATTACTTCAACTGGAAAGGGCATAAAGAATGTATTATTCGTAATTGAATGAAGTGCATATAAAGAGCATCAGTTTAAATTTTAGCGAAGTCGAGAAATTACAGCTTTGTGAATATGCATATCTGATTCCTGCGCATCACTCCCCGTCGAATACCATCCCAGTATGTAGAAGTGAGGGAAAACTTTCTTATCTGCTCCACAGAAAAATTTATAGCGTCAGGATCCCAGAAAACCCCATAATATATATAGTCTTCGCAGGTGTACCAAATATTTATAGTTAGAGAGACAGTTGAAAAGGACTAACAGAGCTCTTGTTTCTTCTCAAGGAAGGCACGGTCCAGAGAATGGGTGGAGGGATCATAAAGAAGCTCGAAGCTGTTGAAGATCTCGACGGTTCGACCCCTTTGCACGCCGATAACGCAACCGAAGACCCTGGGCGGAGGAGGCGGAGTCACCACCGTTAGAGGATGCGGAATGAGTGGGTTGGTGCTGAGACTTTACCCTAGTGTAGTGGTCCGATATGTTCACTATTACCAGTGGGTGCAGCTTGAATGTTAGCCCGCTGCTCGAAGATGACGCCATCCTCGCTCTCTCTCTCTCTCTCTCTCTCTCTCTGCGCTACTATTTCTCCGATCCGATGGAACCACGCCGGTCCGACGGATAATGGAATCGGCAGTAGGAGGGTTTTACCTCTGCAGTGGTTTCTGCACACTATCCTCTCTGCTCTCTGTCCTTTTTCGGAGAAAATATTCGGTATTTGTCAGGTGTCAGGCTGTCGGCCGGTACTCGTCACCGATTCACGAATCCCACCTCATATTCTGTCAACGACAGGTATTAGATTGTCATCGATAACTAATACTCATTGTCAATTAAGAAATGACACCTCATTAACAACCTCATTAACAATTGATACTCATTTTTTCTCTTTCCATTACTTATCTTCAGAGATATCCGTTGATCGGTGATAAGCACCGATCGTGAATAACAACCTGTTTACCCGGTAAGTAACGAAAATTTTCTCCTTTTTCGCGTCTCAATTTGTTCCCCCAAAATTGTTTTATTTTCAGTTAATTATATTTAGGCCCTATGAATCCCGTGTGAAAAAATAACACCATCACCCCCCCCCCCAATTTTTTCTTGTCATATGTAACCCCTCTTGTCAAAATTTTTAATTACATCCACATATTTTTCATATAAAAATGTCAAATTACACCCAAGGTAATTGATCTATAAATTTTATCAACACTACAAAAATCCAAATATTATTTAGTAATTCCCTATCTATCATCCTAAAACACGTCTTATTCTTCTCTCCACACAAGAACACCACTAAAACCAACCCCAATTTCCACCTAGATCACTCATGAACTTGAAAAATTCAAATCAAGCTATGACATTTTTCTTCACACTTCACAAAAGATGTAAAATTATTCATGAGAGTTTCAAATTTGACGTTGAGATGAATTTATTATTTTTCTAATCTTAGTTAAAAATTTTAAAGAATGTCAAATGTTATGGGTGTGATGCAAAGAATTTATCAATTACAATGGTGATGGCATTAGGAGAAGGAGAAGTACAAGTAGTGAGATTGGTGCATCAATCAATTAGGTTTTTGAGTCGGTGCTCGAAGTATATGGGGATGACTTTCATGGCATGTGAATTGATAGCAAAACTGAGAAGCAGCTTAATCAAAACTTCAACTTTCCCTCAATTTATGTTGTTTATATTCTCGTGTTCATAAATTGTGTTGCTGGAAGGCCATATGATTCAATTATAACAACGGTAAATCTCAAATTGCACCCTGAAAAATCTTTTGAATCTCAAATTGCACCTTCAAAGATTAAAAATATCAAATCACACCCTCAAAGATATAAATTCATTTCATTTTACACCTAAGGCTAACAATCATCCACTTTTTCCGTCTAAACCAAAGTCACGTGAGTTAGAAGTGGGAGGGGCATGGGCTTAAGTGTAAAATCACAGCCCCATATGATGAGCTTTTCTTGAGGAAAACCTCAGTCGTAACATACAAAATAGAGACGGGCAGTTGTTCACCTTGAAGATTATAGAGGTAGAGATGCGCAACTGTTCACCTTGAAGATCTGCAAAATGTCTTGGATAGTTAGAGAATACAACAACAATTTATGCACCGGAGATACGCCAGATTATGGTAAGGGTTTTCTTTCTCTGTCTCTGTTTTTATTATATTGACATTGTACATCATTGTTTTTTGTTTTTCTGTTTGTGTGACTTTGATTCTTGGTTTTTTTAATCTTTCTCAAATAGTTTTCCCATTTGTTTAGTCCAAATAGTTCTTGCCATTAGTTTAATCAAAAAAATACATATTGTATTTTGCCTTTTGACTTTTGACTTTTGCGTTGATTGTGATTTGAAAATGATTCTTGTTTTGTTTGTTTATCTGAGAGTGTTTTGGGAACTTGGGTGGTCCTATTTTTATATTGGATGTGGGGTTATGGTTTTCCTTGGCTTTTTTCTCTTTGGAGGCTTTTTTTATTTGCTTTTTAAATTTTTTTATGCAGGTAATGATTCCAAATATTTCACAATTAAAATGCATCACAGTGGAAAATTTGATGGTTATGGTGATAAAGTATATATTGGTGGAAGAGTGAATAGTATTGATATGTGTCACTTTGATCAAATTTCTCTTATAGAGTTGGACAACATGCTAAAGAATATTGGAGTTGGTTATAATCAAATTACCATATTCTATCAGAGAATAGGTAATGGATGGAGAGCTTTGGAAAATGATCAACATGCTATGGACTTGATAAAATGGGTTGACAAGGTTAAAGTGGTTGATGTATATGTGGAACATATTAGGCAAGAATTGTTCAATCATAGTCAAGCAGATTCTAATTGTGGTCCATCAGAAAAAAGATTTGGGAGCCAAAATATACATGTGTCTGAACAGGAAACCAATTTATGGGGTCCTAGGGTTCCCACTGAGAGTTATAGGTCCTCTGAAAGTGATGCTTCTGATAGTGATTCATATTCCAAGGGTTCAGATTTTGAGTTTGAAGATTTGTATGATAGTGAATATGATGTATATGATGAATATTTGCATGAGACAATTGTTAAGAGTGACAAAGGTGAAAGGTTTGACAAACCAAAAAGGAAAGGGGTTCAGATTGAGACAGAGACAATACAAGAGCATGAATGTGGCGTAGGAGGTGAAGATTGTGAATCTGATGAGTTACGAAGTTTAAGTGGCTCATCATCCGATAATGATGAAACAAGGCATCACAGGAAGAAGAATCCATAATTTAATGCTAAGAGTGACATGGTTGATCCACATTTTAAGCTTGGGATGTTGTTCAAAAATTCAGTTGAGTTTAGAGCGGCAGTGAGGCAACATGCAATTAAATGGGGGAAAAAATACGGTTTTCTAAGAATGAGAGGTATAGAATCAGAGCGATATGTAGGCCAGGGTGTGATTGGATGATTTATGCTTCAAGATTGGGTTTAGAAAATACTATGCAGGTTAAAACATACAATGGTTCACATAGTTGCACTAGGACTTTTAAAGTTAAGCATGCTTCCTCTGACTGGGTTGCAGATACATATTCTGATAGACTTAGATCAAATCCCACTTGGCCCATGAAGTCATTAAAGGAAACTATTGAGAAGGAACATGTTATCAAATTGGATAGATGTCTGGTATATAGAGGTAAAGAAAAAGCAATGACAATGGTGAATGGAACTGATAAGGAGCAGTTCAGCCTCTTATGAGATTATTGTGAAGAGTTGAGAAGAACAAACATTGGCACAACCTGCATTATTAAGACAAAGGCTCTGGGAGGTGACAAATTCATGTTCAAGAGGTTGTATATATGTTATGGGGCATTAAAAAGGGGATTTCTTGAGGGTTGTCGACCCATTATTGGTTTAGATGGGTGTCATTTGAAGGGGTTACAAGCTGGTGTTTTGTTGTCAGCAGTGGGAATCGATTCAAACAACCAAATATATCCTTTTGCATTTGCTGTAGTAGAGAAAGAAAAGAAGAAATCCTGGTCATGGTTTCTTCAACTTCTGAAACAGGATCTTTGCATTGTTAACACTCATAGCTGGACTTTTATGTCAGATAAGCAAAAGGCAAATGCCTTTCTAATTATTGTTTATCACTTTTTTGCAAATGCCTTTCTAATTATTGTTTATCCTAGTCATATTTTTTGCACATATGTTAAACTACCAATTTTTTTTACAGGGACTACTTGATTCAGTTGAGAGCCTTTTTCCTAATGCTGCACACAGGTTTTGTGTAAGGCATATGTACAACAATTTCAAATCTGAACATAAGGGTTTAGCATTGAAAGACTTATTATGGAGGGCTGCTAAAGCAACAACGGTGACAAATTTTACCAGGATTATGGATGAACTGAAAGAAGTTGATGCAGCTGCATACAATTGGTTGTCTGAGAGACCAGCAATTAATTGGTCTAGATCCCATTTTAGTTCCATTCCCCAGTGTGATATGCTGCTTAACAATTTATGTGAGAGTTTTAGTGGTTGCATTGTTGAAGCTCGGGATAAACCTATAATCACAATGCTAGAAAAAATAAGATTGTGGTTAATGGAAAGGTTGCATCATCAAAGGGATTCCCTAAAGAATTATAAAGGATCTATTTGCCCTAATATTCAAGGTAGATTGGAGGCAATTAAAGTTGAATCTGCTGGTTTCATACCATATTGGAATGGGGGTGATCAATTTGAGTTAGTTGGAATGGGTGGTGAACAAAGGACTGTTGATGTGAAGAAGAGGACATGTAGTTGTAGGAAGTGGGATTTAACTGGAATCCCATGTAAGCATGCAATATCTGCTATTAGCTTTCTAGGATTTCAACCAGAAGATTATGCGGCTCAGTGGTGCAAGGTGGAAACTTTTATCATGTGTTATAGCCATCTTATTAATCCTATAAATGGAAAAGAAATGTGGCATAGAACATGTAATTCACCTTTGCTTCCTCCAATTGTAAGCAGGAGACCGGGCAGGCCTAAGAAAGTTAGGAGGAGAGAGATTGATGAACAACCAAAAGGTTTCAAGTTGATGAGGAAGTATAAGCATGTTGTGTGTTCAAATTGTGGTCAAAGTGGCCATAACAAAAGAAAGTGTAAAAAACAAACAGTTACACCAGATACACTAGCAGTTACGCCAGCACCAGTTATGCCATCAATTGGTGTCAGCACATCTGCATTCTCAATTGCAAGAGCAAAAATGAAGTTGCCAGTAAGTGCAACACTAATTTTCCTTTAAGTTTGTTAGAAATGTTGAATGTATAGTTGAACTAAGTTAATGTTAATTATTTCTAGGTTTGGAGGAGAAAATTTTCAACAACACCAGCTTCATCAGCATCAGCATCTGTACCAGTAACATCATTTGTGCCTGCAACATCATGTATACCAACACCAACACCATCACACATGAAATGGAGGCCACCAACACCATCATCAACAACATGGAGGCCACCAACACCATCTTCATATGCAACATCAACATCATGGAGACCACCAACACCAACTTCATCATCAACATCATGGAGGCCACCAACACAATGAAGTAGAATATTGACACTTTTTGAAATGAATTTTTTTTGTGGATTTATCTTTAAACAGTGTTTGGCTGTAAGTTTTTGGGATGATTTCTGACTAATGGTTGGAAATCTACTTTTGGACCATATTTATGTAGAATATTGGAATTTGGTGGATGAAATATACTTTTGGATCATATTTATGTAGATGCATTTTCTTTCTTTTTACAAATTTATGTCTTTGTAGGTGTAAATTATTTTTTTTAAATTTGAGGGTATAAGTTAATATTTTTAAACTTTAAGTGTACAGATTAAAATTTGAGAGATCTTTTGGGATATAATTTATAATTAACCCTTATTTTTTTCAAATATATCAGAACGTCAGTGGAGGGAAACAAGATAATTTTTATCTTGGCGCCAAAAATATGTGATTTTACACTTAAGCCCATGCCCCCTCCCACCTCTAACTCACGTGACTTTGTTTTAGACGGAAAAGTGGATGACTGTTAGTCTTAAGTGTAAAATGATACAAATTTATATCTTTTAGGGTGTAATTTAATATTTTTAATCTTTAAGGGTGCAATTTAAGATTTAGAAGATCCTTCAGGGTGCAATTTGAGATTAACCCTTATAACAATACAAGTCTTGTGTAATTTTGGCCCAACATATTAATTTTCCTTTTAAATTCAACAAACTTGTGGGAAGTTGATGTAATATCTATAAATTAACGTGGGAGCTAGAGTAAATTGTCTTATGGCCCGAGAGTGAGGCACATCCCCGGGGGGGGGGGGGGGGAGGAGGGAGAGAGAGAAACAGAACTCAGAGAAGAGAAGAAAAGAGCTGTGAATTGAGCGGAAGTTGTTATGGCGATGCGCGAGCTTGTGACAGGTGGGACGGCCTGTGCCGTGCCTGGTACTTCTTCTTCCTCTAACCCCCTCAGCGCTCTAGCCAACGCCTTTATTGGCTCTTCCTCTAAAACTCAGGTGCTTATTTTCTCTTGTTTATCCGTCAAAGCCTCACTCTTTATGTATAACAATGGCATGTACAGCGTTATCTAGTTGTATACGGAATTGGTCTGGAACTTACTCAAGAAACGTTCTTGATGATATCTTCTCCCCTCAATTTTTTGGTGATTTGGAATTTCAGTTATTTTTGAACACTATGTTATCGTTTACCAATCTGAGGTGTTTTGAAACTTTGGTGAAGTTACCTTTTTTATGCGCAGGCATGCTTCTTTGCTCACAAATTTTCATTTTAAGCGCCTATTTTTCCTAAATTCTGAATTTATATTCTTTCTCCCACACAATAACAGTAGGAAAACTGCTGTTTATAATACATTGTTCTTATTTAGCTCAGCTGATCTTTGGCTCGCATTTTTGAAGGAACTTTATGGCAAGCGAAAAATTTTGAGCTGAATATGCTTTCAAATGCAAAATAAGTAGTTTTGAATTGCCATCTAAAAGGTGTTGTACTGTTATTCCAGTTATCTCTGATGAATACCTGTGGTGGAAGTGTATGGGGTTGTTTGTAAGAAAACATTGTAAATGACTGCTATGTTTAGCTGATTCTTGTTTTTGGTGTAACCTTTATGCTTCTGGAAATATCCATGTGTTTATTTATCATATTTTTACCTCATGTTGTGGAGAAATTGGTGGTAAAGCAGTAACATCAAATATTTCAGCTTTGTAGAGGCTATTACTAGCTAGCTTAATTATATAACCCCTCTTCTCCAATTTCCACTGCAACTAGGCAAAGCTATTCTGTGCCCAACTAGCCAAAGCTATACGATCAGTAGGTCCTTGTAAATTACCACTGGAAAATTTATGATTCTTTGATGTGCATGCAAGGTCATCTACGTTGGGATGGTTCTCTGGTGTGAGCGTGTCATTCCCACAAGCATCTATCACCTTAATTGTCTTGTGGCCAAAAAAAGTCTACACCCCTTAGTGAATTTTGATGGAAGGATTTGGAAGATAGCAACTTAAGTTGACATATGTAAGGAAATTTGCCTCTTGACGTCTGTAGAACAAACTGTTTGTATGAGTTCGAGTTCCAAAGCTTTTATGAGTGGATGTTGATCTTCGAGTAACTATGTTGGTACTTTAAGTAAAATCAAAATATGTTTGAATTTACCGTGCAACTTTAACATGTACTGCTAATCTGCTTTATAGTTATACTCAACTCAACAAAGCATAAACAATTTTGGGGTCAGCTGTACTGCCATAGTTATACAATCATTAGCTCGCGGCTTTTCAAACAAAATGCTGTCAATACAGGTCACAATTGGCAGCATAAATTGTTGTGAGGATCAGAGATGCACTTCAGAATGTGCTAGTGGTTTATTTTGGTCTGTTGGGGCGTCTGCCTAACCACCGGCTTTGTCCAGCTTTTCTAAGCTTAATTTATCTGTCCATGCAGGAAAAGCTGCAGGAGATTCCTGCAGCAACAACTTCTTCAGACAATAATTTTCACATGGGAACTGAGGAGCCCCTGGCAGTGCTCCCGGGGTCAGAGCTTGATCATCTGCTGCAGCCCAATGCCTAGGTTTAATCTGTTCTCTTCTTCAAAATATTTTTCCCGGATCTGTTGGATTGCCGTTGTGATATCATATTCATTTACTTCAGGGATCAGAATTCATGCGGGGTTTCCACTCAGCAGATCAGAATAAGCTTGCAGATGTTTGGGATGAGATATGCAATCCTCAAATAAATTATCAGGGAAGAGATAGTATAATCAACTTCCCTATAGAGCATACTCAGCTTCAGCCATATTTGGATGGTAATTGAAAACATCTTTGTTACTTTGCCCCAATAAAGGATTTCAGTGGATCATATTGCTCATATAAGGGGCATTTTTGCATCAGGACCAGAAATTAGTGTTCCTTTGATCATTAGAGTATTGACTCAAATTAAATGTTGCTGGTTAGACAGAGGTGCTTTCTGGCTTGTTCATTCCCCCCTTTCCTTTTTATGTCCTTCCTGACCTTAACAGGGTTCTTTTAGTTTCTGTATATGAAATGATAACTTACTTTAGTTCCAGATTAATAGCACATGCAGAAGTTACTATTAAGCAAATGCTGAGTCTTTGAACTCCACCTGAGTTCAAACACGGGTTGGTCAACCTGCTCATTATATAAAGCTTATGAGCACAAGAGCATTGTCACCCTGAAATCAAATTGACATGTTGTTACTTCTACATGAGAATGGTAATAAGGACTTTAGCAACTGTTATAGGACTTCTAACAATTTCTCTATACTATATTACAGGGCCACCACAAAGAGTTTTGTCAAGTTTTTTGCACTCATTTGTTAATAGCAGCCATGGTGGCATTCCTTTTTGCCCTACTCCACTTCCGTTATTAGGATTGTCTATTGGTGAGAAAAAATGCATACGTGATTGTAGCAGTATCATGGCTTGGCACTTTTTTGCTGATTAGAGTGAGGACTTCGTCAATGCACGGGTTACGAGCTCATGCTGACTGTAAAAAGCTACATGTGGTTACCATTCGTAAACTTCATCTCTCTCTCTCTTTATCTCTCTCGATTCTGAGATTGCATCAGAGCTTTTGTTTTCCTTTTGCTGGTGATTAAATCTCTTGATTTGTTATTCTTCTTAACTTGGCATAAATTGTGAGATATTAGTATTTGCAAACCTCAACTTTTGGTTGGGACTCTTAATTCCTGACAATTTATATCATTTATGAATTGACCTTTCTTGTGATACTACTCTTGACTCTTCCACCTTGACGTTTGCCAAGTTACCGCCTGCTATCACCATCACCACCACCACCTTCATTGTTGCACCATGAATGTGAGATCTGCCACCTTTTGCACTACACTATTGGTACGGCCCCACACTTAAAAAACTTTATTACCTGGTTTTTGGTGATGCCATCTCCATTAGCGCCACTCAGCTTCTTTGACCACTTTCACCATCATTAATCCCATTGCTGCTACCTCCACCTTGTTACTTACTCTGTCGTTGTCACACTATCTGACTCACTTTCACCTCCACTGCTACCGATTCAGATAATAACACCTGTAAGCACCACTAACATTGCCTCACTGTTCCTTCGCCAGTTGCGGTATTGTAACCCTGACAACCATCTTGACTACATGATTTCTTAAGCCTCCAACACACCGACCTTGATTCGCCCTGATTATTGGACTTGGCAATTGAGTTCTGAAGAGGACAAATCTCTATTCTGTTTCCTAAGAGTTCTTTATTGCCGTGGTAATTATTATCTATTGCTGGGTTCGACCTTTTCGCCAACTGTGTGTTGATGAGACTTTGCTTTTCTATGAAAGTTTTTTTGACAAGAGGCGAAATTGCAACCTCATCTACAGAGCCTCAGCATTGTGCACCAACTCAGGCCGAGCTCATTAACAGCTTCTGAGATTTTGAACTTTCATGGGTCAACTCCAAGGCTTCAAAATGACTGCTACTCAAAAGTCCAATAGACAGAATAGGATCTTTGAGGAGGTGGAATCCATGGCTTTGGTCTTCAAGTATACAAAATCTGAACATAACCTGTATTGCCTGAATTCACATTTTCCACGAGGATACCCTGAAATTCTGTTTAATTTGTGCCTTTTTCTGTTTATTTGATGCTTTGCTAAGGGTATTGCTTACTCCAAATTTGGGAGTTCATATGAAATCTGTTGCTTTCTCAGGTGAATGCACTATTATCTTCTTTAGATATTAATAGCGATATCTGGCCTAGGGGGCCCACACCTGGAAGATATCGGGATTAGCATTCGTCGCCTAGTGGTGAACCAATAACACAGCAAATATTACTTGGATCTGGTGGAGGCAAATTTGGAGTTGCAATTTCATACAAAGGGCATTTAAAATTTGTAGTGATTGATTATCTACTCCAAAAATGAGAAAATGAAAAGAAGATTTTTTTTTCTGCTTTGGTTTGGGAACCTTTCTTGGGTCTTAATTTTGCAAAGTTCTGAGAAAATAGTTAAAATTGAACATTTAATAAGGTAAATTGCCATGGCCGATATTCTTCCAATATACCATTTTATGTCTTACAGTACCCCCAATTTAGTTATGTGTTCATGCACTTTGATCTTTTTCTTATCTTTCTTTTCATGCCTTCCTGACTAAGTTTACTGGATAATCAGTTCATTAGCATGCACATTTCGATGATAATTTCCATTTTCTCTTTTTCCCTTCTATAAATGGTATGGCTTTACAATGGTACTTGCTTATTCTTTATAGGAGCAATCTCAAAGTGCACCAATAGATCAAATGAGAGGTGGAAATATTTCTAGCTCAATTGCCATGGAGCAGACTCGTATGCTGGCGCCCACATTAGTTCAAAACAATGATCCTAAATTCCAGGTTTATGTCATATGTTCTAGAATTTGCGTCACTTAAAACTTGTATGTGGTGTGCATGTACTTTTATATTCTTTGTTTCTGTTGTGTGAAGCGTGATTTGTCATGAATGTGTTGAAAAATTAGAGCTGGTCTCTGGATAAAGCCAATCGTTTTTTTCTCCAGAAAAACAAAACAGTTTTAATAGGAATTAGCCTGCTGGCTTGAATTTTTTAATGATTTAAGCATACATCTCAATTAGGAGATCAGATATGGCATTTTCAGTTTGATAGCATGCTTTCATGTCACTAATGACTTGATTTGATAAGTCCCAGTGTGACTATGATTAGTTTGTATCTGTTGCTGGCCTTGGCAACTATGTTGTCATGTGTGAGGCCCATGGTATGGACAATTGTATTGGTAATTAAAAAACATAAAGAAAAGAAAGATATGGCCTGGCAGGAGAACATTCTGAAGAAGGGTTGCTAATGCAGGAGTGAAGTTTGATGGAGATTTCTGTGATTTTTCATTACTGGGTGCTAGTTCAAATACATATGATATGTAACAAAATGGTCTTGAGGGTATAAAAAATTCCTATGCATCAGGGTCTTAATGATTTCATCCTTGATTACATATTTTTTGGTTCAAACTTTCATTATGGGGCATGCAGAATTCAAAGTTTCTCCAATTTGTGTCAAGGATGAGTTGTGGAGAAATTACCATCGAAGATAATCAAATCAAGCTAGCTTCATTTTCTTCACCTGGGGATTGGGCAACAAAATATCAACAACAGTATAGTGGAGTTCAAACATGGGCTGACCAGTTTGTCCGTGAGGAGGCAAGTATAAACTTGGTAAACATGTGATTAGAAAGTTCTATGGTTGCCAATTAAATGTATGTTTGTGCTACTAGCACTTTTTTTTTTTCAAGCGCTGATAACAAGATGATCAATCCATGTCAAACATGATAAGCTTACCTCTAAGGAAAAAGGCTAAAACTGATATACTTTATCCAGCTTGTTTTGAATGATACACTCATTAATCTATGATGAAGCGTGTAAATTCATTGTTCGGGCTTGCTTTATGTTCTATTTGACCTTGAATATGCCTGAGGTCCATTCCTTCTTTTTTGGACTAAACAAAATTATTTGTTCAAGGAGGCCCCGCCGACACAATTATTTTCCAAAATGATTTTTAGTAGTTTATTACTGTGCAGAACATTTCATGGTTGGTTATGAGCTGAATCAGGATCCTGTCATGGACAGGGGCAACTGTTGCCTTGGTTGTTTCTGTTCATTTTTTGGGTGGCTAACAGATAAATAGGTGGATTAGAGCCATTAGATTAGAGCCATTAGACCACCTTTTTCGCTCTAAAGAAAAAAGATTAGACCTTGTTGTGGACGAGAATGAGGATGGACTTATTGTTGTGTGTTTTGGGACTAGCAAAATATTCTTGGAAAGAATTTGGAAAACAGTCTTTAATGGAAGGATAATCAACATGTATATATAAATTATTTTCTCCCGCATCCTGATATGCTTCAATAGGATCACCAAAGGTTTTGCTCATCATTGAGGATTAATTAATGACATTGGTCAAAATTCATTAAATAATCTTAGTAAAGGTTAAAAAGCATGTAAACAAACATGGGGCTGCTTCAGTGAAGTAGCGTAAGCATTCTCGGACAATTATTTTAGGATGTGGTCATGCTACTCAGTATCAAGAGTCTCTTTGCCTTTGCGCATTTCTGTTTTTTTTTGAATCTCCGGACACCATAATAGCACCACTACTCAGAGCTCCCTCAACAACCACTAATCATCACCAGTCACTGCCAAGAAACCATCGCATGTTGGTAACCAATTCCAAATTTAAGTGTCCAAAATTGCTGTCAGTTTTCAGTAAATCTCGAGAGGAAAGGGTGGACCTCTGAAACTAACGACAGGCCACTTCCATTCCCCCACCCTGGGGGCATGCAGGGCTGGTTTGGTATTGGTGGATGTAAATGGCAGTGGTGAGTTGAAATTATGACTGAAGTTGAGATTTGACCATCAAGTGGTGATGGGTCACCAAAAATATTAGTTTGAATTGCAAGCTACAAACCCAGTCCAAAAAAAAAAAAAAAAAAAAGATTGCATGCTACAATGACGTGAGTATTTGTTGTTTTGTGTGTGTGTGTGTGTGGATGAGAGAGAGGGAGAGAGAGCAAGGATTCGTCCAGGGATTGAAATGGTGGAAACAACAGGTCTAAGATATGGTAATTAAATAACTTAATTAACCTATACTAGATGTAAGGGAATTAAGTTTGGGTTATTCTTCCACTGGTTTTTATGGAGAATGCTAAGCTACCGCACTATAGGGGATGTTAACAAATCCCCTTAAACAATCCACTCTGAGGCTAGAAGAAATGGACGAAATAATATTCATGCTTGACGGGCTCTAGAAGAAAACGATGGATCTCTGTCCTCTCCTGTTTGTCTCTCGTTAGGTTGGACCAAGCGTAAAAATAATCCATTTTATCTCATATTGATTTGTTATCAGAACTGACAAAAAATTGTACAATGTTTTGTTCATGGGATTAATTCCCTCCAGTTATGGTTTTGTTCTGGCTAAAAATGATACCCATGTCAGTTTATGCCCACACCCTGTTTGATGTTGTTGTAGCCCAGATATACTCTTTGTACAACTTTATTTAATTCAGTTGAACTCTTACCTTGCACTCATGAAAAAGAAAAAGAACATCAGGAATTTTTTCAAAAGGTAAGACCATCAGAAATGTGCTCATAAGGAAATTATCAAATTGCAGGACTCGTAGGTGACATCCATTCTGCCTCTTCACTCCATGCTAAGCAATATCAGAATCATGGATTGCTTCTGTTGTTGATTATTAGTCATTAATTTGTTTGTTTAGGTAAATGATTAGTACTAACTAGGATTTTGTTGCTATCCGCATTCTAAGCATTACTGTCGATACCTACTGTGATTTATGTTGATGAGGTTTCTTTAGGAGCCTGCACTACATTTTCTTTTCATTCTAATTTAAAAATACTTCCTGTCAGTACTGGATCACATCACGAACTCTGCTACTGCTTAGTGATTTTAGATTTCTCATGGTCCTGATAGATGGGCGAATGAGATCACTTCCGAACGTGAGCAACATGGATCAGTTGATGACCAGTGGTTCAGTGAATTTTCCAAATTGCATGTTCGTGACTGGGTGGAAGCGTTCGGTCGTCAGGTTGGTGAAAGAGCACTGGGGGAGGATTCTGCTGATAACTGGGCAAATGCATATGGAGAGTAAGTACAACTGATTCTCAAAGAGAATTAGAGAGAAATTAGTACGTGCTTCCCCACAATTGATCCCTAAATGTTTCCATGTTTGCTTCAAGACTTTTTTTTTTTTAATAAAAAAATTTGTCTTAGTCTATTGGAAATTATCGAGGTGAATTCGTCTCACAAGCAGTTATGTTTTTTGGTGCTATATCTGTGCTATTTTTTTGGTGAATTCGTCTCACAAGCGGAAATTATCGAGGTGAATTCCTTCTAAAATTGGTTCTCATGATATTTTTTTGGTGCTATTTCTGTCCTATTGCAACATTTGGTCTTTCACCAGTTTGTTCCTTTTTTTTTCGCTTGCTCTCTTCTTTCTTTCTCATAATAGAACCTTTCTTCAAATGCTTTACTTCAGAGGTGTTGCTTCACTTTCTCAAAAACTCTCAGGATGTTGGCAGCATTTCTCAGATATGATGTATTCTTGTTTGCTGAGTCGTGGTTGAGATTACCTTTTGGATATCTTTCAAAAGATGGAACTAGGAAACTTGCAATGGAGCCATACCTATTGCAATTGCATGACCACATTTATGGTGTTTATGTATAGGTACTTAGATGAGCAAGCAGCTGCCAAGCAGCGGTCAGAAACTTCAAGGGGGGTCTATGTGTTTTCTGATTTAAATCCTTATGTTGGTCACCCCAACCCTTTAAAAGAAGGTCAGGAATTGTTCTGCAAAGGGCTTTTGAGTGAAGCAGTGCTTGCTTTAGAGGCTGAAGTTTTGAAGAACTGAGACAATGCTGAAGGTTGGAGGTTGCTTGGCATAGCCCATGCTGAGAATGATGATGATCAACAGGTTAGATTTATTCTTGAATGAATCTTCTCTGAATCTCCTTCCTCTGTACGTTGTCTTGGAATCTTCTTACCTTCGTAGAGTTGTGGCTGATTTTTTTCTTGGCCTGGACACCTTTATCCCTGGGGCATGCTAAAGGATAAACTTCTCGTGTACTATTTTTGGGATTTTTGTATATTAAGCTCCCTCGGTTCTATGTTGGGGCATATCGGATGGAGATACTTACCAAAAGAATGTGATTGAATATAATACTATTTCAAGTTCTACTGCAACAAACCAATAACAAATAAGTTTGGCACATATAATTTCCTTTAATTGGAAGTTATGTCAAGATGGAATACTCTTCCAAGTAATTGGCTGATGACTTATGATAATAAAATCTTGTGAGGTATCAAATGTTCCATGTGTCATACTCTTTTGGTACTACCTTTTTCTACTTTTAATAAAATTTCTGTTACTTATATATAAAAAAAAAGGAGATCTTGTAAGGTATCAGATGTTCCACTTGTCTTTGATATATTGTTAAATTATGGAAATTCTCCTTCAAAAGAATAAGAATGGACAAAGATACACGTACGACACGATACGATAAAATCTCTAAAAGTAGGATATAATATGGATACAGCTGAGATACGTCTATGTTAGTATTTTATTAGGGTTATGAGTGATTAAAAAATAAAACACGTTCCAAATTAAAACAATTTATTTTAATAACATAAGAATTGCTTAAAGGTGTTTTGCTTCCAATCATATATGTAATTTTAAAGCTGAACACGTGTCACCCTTTGTAGTCTTCAACATTTACTTATCATTATTTAGTCCAAACAAATTGTGAATAATTAACAAATCTTATGACATATGTGATTCACGTTCAAATGAACATCTTGGAATAAGGAGTCACCACATATATGATTTATGGTTTTTACTTTTTACACATCTCACCACACTAAGTATAAGGCAAATGTATCCACTGTGGAGATACGTGTATCTGAGGTGTATCCAACAATGATAAATATCTTATTAATTATTCGATATGTGCGGAAAGTATCCAATACATATTTGGGAATATTCGATGAGTATCGGATAATACGTTACCTTGATCAAAGTATCCGTGCTTCATAGTTTAGTATAGATGGTTTTATCGTGAATGGTACTGGAAGCATTGCTCTGATGTATTTGTTGATATATTCTTTACGATAATCTACCCACACTAAGTATCATGTAGAAATCCAAACTTGACTTTTATTAACCTTTGAAGCTCTAGAATGCTGTCTTGGTTATGGTGGAACTTTTGTTTTTCTCAATTAAGAGCTGAAGCAGTATATTTTATCAGATTATGTTTTTATCGATTTGTTGAATCAACATTGGCAATGAATTTGCCCCCATTTTTTTTTTTGCCTTGTGATCTGTTTTCTTGATATTTAGACGACTGAATAAACTTTAGAATATTGAATTAATTGACATTCAATTCAGTTAAAACCTGCATCCCAGCTGATTTCAGGATGAAAATTCATCTGTTCCAATTCCAATATTCGTTTTTGATGTTGAACCTGTGTATAAATACTTGCGTCTTTATTTTGATGAAAACCTGCTCGCATCACAGGCTATTGCAGCCATGATGCATGCACAGGAAGCTGATCCAACAAATCTTGAGGTGCTCCTTGCTCTTGGAGTGAGTCATACAAATGGTAAGTGATTTCTTGTTCATTCCCAGATTGGATTTTGCATTGAATTGTGTTATAACCTTTTTTCTCAGAACATTGTTGTGCAAGATTTCACAATTTCTGGAGTGCATGAGAGTACACAAGTCTAAGTTTTAAGATTGACATCGAGCAATAATTTATCTTTGTCTATTTTCAGAATTGGAACAAGCAACTGCATTGAAGTATCTATGTAGTTGGCTACACCATCACCCAAAGTATGGAAAAATTGCCCCTATCGAACTGTCTGATTCTCTGTATTATGCTGATGTAAGTATCCTTTAAACTGGTAATCCCCCCTCTTTCTATATGTATGTATATATATACGTATATAGACTGTTTTTGTGTCGATGTCGATTCCATAAGCTGCATTAAATTTTGTGAATTTTCCACTGATGCTTGGCAACTTCTTGAAACTGTTGACTATAAATGTCAAATGAATGGCTAGAGACACATATTTCTCTTATCATTCATCACAGGTCCCAATTCTTTTCTTGTTTGCAGAATACAGGTTGCTTGATTATTCAATGATGCTGCTAAAATGTCACCCGAGGATGCTGATGTACACGTAGTACTCGGTGTCTTGTACAACTTATCCAGGGAGTATGACAAGGCCATTGAGTCTTTTAAGACAGCTTTGAAGCTTAAGCGACGGGATTACTCTCTCTGGAACAAGCTTGGTGCGATACAAGCAAACAGTGTTCAGAGTGCCAATGCCATAGTGGCCTATCAACAGGTAGGCCCTATCTTGTCACGTTTTATGTTCTACTTTGGCTTCGGGGCACTCATTTGAAAATTGAATCAAGAATTCACTACGTAATCACCGAAATGATTACAATTGGACTGGTGGCATCTAAGAACATCTCCCTCGCTTCCTGCTTGGTATGCTGTATTTTTTTTCTTCTTGGCCAGGATTGGAATCCAATCTTTTATTTTTTATCTTGGTTCTCAGGCTCTAGATTTGAAGCCCAATTATGTCCAAGCATGGGCAAACATGGGAATCAGTTATACCAACCAGGTTATTTAAGCTTCATGGTCGCTGTTATCTGTGGATTTTTTTTTTCCCATGCTGTGGCATTCATTGCATGGGAAAACAAAAAATAATATTTCCTGCTTTGTTTTTGGTTCTCATCTATTTGTGTGGTGTGGGACTGCTGCGTGTAATTGACTCAGTATGTATATTGGCTCTTCTCAGGGTATGTATGAGGGAGTCCATTTCTTACTATGTCCGGGCACTGGCAATGAATCCGAAGGCAGATAGTGCCTGGCAATATTTGAGGATTTCTTTACGGTAGGTTGCTTGGAGAACTAGAACAATTTTGTTGTCTTTCATGCTATTGAACTACAACTAATTTTTTCCTCCATTCATAGTTGTGCTTCCCGCAATGACATGCTGGAAGTTTGTGACTTCCGGAATCTTGATGTTCTCCGGAAAGAGTTTCTATTGTAATTTATAGTCAGAACTGAATGAATGATCGGCTCGGTTGCTGAGATGAGGTCTGAATTGGGGAACTTTCTCATCCTTTATAAGCTTAGAAGGAAGTTGCAATGAGGTTGAGCTTGATTCGGATTATGATATTCAAGTTTTATGTTTTGCTGCATGTGGACCCTTCACTGCTGAGCATCCCGGTCCCGTAAGCCTTCTAGAGAACTGGAAATATCTAGGGACATTTTTGTTCGCTAGAATATTATGAACTGTTATCATTAAGCTCCTCAGCATTGGCACAAAATCGTAAAGTTTTCTGGACTATACATTTAAAACAAATAAACATAGTGAAGAGTAGATGGGAACACTTCAAGTAAGAATTGAAAATTCTTCTTGCCGTTTTTTGGTAATAGTCGGGACGGAGACAAAAGTTCATACCTTACTATGGCTGCTTGGATTCTGAAATTGTAAGTAACATTCATTTGATTAATGATATTTATAAACAACGTTTTTCAAACCTGGCATATTTGCATGGACTAGGGTGGTGTTTTTTTTCCTTCTCAGAGGATTCTTAAATGTGACGACAGGAAGGTCAGAGAGATTCTATCACAAAAAATAGAACAAAAATGAATCTGAAAAAGCGACGAAGATAGAACTTTGAATGTGTTAGGTTTTTCCTGGAGAGGACTCTAATTCATGCCAATGGAAGCAGTTTCAAGGGATGAACATGCCCATCCGGTTTTTTAACCTGCAGAACGGATGTTAAAATGGACTAAGGCTTCATCTAATTATTATTATTTTGCTCCATCCGATTGAATTACAATTCGGGCCTCAGGAAAGATTGGGGATGTGGTCGTTCCGGCGATGCTAGAACTGGGGGACATTTGCAAAACTGGGTGAGTCTACGTTTCAGCAGAACAATTATGGTATCATCAGTTTAGTTGAAGTTTGGTTTTTCCATGAAGCAAAGACAACTATTGTATTCCAGCGAAGTTACTTGAAAAGGAGACACTGTACGTTTCGAATATGTTATGTACAAGCAAATGTTATACAGGAGGAGCTCAGGTGGTCCCAGAAGTGTTAGAACCGTAAAAAGGTATCTGACGGTTGGGAGGGCAGGTGGGGTGTCTGGTGTTCTGTTGTCCTTACTCCTTACTCCTAATTTTATCAAATATAACTTAAAGGATAAAGTTACAGTATTATATCAATATTAATCCAAAAAAACTAAAATAAAAAATATTTTTATTGTATAAAAATGAAAATAAAATACCAGAAAAAGCACTTTGGTACCGTAAATGCACTCATAAATAAAAGGGATGTTTTAAGTACATAAATAAATATGGGACTTCACTACAATATCAGGAAAAAATTTTCAGTATCGTATCTTTAACTTTTATTATTTTAATTGGTGTTTTTTATAATTTTTGTGGGTCATTTTACACTTTTGTGAACATTTTTATCACGATTGTTGGTAATTATTTTTATTATTATTTTTTTTTATAAGTAATTTATCACATTTATAAATATTTTTATCACCGTTATGAATTAATCTTTTACTTTATTAGTTGATACATCTTTATGTCTCAAATATATATCAATTTATATTTCAGTAATTTATATTAATTTTTTTGGTCTCAAATATACCTATGGGAAACATGATATAGTGACACGCAGACATACACAACCATCGGTTCTCTCCCTTCTCTAAATCATTTGGGTAGGATAATGTTGTGATGAGAGGGAAATTGTACGATCAAACAATGTGAAGGAAAATAAACAGAGACAGCCTTTGCCAGTTTCTTCATTTACTTCTAGGCACGGAGGCAGTCCACCGAACCTTTGGACATGTCCCTATACCACAACCTATATGCCCCTACCTATGTTCTCTACTGTACGTACCTCCTCAATATATTTAGTATGCAACACAGAATATAGACGCAATCTTCCAAACCATTCTTCTCCAGACTCCGTATCTCTCTCTCTCTCTCTCTGTGCGAGTGTGTGTGCAGAGAATCAGCACCATTCTGATTTCTGTGCTGTTGGAGTGGTCATAACATAACATTATATGACGGGTTACGTATCCTATGCAATATGCACTCTTACCCATTTTAATGCATCAAACTATATCATGATCTGCAAGTGTTATGATAATCTCTTTCTCTTGCTAAGTTTACTTATTATTGATCGGTGACATAACATGAGATTAATGATATATTATCACCTTTATATTTAATATTTTCTCTATATTCTCGTAGGAAAAGGAAGGTAGTCATACAGTCCAACTGCCTTGTGCTTTGCTATGCCACAATCGCACAACTTAATATAAATATTATGCTTTCTATGGTTGCTCATAGGATTTGGGAGGTCATGCTTGGGTTTGCACTTCCCTTTACTCTTATTTCGGATTTCGGTGGGCTTGTATAACTTTGATGCCGCTGTTTGGGAGTCAGGAACCGAAGGAGGTTCCGTTACATCGATATATTATTATTCTTTGACACTTTCACAATTGATTAAATAATTCTCAACTATCTTTATATGAATAAACTATGGTTATACATGAATTACTAGACCTCTAAGTTTATTATCAGATTTCTTATAAACCTATTCACATTATATTAGAAAAGTTGTAATAATTTTTTTATTTGATCTCAGATCACCCAATAGCACCTTTACACAAGTCAACCGATTATCAGTGAAGAAAACAAACCCAAGAAAAAGATAATAATATTTAATCTAGAGGGTTGGATGATGATCAATGATCACCCACGCCCAACCCTATCACCATTCTGAACAGTAAGTACTATTTGAATGAACAACACATTGATTGCGCATATCTCTCAGAAGAGACTTTTGAGGGTAAGGCAAAGCCTAGTAGCCTACTAATATAGCCTTCAATGGATGGGTGGTTCTTGAGGTTGAGGGTATGTTGTCTTCAGTTAGCTTTGGCATCGGTGATTGCAGGACTTCTAAAGAAATATATATGATCAGGGGGATGTAGATTTTTTTGCTCAACATAAATGATAAAACTATGGTATGGGATCGTATTGAAAGTTAATATTTTTAAAAATAAAGTTATAATTGATTGAGTTAATCTATGATTAATCATCAATATATTGTGATTAATCATGTCATTTTTTGTTATAGTTTATACCCCTATAAAATTATAACTTGAACTAAAAATATTATAATTTTTGATACAATATTTTCTTAGTTCTCCTCTCACAACAGGGGTTGAACACGGTTTCTAAAAAAAATTTCGGTACCATACCATTTACCTTTTTTTGGGTACCTATACCAACTTTTTCGTGCATCTTACTAACGTTTAGGATGCACTCATTTTTTGTGTTTATTTACTATTTTTTGAGTTTACTTACTACCCTTTTGGTTAGAATTGATCTCTTTTTGCATGGAACTTGTTATTTTTTGGGAGATACTTTTCCATGTGGTCTCGAAAAGTAAAAATTGAGTACGATAGTATTTCCTTTACAACATAAATGTCTTTGCTCCTGCTTCTTTTTCTTTTGGATCTATCATTTCCACATTCATTGAATGATTGATTTCATGTATCTTTGTTTTTGTTTGAATTGTGCACACAATCATCACCATGCCTGCGGCAAAAAAAAGACTATGCAACAAAAAGATAAGTTTTGATACTCTTTTCGGCCAAGTTGCTTATTGATTAGTCTATATGTTTGGACTTACTCTGCCTTTTCACACAGCTCCAATCTATACTAGAATTTGTGGGTTTCTAGTTTAATATGAAAAAATTCTTCCAGGCTGAATTGACTACCCACTTGTCACTCAGTTGATGGTGCATTAATCAAAATTCTCCACTTTATGCATATATTCTCATTAAATAACAGCCAATCATGACTAGAATTTTCAAGCAAACCCACTTTTGCGACTCTCTCTGGTATGTCCATTCCTGCACTGAACCCACCACACTCATGAGATGTAAACCATTTAAGCAACAGAGATGTGAGGGCTTACCAGAACACGAAGAACAAGCTGAATAGCTGATGCAGAAACCCTACCATGGGTAATCTGGCTCATAGATTCGTATGCATTAATGTCTCAACTCTATTGTTAAGTATTTACAGTCCAGAAATGTCTTAACTACGCGTAATCATTTCAAAGTATGATTACAATGTCAACTCTCTCTCTCTCTCTCTCTATGTATTTACATAATCACCTATAAATAGAATACATGTTTAAGCCAAAAATGTTTAACTGAAATTCAAACTTGGGATTTCGAGTGAGTAATCTTTAAAATCTTTCATCCGAGTTATCTTCATGATTACGCATGAGAACTTGGGCTTGTCACATGTTATCTCTCTTAAACATATGACAAACTCATAGATCTGCGATGTCTAAGGTTCGATATTTCTCACATTTTTTAAGAGAAACCACCTTTGTTCCTTAAAGGATATGTCCTTAAATTAATTTGAGTTATGATGGTTGACTCAAAGTTCGAGAAAATAGTTAGCACAAATTTAAACATCTTATAGATAAAAACCTTACTAATGTAGCAATAATTCTGAGATAAGAAGTGGAGTTGACGAAAAGAAGTTGGGGATGCCCACTCGACAGCAAAAAAACGAGGTTTTATTTAGAAGGATATTCTTAGTTCAGCCAATTAGCATCAACTTGCTTTGCTTAACCGTCCGTCGTTATCTGATTAGAGTAGCAACCAAAACGTTTGATTCCATGAAATTTGTCATCTATCCATTTAAATACTATCACACAGGAAATTGCCTTAGATTCTATTCTTCAGAAGTTCCTCTAGGTCAAAGAAAAAGACAATAAGCTCCAATGTTGAGTATCTGTTCAATTTTTGTCAACTCATGCAGTTCAGATTCTCTAAAGGGAATCATTGCAGAAAAATCAACTGCTTACATGAGTAAATATGTGAAGCATACTACACATGACAAGTGAGATTAGAGCAAATGTAATAAGGACTTAATTTGAGAAATTAATTCGGGACCTAATTTAATGTAGCCATTAAATTAATTATTAGTTTTTATGTTAAATAGATTACACTTTTTAATTTAACAGTTGTATGTCATTAGATCCCAGGTTAGATGTAAATAACATTTTGTATGACATTGTAAGGGCTTACTATTCTCCAAATGTGAGTTTATTTATAATCCAATAACATTTTGTTTTACATCTTTTAAATTTGTTATAATCATGTGTTTTTGTAGATTAATGACTACAATATTAGTCCAAGATGATTCATAAATTATACAAATCAATTAATCTTAATTTTATGCTTCAAAAATTTTGGAGTTATTCGACCTTTCATTGTTAGTATAATTTTTTTATTTTTGGAAGGGGATGAAATTTGAACCCTCGATCTCAAAAAAATAAAATTTTTACAAGATAAAAAGTATCATTAAACTAAAGATCCGTTAGTTATTATTAATAAAAGTTAAACTCTTTCTCAATGTTTTTTTTGTTGGGGTTTTGGGGGGGGGGGGGGAAATTAAGATAAAGTTTTGGTAAGCAATTAACATTAGTGACAAATAGAACTCAGTTTCCTCCAAAAAAAAAGAAGAAGAAGGAGAAGGCTATGATACATCCATAGGTTTTTTTCGGTATTATACCAAAAATTCTAAATTACAACATTAATGGTATGTTTATTAAATTTATGGCATATTTACATTAGTTGGTAAAAAGACAAGATGTTGAAATGACAAGACAAGACATATTTTTGAGCCGCAATTAAGTCAATTGAGGGCAAAATTACAACATTAGTGAGAAGTTTACAACTATAGTGAACAAAGTTACAACATTAGTAAAAATTTTACAACAGTAGTGATTAAAATTATAAAATTTGTAGAAATATTTACTAAATTTGTGGAAATATTTACAACTTTAGTGGTATATTTACCAAATTTGTGGGAATATTTACAATTTCAGTGGTATATTTATCAAATTTGTGAAAATCTTTACAATTTCAATGGATTCAAATATTTACAACTTCATGGGAGATTTGATCGATCAAATTTGGTAAACATACCACTGAAGTTGTAAATATTTTCACAAATTTGGTAAATATATCACTGAAGTTGTAAATATTTCCAAAAATTTTGTAATTTTATTCACTACTGTTATAAAATTTTCACTAATATTGTAATTTTATTCACTATAGTCGTAAACATCCCACTAATATTGTAATTTTGCCTTCAATTGACTTAATGACGGTTCAAAAATATGTTTTGTCTTGTCATTTTAATGTCTTATCTTATTACTAATTTGTGTAAATATGTCATAAATTTAATAAATATATCATTAATATTATAATTTAAAATTTGGTACCAAAAATTCTTATGGATGTACCGTAGCCTTCTCCAAAAAAGAAAGGCAGGGCAAAATGATGGGTCTGAATCGTATGGTCGGATTGATGGATGGGTTGATTCTCATGCCATGCGTGCACCAACAGCCATCAGCCATGTATACTTGTCACAGCTCGCAAAAGGCACAGCACAAGCAAACTTTTAGCTTTGTGATGCGCAGTGGCTTGCGTGGGCGTCGAATACTTAGTGACCATCTTATCATTGTCAGCTAGCAGACTAGAACCTGCAACCTCTCTCTCTCAACTATTGCATCATTCCACTGAAAAACAAGGCTTTCATCACTAGTAGGGTTTATTTAGGGTGATTTCATGTTTTCACAACAAAAAAAAATTGTTTTAAAGAAAAAATTATAACTAATTGAACATGGTCGATTACGAATTATTTAAATGATTTGTAAGTTCTGCTTTGTGAGTTATAACATAACTTTTAAAAATTATAATTTTATACTTGATTATAATATTTTGAGATCAATACCTTTTTTATGATTATAACTTATACATAAAAAAATTATAACTTAATCTCAAAAAATTATACCTTTCTCTCTCCATTGTTTAAGGAGGACTTCTATTTTCTGTCAAATCAATCATCTGATTTTATACTTGTCGAGTTGGATATAGGTTTAGCTATACCAAGATCGGAGTATGACATATTTACATGGAAGAATAGAAGTTGGGTGGTGAGGGGTGAGGGGTGAGAGTTGAGAAACCATGAACAAGAACAAGAGACAAAGAGGAGAGAGGATTGGTCCTTGGAACACCACAACCACAAGACACGAGAAAGATCCCTTGTGTTTGTGGGAAAAGAAATGGTCCTAGATGAGGGGCAAGGTGGGCAGCAAAGAAGCTCTAATTGAGAACTTTCATGGTTTTGTTGGGGGGGACAAAAGGCAGAAATTAGGGCAGTAAATGGTGAATATCAAAGACAGCCAACAAGTATATACGGGTACTTAGTGCAAAAAACAAGAACCCTCATGTATCTCTCATATGGTAAAATACACAACAACTAAGGAGACAAAGGAATTTCAGGGAACAAGAATGGCACCTTTGCACATAGGACTTGGTACTTTTTGCTAATCACTTTTTATACAGAATATATAAATTAACACTAGAAGAAAGAACTATTTTATTTTACAGTAATCATCAATTCAAGAATAAATATATTGTACTTGAAACAAAGTGATGAAGCATTATTAGCATTACAGAAAAGAAGATAAACCAACCCACCAACACAAAATGACAAACACGTACGCCTGTTAAAGAAGATGGTGGTTAACACTTCAAATGGAATATATTAACTGATTATATGATATGCGCCACACAATATTGTTTTGTTTGTTGCCCTCGAAAGGCTTTTGGAAGAGGATTTGGTTAAGCATCTCCAATTAAAAAACAAACAATAAGAATGATACATAGAAATTTGAATATATCTATATATATATATATATATATATATATATTATCTCCCACCACTGGCAGTGTAAAGATAAAAACATTCAGTTTTGAGTTACCCAAGAAGAACCTGGGTGGAGGTCAATGGAAGCCATGAGGTTTTCAGGAGGCTTGTTCAGGTGCTGTTTAATTCCCTCCAAGTTTTTACATGCAACGTGCTGATTCCCAATGTCCATGCAGCCTAAGAGAAACTAGGGTTAGGGTTTTAAGAAGGAAGTCTTAATTAGGAATTTTCAGCACATTTAGTGCCAAGAAGAAACTGAGAAAAGAGGCTGATTCTGCCAACCCAAGAAGAAAGAATCATTGAGAATGTGAAGTTGGTAACCCTCAGAAGGGTAATGAAGCCTCAAGAGAAGTTTGGCCTGAGAGAGGGCAAAAGGGCTTAAAGGAACATTAACTAAGCCTGAGCTCCTCAACATTACCTCCCATGATCGGAATCTCTCATGCCGCTCTCTCCGGTGTTCTCCTTCCGCCGCCAAAATGTCGACGATCTCTCTCCCAAACCATACCTGCTCAACGGCCAACCTCTCACGGCTATTCGGCGGCAGAGTCGCCTCCAAAGAATCAAACACGGCAGTGTAGTGGTCTAAGGCTTCCACAAATCTCTGCAAGAAAAATGGGTGGTTATGGTTCGCTTCTCTTTCAGCCACTGCCACCACTTTGGGATTCATACACTTAATTCTGTGAAGAAAAAGGCGAAGCCGTTCACGGTCCTTGAGGAGTCTGTGAAGATAGAGAACACAGTTCACAGCTAGGGTTTCATCAGGAAGAAGAAGAACCGCTGAGGCTACCGAGGTAGGGTCATCGTTGTTGAGGAGGAGAAGAGGGTGGAATTGGAATCTGAGGCCTAATGAGTGGGCAAATTTTGCAAGTCGGTCACCAGTTCGCCGGAGGATGTCTAAATCGTGGCCGGTGCCGGTGATTCGGAGCGTCGGTAAAGGGAAACGCTCGGCGATGGCCTGCATTAACGGAGGCCATTGCACGCCGTGCATGATATCGAAATCGAGGATGTGGATCGCTTGTTGACCTTCAATGGCTTCCAAGATTGCTTGATTAGCCGTGAGCTGACTGAATCTAATGAATGGGGTTATTTGGTTCAGTGATAGGTACGATGAATGAACAAGAGCTTCATCTGATTCGAAGGTGGTGATGCTAGTACTACAACTTGATGCATTGGTACTTAGTACACTAGCACAGGCGGAGGGATTAGTGGTCAGGGAGGCGGCACCACTAGTTACGGCTGTGCGATTGAGGCGGAGGGATAGGGCTCTGGTAAATTGGTGGACTAATCGTTCAGTGGAATCGCCGTAAGGGGAAGAGTTAGCAGACAAAACGGTGATAAGGCGGTGAGCGGCGGAGAGATCAGACTGTGAGATTAGCTCAGCACAGCTTATGAGTAATTGGCGAATATGGGTTGCCGGAGATGTGAAGTTCCGTTGTTGAATCTGGTGATGATGGAAGTGCTGCCGCACATCTGGTGGTGATGGGTCTTCTTCTTCCTCATGGGAAGATGAACCAAATGAGCCCAACATATCTAACCAAAACCAAACTATTTCTGGATAAACCCTAGAAACATAGGGTTATATGTGTTCACATACAGTGAGAGATAGAGAGAGATGGGTCAGATATCAATGGAGGAGGAGAAGGGACTTGTGGGTTAGCATCTCAAAATGAAAAGCTAGGAAGTAGGAACATGGGCAAGAGGGTTTTTGCTATTTTCTTGGTTTTGAGTGAATGTAGACACATGATATGATGATGATGTGGTGGTAAGTAGTCGTATCTATGACAGAACATTATCTGAAAGTAATAGGAAGAAGAACACACTTATAACAGTAGAAGTCTGCAGTAGCAAAAGTATTCCCCCTTTTCCCACAAAAATAACCACCTATTTAAAGAAAATCTGTATAAATCGGTAGAGAGAGAGAGACAAAAAGTTTAGGGTTTTGCGCCATCTCAAGTGACCACAATCAAATCTTAGTATATATTGATGTTTCTGAGATATATTGTCAACACCCATAAGGATTTATGCAAGAATCAGTGTTAATCACAATCTCTCTCACCATCAGCATCAGAGTTTGAGATTTAAGAGAGCTGCCGACATAATATATTCTTTCGTTGAAAAAGGATTGAGAGTTTTTTTTTTCTTTTCCACAAAAAATGGGACATATATACTTATTACTACTGTTTTTTAAGGAGTGTTGTAATTTTTATTAAGAAAAAATTGTCAAAGATGCCATTATTTTCTCTTCCAGATTTGTATCACATTCTCATCCTCTTCTTGTCGTGGAATTCCCGTTGACAACAAGCCAAGAAATTTCAAAGGTTCTTGTGCTATAATGGTTTGCAAACAAACAACGAGACATGAAATGAAGTCATAGGGTCTTTTTTTTTTGTTTATTATTAACTTTGTCGCCACAAACCAAAATAATCAATACAAAATCCTTGATTTAGGTCATCAATACACGAGAAGATTCCCACTAGAGAAAGTCAGGAAATTTTTATTTATATCGGCAGGTATAATAAACTTTACTGTTTCTTATCTAAACAAACCATACTTGTTTAATGTCTGAAAAAGTTCATCCCCCGTGTTGAGGATCTTCAGTCTTTTAATAATTAAATTCTCATTAATAGAGAGAGAAATATAACCAGCCTTGACCAGCTATATAGACTGCACTACCTCTTGAGATGTTCCTTTTTTTTTTTTTTCATTTTCTTCTTTTTCATCTAAAAAAGAAAAAGAAGTTGATGAGAAAATCATATTCAATTACAGATACTTAGAATTGTGATACGAGTGTCATAGTATATGTAACCAACGTGTTAAAACCAAAATTTCTTAGACATTTTACAAAATTGTTATAAATCAGATTTCCATGGGGGGACAATCACTATCATATTCACCTGACTTGGCTGAGTTACTGGAATTAGGATTATAATCAAGATGAGCCTAAATTCTTGGCAAAATATCCGATTTGTATGTGAACATCATATTTACGAATTTAACTTTTTTCTCGAGTTAGTCGTATGTTGCAGCTGCCTTAATGTTTTATTGCTTAGAGCTGTTTTTGTGTGTGTGTGTTGGGGGGTGGGGGGGTTTAAAAACTCAACTGTCTATTTTGGCTATTTTTCCTTATCAGATGAACTAATTAAGAATTTAAAACGTCTGAAAAGGTGGGAAAATTAGAATATATATGCTCGAGTAAAAAGGCTTTCGTGAAGGCATATAGCTAGGACAAAGATGCTGGCTTCATATTTTAAAGAGGACAATGGAATCTCAGGAGTCAGGAACCTCATGGGAACAGTTTACATATGTTTTTCTTTGTAGCAAATGATTCCTATACTTCTTAAAGGGAAAGGCACAGGTTATGTCCCTACCCAAAAGATATGCTTCAAGAACTTGAATGCTGTTTGAATATAATATGCCATGCCCATGTATGTCCCTTCTTAGATCTTATGCAACCTAATTAATAACAAAATTAGGGTAAGGAACATTATATTTTGAATTGATTACAATACCAGATTGTTTTTCCGACCATACCCATCAGCCATATTACATATTTTCAGATTTATTGGTAAGGGGACATGGACTTCCACATGTGCAACGGACAAGATGCTGTTTAGGGTACTATTGAAGGGTGTGATAATATCACCACAAATGCACCAGATCGTGCTAGAACTTCGCAGTTGAGAGTGGTTAGACAAGAGTGTTATTAAGATGCATGACCCCATGGAAATCCTCCTATTGCACCATTTTTTTTGTTAAAAAAGAAGGGTGTTGGAGAAGCACCTACATCTCTACAGTGACAGTTTCCAAACAAACTCTTCTACTGTTATTTTACCCTTTTTATAACGAATTACCATTTGCATTCTATTACGATGTAAACTCCGGATGTGTGTTATCACCTACAAATCATACACGTCAATTAAACGAAACCAAACTCATCTTATGATAGAGAGTATGACTTAGGGTAAGATTTAACCTCCCTACCTAGATTGAACGTTGTTTTAACTTTCAAGCATCTCTAAAAATTCTTGATGTCAACTCATTGTCTTAAATGCCTATGTGAAGAATGTAGTGTGTGTGTGAACTGTGTAGGGCAAAGGGGTTGGAGCAGTTTTCCAGCCAACTATAGCAACACACACGCAAAGCCTTAAATGTGTCGAAAGCTACATGCCACACACATACGCCCCCAGGACCCTCCCTTAACACTGACACATCCCAATTTTTCCTTGTTTATATCTTTGTCTGATGCGCCTTTGTGGCATTTCATTTCACTCTCAGTTATCTATCTAAAGATATATATAGGAGAATGGCTGCCTTACCCACGTGGGGTAGGATCTGCCAGCCAAACCTCACTCCCTGTGACAAAAAACTTTATCTGCTTTACCCCCGGCTATGAAAGCAAAACAATTACTTGCACAGTGTTGATACCTTAGGATTTTGTCTTAAACAATTATCTACCCTAAAAAAGTTTAAGTTGTTGAAAATAGTGTAACTTAAATATTTATACTTCAACACGTCCAAATTAGATTTTGCGCTTAGCACTTGAAAATCTTTTAATAATTAGAGTGATAGTGAGATTTGAACACATAACATCTTGTTCTAATATCATATTAAATACTAAAGTTACACCATCTCCAACATTTTGTTGTGAGAGGGGTGCAGGGAGGGGGCGTGAAGCACGATAAACCAAGTTATTAAGAGGAAATTAATTAGATATCTAAATATTTTGACCAATTGAATGGAAGAGTAAAACTAAGCACCGACTCCTACATGTTTCAAAATTGTTCATTCTAACAGTCAAATTTGTTTATTCAATATTTGCTCTAATTTTCAGTTTCTTATCTATATCAATCTTTTTCTTCAAAAATTAAGATCAAAATACTTTAATTCTTCTATTTTAATTCGCAAAATCCTACAAGATTAATAGTCCACATTTGATTTTCCGCTATATTCAATGCTTAGATTATAGTTTCTCATATTTATTCATATTTCTAAGTTTCATTTTTGTCGTAATATTTTTATTTATATATATACTAGACTTATTTAATTCTTGTGTTTTAAGAATTATGTATTATTGAATATATTTTTCATCTAATTTTTGAATTTATAGGATCTTTCGATTCACGATTTACTCCTAAAATTCCGATCCTTTAGCCTTCCCATTGATCCAAGGAAAGATCTTGATTTTTAAAACCTTACTTTTCTGGTAAAATGGGTACCTAGTGCTATCTAACAATAAGAAAAGAAAACAGACATATAGTGTTATCCAATAATATTCTTTATCTTATGAAAGTTTTACCTTATTCTCCCTCTCCCTTCCCCCGTCCCCACCCCCAAATAAGTAAATAAAAAAAAAAGATTGCTTGTTTGAATCAACATGTCTGTGCTCACCGCTGACAGTAAGCTATGGTGATTGAATCACCAGGCCAAGAACTCTCTTAATCAGCTCACACACATTAAAACTCCTTGAGTACTTACATCTAAGTAGCTCAGCCTAGATACACAACACAAGAAACCCAACAGGACTAGCTAGTAGAACCAATCCAAATCCAACATACAAGAGAGCCCCCGTCTGGGGCCTTTCTATATGTATATACTACTAGAGTCTGTGTGTAAAATACACTTTTTGTTAATATATGGGTTGAGTTACTATAATTAAAATATTAAAATTTGGATCGAGTTATTATATTTAAAAGATTAAAATTTAAGTTATTATGAATAAATTCTTAAAATTTAAATGAATTACTATGATTGAAATATTAAATTGTAATATAAACCGTTGGATCTATAGGATCTGAATTGTTGTTATGATTTTTTAAATAAAAAATTTAAGCAGCTCAAACACAACGTATGTCCTGTTTTATTATTATAGATAGAGCCGTGAGATGTATCAATTGTACATGGGTAATCATTCAAGTCAGTTAAACATGAGATTTGAACATGGCTAAAGATGAAGGGTCAATTCCATGAAATTAAGGACAACTTACCATGTTTACCACCAACGAATTCTCCACCGACTATATTCACACATAGAAGCAAAAGGAGCTCTCACGAATAAGGTACACACAACCTTTATTTAACAAGTACACATAGGAGAACGAAGATGGAAGATTAGTAGGCTATAATCATTGGTCGAGAGAGAAGATTAAACGTAAACATTGTTAAAAAAGAGATGAACAAAGGAAAAAAGTTTTATGTAATTTTTTTCAATCGCCGAAATTTTTCTATAGATTAACAATTATACGAGATAGTGACATTTGGATTGATTCTTACTATATTAAAACAATAAATATGAATTGAGTTAGTTTAACAAACAAACTCAACAACTTAGGTCGGTAAACTCGCAATTCATATTGTATCCTGTGATTCTATAAGATGTGCATCGCACTCCATTAGATTAGACATTGATTGATTTACTTGTATTGGACTGTGGGATCTCTAGATCCTATAATACGAATAGGGATTTATGTAACCCAAAAATATTTATCAGTCATAGTGATTTTGGTTTGAGTTATTTATGTTCTATTATGATCAATCCTAACAACCTCATTTTATTGTAATTTTGCATGAAGATTTTTCATTTAATAAAAAAAGTTACGAATTTGGTACGATATCCAAAAAAAAATATTTAGGTAGCATAGTCTTTTCCCCATACGTGTAGGTAGCTACATTAGCAAGAAGAGCATCCGTGCGATGGAGATGGATCAGATGAATAAAAAAGAGTAATGTTATGTGAACTTAAAAAGTAGACTTAAAAATTAGACTTAATAATCTCAACCATTGAATAGGTAGTGAGTCCCAATAAATGGTGGAATCCACAGTAAAATCAATGGTTGAAATTATCAAGTCTACTTTTTAAGTTCATATAGCATTACTCGATGAAAAATACAAAGAAACAAATCTGTTTCTGATGCAAACAAACCACAAGAAAACAATGAGAATGTTGCAAGGCTGAAAGAGAGAACTTCTACACCACCCTATGTCCAAATGTGGAAGTTTGTAAGGTGAGGAGTCATGTTTTATAGATCCTTTGCTAGCTTGCACAAGACAAGGGATATTTCTTACCCTTTCAGCCTCTTTTTTTTCTCCCTTCCTAATTTTTCTGAATCCAGGAAAGACCAAAAAAAAAAAAGCAGAACCTTGCCCATGCTGCCTGTTAGCTCCAGGTTTAGTCAAGAAGGCTCAAAGGATTAGAGGAGGAATCGTAGTAGTGGTCTTTGAGTGAGCTGATAGTTGATCTGTCAGTTGGCCGGACATGCTTTAGGGACCACTTGAACGACTTACACATGGCTCGATGAAGTACCGGCGATAAGACTAAAGACTTTAATTTTTAATACCTCTTCCTTGTAACATGAGTCAAACTTCTTCGTAACTCTGTCTACCTTCACATTCACATACTCTTAAGAGAAGAAGAAGAAACTAGCTTATTTGGTAAGAAGCTTTAGACAAAGTCGTAATAAGAATAAACTCTAAATCTAATCTTCCATAGTTTGAATCATGGAAACATTTTGGAGTTAAGTCATAAAAAATTTATCCCTCCTGTTATCGGACCGAAAAAAAAATTAATCGAGTTACGCATAATCTAGTCCGAATACCTTTGACAAAAAAAAAAAAAAAAGAGTCTAGAGATGATGGCTCAAGGGTTCCTTGTTATGTTGATAGTAGAGATGATGGAGTTACGAGAGCTGATCTGATTTTGGTACCTTAAAACATACGGAAAGCAATTGCTATTGGCACTCCACCTTTTGATTGCAGCACTCCTTCTCTGTGCAATTGCCAATGGGGCAATGGGCAATGTCCTTTCCTCCTTTTTACGGTTTTGAGTGCAAGTATTAAAAAGCTGCAATCCTTCTTGGACTGGACTGATACTTTCTTTTCTTCTTCACATGGTTGTTTTGACGATTTGACATGCCTCAAAAGTAAGTCCACCCTTTTTCTCCTTCCCATACGGAGAATCTTTTCCTCTTCTTGGCCTGGCCCCCTTTTAGGTTATATTTATCCATGCACTCTAATTTTTCCATATATTATTTCAGTTATTTAAAAATTATTAACTATGAAAATAAAAAAATAAATTTTCACCTATCTTTGTAATTAGACCCAAAAATAAAAATTTTGAAATACGATACTAAAAGATTATTTTTTTGGCATCGCAGCAGCCTTAGCCTTAGGTCTTTTGTCACTGGCTTGTCCAAAAGGAATATGGAGCAAGAACTTCTAAAGAATCTTCTGGACCACGTTTAGCAGTAACAACAATTGCTCAAGTCTCAAGGTATCTATCTATGTTATAGGATGAACATATTTGGAGTCAACTTTTTTGGGTGTAAAATAAAATTTAGATTGTTTACAATAAAATCAAATTTTTCTTAAAAACCGTTGAATAAGCCCCATTTTCCAATTTTTTCTTGGTCTCGGATAATTCATTTTGTTACCTGACTACAAAAGTGGGAGCAAGGATAGGATAGGATAAAAATTATCCTATCCATCCGACGGTTGGAAAAACCACGTCTGGCCTACTGGATTCTTAACAATTATCCTATCCATTCAAAGGAGATTTAAAGCTAGAATTATAAGCCTAAGATGAAAACCAAAAATGAAACCCTCTTTCTTACTAGACCAGAAAAATATAGAGAAAAAAGAGGGAAAGGAAAAGGAGAAGGGAGGACGACACCAAAAAAATATATATAAAAATCTAGGACTATCCTCCAACAAAATATGCACAGCAGCAGCCTCTTTCAGCACTACATACAACAAATTCAATCGAAGGACTAGCCATTCCGATGCAGGAAATCTGTAGGCATTGTGTGGAACCCAGTTTGCATCTCGAGACTTTTGGAGATCCAGGCACTTCACAGTATGCATCTGGCAACTTGAAACCTTATAGACTCTCTCTCTCTCACTCACTGCCCCTAGATGTTTTTAAACAAACCTTCGACATATATATAATTTTGGTCATGTTATTGAAAAAGGTACAGTTCTATTTGGCTGTGCATAAATAAAGATCAGGCAACCCCGAGATGTTTATAACCACTTTCTCCAAGTGGCCGATCTTTTGTCAATAGATAAGAACCTTGGAAGACTTAGCAAACTGTTGACCCTGGAAACACCCTCAAGTGCTGACCACTCCTCATCCTCAGCAGTCGAAAGGCACTCAGCTAGGCTCCTCTTAGACTGGCCCAGGCTCCTCTCTGGAAGCTTTTCCTCTATTGATTCCATAACTGGCACAATCTCACCTGAGCCTCTATGCATACCTGAATGCTCAAGACCTGAAACATGAGAAGCAGAAATGCAACCAGTATCTAAACTCCTAGCATCCCCATCTGCTATAGAGACCCTCTTCAGCTCCTCCTCATGACCCTTTGTCAAGTCATTCGGTGTCTGTTCCCCATCAACTGCAATTACATGCTCTAAGAACAGACATATGACAGCACAGTCATCAATCTTCGATGTGGGGTATTTGAGCCTCCATGCTCTAGTAGCACAGTCAACAAGAGCTCTGGCTGCTGTTGTGTGGCCAGGGGCTGAGGCCACAATATCCACAGCTTCCTTGTTGGAGAGGACATCCCAAACCTGTACCCAAAAGTCCAAAATTTCAAAATATACCCATTTTGCATGAAATTAATATCAACTTCGAGTTAAGACTGACAGCCGGGTTTAGTCCATGTTAGTCCACCAAATAAAACAGATTTTATCACCTCAATCTAAATCTAAGCCCATCGCACTATGCAAACTGAATAGGAGTGAAAGAGGAAACAAATAATTCAAAAGGGAAAGAAAATCTTAACCACAGAAAATCCCCACAAAATGATCAAGAAAAAAAAGTGTCTAATCAAAAGTAGAACTTTCTAGCAATTATATCAATAGCTTCGGTTCAGAGAACTATACCCCATCAGAGGCAAGAACAATGAACTCATCCTTCTCTGTAATGCGGCGGTAATAAACATCTGGGACAGAAATCAAACCAAAATCTTTTAGACAGAAGTCCCCAAAAGCTCTAGCCATTGCCAATCCAGGTGAATCGCTATTGGGCAACCATACGCGTGCGACCTCTGGCTCATCTTGCAATGCAAACACCCTTCCCTTGCATTGCTGGATCCTAGCAGCTTCCCCTAAACAGAAAAGGAGAGGGTGAAACTTATTTGGGAGTAAAAGTATTCTTTTTAACATTTTTTCGCAAGAGGTTTGACTTTCTTTCTTTTTACTATTCAATTTTTGCTATTTACAAGTGGATTTTTTTTTTGGGGGGAAGGGGGAGGGGCGAGGTAGATAGAGAGATGTACTCGGAAGATTAGGTTTCAAGTCAATGGTCAATTGTACAGCCATCAAAGAGTTGTCTTTATCTCTTGTTGCCAACACTGCTCTCGAGTCACCAACATTTCCAATTATAAGATCCTGACCCTGAAGAAACATTTCAGATTATGAGTTCAAAATCAATCTGGGTATACATAATCAGCAATCAGTGTGGAAAATATAGCCTTTAACTTTATAATGTGCAACATGTCTCGACCATTTTTCATTTGTGACTTACGTCATATATGGAAAGCATTAAAATAAAAATAAAAAACATCTCAACTTAACCCACCCACTGGACTGCAAAGAAAGGTTTCCCATGCGTGCATCCATATAGGTTGCTGACAAACATCCTCAATCCCAACAGTACCATGGGTCCCCATGTTTAACAGGTTCTATGACCCAGTTAAGTAACAAATACAGCAAGACGATATCCTTCCGAACATGAAAACGTCATGTTCAACAAAACATACAAAGAGAATAGGTTTTAACAATTGGGTACTTTGCTAGAAAATTGAAGAGTAAGACGTGCACTTTACTCGAACTTTTGCTTACAAATACAACCTTAAAAGGAGTCAAATATGAGTCTAAGCTGTTTGTGTTGTGACAAGAGAAACAACCGAAAAATAAAAACTAATATGAATGGTTTGAGTAATGAGTTGACTGTGTTGATCTATTTAGAACCCATATGACAGGTCAGGCCCTGAGTTGCCACTCCTATGTGAGTTGTTCTTTCTTCTTGAACTTTTGCATAATTCACAATCTTGAGTTCCTGAAGAGATCATCCATCCTTACACACACTTTATGAAACCATGGCTCTGAGCCTCTGATTAGCACTAGATCTTGAAAATGCATTTGTTGTCCGGGACTCCGGTGTGCCATGTAATGGACTCCTGGAATTACTTCTCACCTCACAAAGGTGACATATCTGGAGGTACTTATTTGGTTTGACTAGCAGTCAGCTTTAATTCACATACAGAAAGCCCAGTCTCTAAGATTCCAATATGCTTTTTTACAAGTGTAACATTAAGGACTGCTTCTTTGAATGCTAAGCAACTACATTCCATAAAATTGCTACAAGTGTAACATTAAGGACTGCTTCTCGGGATAATTCTAGTAACTTCCCTTCAAGTTTTATGAAATCACATATTACCTAGTTTCATCAAATTCCTGTGGTTGCTTCCAGCGTTGTGAGTTATAGAGCAAAAGGCATTCAATTTATATGTTCAAGACTATCAGTAATATTTCTCCATATTTTCAAGAAATCTCTTTAACTTTGGTTCTTTTCGGCAATGCAAACCAGATCTAGCAATCTATCCCCTCTTTCTAAGACTGATGTAAAAATACAACAGCATAAGCACACATAGAAATTGGTAGGAGAATAAGGGATGAAGTTACCTGCTTTATAAGAGTAACAGCAGTTGTTCCACTGCAGAAACAGTCAATCGTGGGATGCAACTTTAGTTCTTTATCCATCAACTTGAAAGCCTTTAACATTGATTGTTTGAGAGGCAAATACATCTCAGGGAATTTTTCATTTGCCTCACCTTCCAATGACTCACACCCATCATTGTCCAAGAATTCCTCAAAATGTGCGCTCCCGGTAGAATTTCCGTATTCAGGAGCACTATTTTGGTCACTATTGGAAGTAGCTTCCCACCGGGTGCTCAGCAGAAGAGGAAGATTGTCCCGCACTTTCCGTGCAACCATATGTCCATATGGTCCATGACCATCAAATACTCCACAAAGCACCGTATCACTTCTCGAACTGAAATTCTGTCACAGAAATATTCCAGGCAATTCATATTTATCTGATCCAATGAGCAGGAACTCGAGTTCAAATAAAAAATGCAGGAACAAAAACAACCACATCATCGATGAGAATCCAAACTCCAAAGTGCTCCTGTTTAATAGGTTACTCGTTTGGGGACATACTTTGGTTTTACATAATATATATTGACAACATGACTGGAGGTCTATAAACACAATGTAATTAAAAAAGATAGAAAACATTTAAGATAAACAGAGACATGTAAAAAAGGAAACTAAGCAAAATGCAATCAAATCAATGTGTTCTCTGATAAAGTATTTAGTGCCCAAATAAATAGTAAAATGAAAAAGATGATTTCTTAACCACATTAAGCTTGAATTAAAATTTCATCTCATAAACCCTAACCCAAAAAACAACAAAGTCATTGCAGAGCCATATTGAGCTAAAACTCCAATTCAATCAGGCTGAAGAGGAAGGAACACCCGTATACAGCCGGAAATTCACATAAAAAAGACAGCTTTGATTGACTAAAGTAGTTGGAAATACCAAACGCAGAGAAGTGAATTTGATACAGAAATAGAGAAAGCTATGTGACGAACCTCCCAAACGATCATAGCATCCTGATTGGTACCTTTCTTTCCCTGTTGCGTATATAAACTGGCTACGCTACCGCTCGCCCCATTTGCAAACAGCCTTCCCGGTGTCTGAAGCAGCGCACGCTCATCTACCACCGCTCGTCCACCACCAAACTTGCCGATAAACGACACAATATCACCGGAGCTACTACTCTTCTTGACCTTGAGGTCTATTTTCCCACTATTATCATTCTTATTCTTCTTCCACCAGCTATCTTCCTCTCCCGTATTATGGGTATTAGCATTAGAATTACTCTGGCAGCAAATCAATGAATAACAAATACCCATTCGATTTAGCTCGATTCAATGCTCTTCCTGCTTCCTCCAAGCCAAAACTAACAATCAGATCGAATATAACCCAGTAACAGCTGAACAAACGACACTAAGAGCTTAGGAAAGAGGAGAGCAACATCAAAGAAAGCATCATCACAACAACTACAGTTCCCCCAAAGACCCTAGAAGATTTGATAAATAAGAGCAAAAAGGAAAAGGGAAAATACGGAATTACAGATGAGATTGCGGGAAGAATCAGATGAGGCGTGAGTGTCAGTAGATGAGTATAGATATCACGACAGTTTTGATGAATGATTATTTATTTCTAGTTGCGGTGGGCTAGTAGGAGGAGTAGGAGAGGAGTAATGGTGGGTGGGGTTTGTAAATAAATTTGTAAAGTTTGTGGTCGAAAATGAATTAGGGCGGCGCGTGCATCCACGGACACAATAAAACCCAAAGGTCAAAGGGTGCAAGTTGACAAAAACCACTTTTACGGTACAAAGTCTTAAAATTTGATAAATTTTGTTATGCATTTGGTCAAGGTATTATAAAAATTACTTGTATTTCTTATTTTATTTTATTTAAAATTAATAATTATAAATTAATTAATTAATATAAAGATTTACAATTAACATTTTTTTTTGTGTGGTACCCACATTTTTTGTGGGACCGTAGAATTATCCTAAAAAAAATATTATTTTGATATAATTTAGAGACATTATAAACATAATAAGACGTTCTGAATTTGAATTTTGTAACACCTTATAGTTACAAAAACTTTAGTTTTGATATACATGGTCTGTCTCTGACAGAATCGGAGAGAAAATTAATTGAGGTGCACATAAATTAAGTCGGACACCTTCTAACCGTTAAACACGATAAGGTCTCCAAATTAAGTTCATATGGGTGTTAATTTTATCTATTAACATGAACTCAACTCAACACAAAACTTGAAAATTACATGATTAGTTGATACGAGTAACAAATAGGTCAAAATTAAGGTTTGACATGAATAACATGATTAATATGTACTATAAAAAAAAAGTATTGTAGACAAAAAATAAAAATTTTATAATTTTTTTAGTTTTTTAAATGTTATTATATGAATTGTTGTGAAATTAAAAATTTATTTACTGACATAAACCCAACACGTGCTAAAAGTAAGCTGACACACAAATAACATGATTAAAAATGATACAATATGAAAATGACAGAACACGATTGACACTTCTAACATTGTTCATGAATGTAACGGTGATAATGGAGTGATAAATTTGAACAAAATGCCACTACTGTTCCAAGTTCCAACTTTTTCTATTTTTAAAATTTATTAATCAATTTTATTTTAAATTTATATTATTATCAACGGTTGAGCCATAATTTTTTATAATTGATAGATTTAATTGCCACTTCAAAAAGAGATAAATTTAATCAATAAATTTGACTAAGTCTAAATCGCAACTTTTTTTCTGTTGGGGAAAAAGTAATGAAAAGTGTATACCACTAGTCAAGAATCATATTAGTTAACGTTAGTGGTCTACTCAAGATAGTTTATTAGTCAAATATAGTTGTTGTCCTGACATTTTAACTAAGTTCAATTGTCTTTTTTTTTTTGAAAAAATAAAAGAAAATGTCAATAACTAGTTCCTATTATAAAGAAATTTAACTTTGAATCGAACAAAAAATTTGAATTAGTTCTTAGATTCTGAAATTGAACCTTGTATTACAAGGTTAAAATTCTCAATTACTATTCAATCACATCAATTATACAAACTTCAAGATTAAACTTGTCAGTTCCGACTTAGATTGATGTAATCAAGTCATGATCGAATAACTAGTTTTAGGACATGTCTCACGAAAAATAAGGTTGCTAACTTCAAGAAATATGAGAAATATCGAACTTAAAACCTCTTAATTGTAAGATAACAAACGTAATCACTGAACCATTTCTGAAGATGGTGACGCAATTGGTCTCATAACTACTCGTAACTATGCAGTATGGCCTAATTTTAGATGATCAAATTTAAAATATTCATTTATTAAAACAATTTTTATTTAATTTACTCACTATGGTAAAATTAGAGATGGATGAAATTCAACACCTAGCATAAGAAAAGGATAAAAAAAAAAGGAAGACAATGTGCTCATTGAACAAGAAAGCAAAAGTATTCAATCAACTAAAGGCCAAGAAGAATGGGTCATCAAATTCAAATATAAAACAAGACAAAAGTGGTTAAAAAGCATCCTCCAAAATACCTCCCACACTTGGCCAAATAAGTTATGGATTGTGTGCCTCTTTGATTGGAGCATCTTAGAGGACAAGAGGGAATCCAATGTTAGTCCTACCCTTACATTCTGTATCCCCCAAGCCAGCCAATCAAAACAACCCTTTATTTTCTAATAACAACCAAGCAAAGATAATGGGGTTGTCAATGACAAAAGCAAGCAAGCATGCTCCATGACCTGAAAGAGAAATCATATAAAACACACCCTTTTGTTGAATTGATTTTTGTTTACGCATTTCAATCGCTCACTCTTTATATTCACGCATATAACACAAATTTCAAATACATACAATCCCTTATAAGAATATATTATTAATTAAACTTGAATCTTTATGACATTAAAAAAATTAAATTCAAGATATACGAATTTATATATTACTCGTTATTTAATTACTTAATAATTAACAAGTACGAATTTTTCTACTGTGTGATTTACATGTGAAAGGAGACACCTATCAGATTCATAATCAATTCTGTCCCATTAGGAGGACATTCACCATCAGCAACAGAGCAGATGGAACATTCTCCAGCCCAATAATTATTCTAATCTTATACATATACCATGACATGTTTGATGACAAGAAAGCCTTACAATTCTTCCAAGCCACCAGTCGGTAAACTAACCGAAGCATCCACATCTCCAATTATTTTTCCCCATCTATGCACCTAATTTCATAAAGGGTATTCCATGTCAATGATCAAATTTGACAAGAGGCCACCCAACAAATTGTAGCAAAAAAAAAGTATTTCTTGCCACTAGGAATAAACAAATACCATCCAAGCCACATCACATCATTACGCGGACCCTGATTTTTAAGTTAATATGAAAGAACGATGGAGCTAATAATAAAAGCAAGCACTAAAATGTAAATTTTTATTATGATCACGATTGATGATGCACAAATTAAATTTGTACATCATTTGTTAAATGAACAGTAATAAATACAATAGTAAAGTAGAGAGAGATGGTAAGTTAAACGAGATAAGGATTTATAGTGGTTCAGTCAACAAAACTTACGTCTACTTTAAAGGGTTAGGATCGTCGGAGTAATTTTTTACTTCAAGTTGTGTAGTGAGAACAGGGAGATATAAGCAGAGAGAACCCACAAAATGAAGGGTAATATGAAATTATAATTTTTTATTAGGATAAAATTATATTTTAACGGTTATATTAACAATATCAATGAAAGGGATTACGTGTTACACGTGCACAAACGTTATGAGATGTGTGATTAATATTCTAAATATGAAAGAGTTCAAATGATTAAGTGACAACCATGAGAGAATTTAGGTATAATTTATCAATTTAGCTTTAAGTGTACATTGATACAAATTTCTATCTTTGAGGGTGCAAGTTGAGATTTTTATCTTTGGGGGTGCACATTGATACAAATTTCTATTTTTAAGGGTATAAATTAAAATTTTTGATTTTTAGGAGTACAAATTAAGATTTCAACTATCTTTCAAGGCAAAACTTGCAATTAACCCAAAAACGAAAGACAGAGATGGAACAATCAATAAAAGAAGGACACGTGTTAACATTCATACCCGAACAGAGAAGGAACACCGCTGTTACGGTGCTCCGCTACCTCCATAGGCAAGGACTTTAGCTCTAGCGCGCCTCTGTATGTCTGGGACTGAGTCTTCAAGGGACAGATGAAGCTAAGCTTCACACGTGCTTCTCTCTCCTCCGTACTTGTACCACTCATCTTCAACTCCAACCTGGTTCGACCCATCTCGTGTTCATCGGTTTCATGTTCACCCGCTTCGGCAAAACCTCAAACACCACTCTTTCTCAGATCACCCACTTTCTCAGCAACTCTATCAGACCTCAAAAAATGGCAAGATTGGGCCAAAACCCTAGCCTCCTCAGTTGGGTCTTCATTCTTGGACTCAGACAACGGCCCGGACGCCACCTTATTGCAAAGGGAATTCAATTGGCTCATTGAAGACGCTCTTGAACACCCCAAAACAATTGGGATTACTGATAATGACAAAAAGAACATGGTGGTGACATTAAGGGCTGATTTGGAGGATCTTTACGAGTTGTGGAAGCAAAGAATTGAAGAGAGGAGACCGTTTCAGTATATAGTCGGGTGTGAGCATTGGAGGGACTTGGTGTTGAGTGTCCAAGAAGGGGTTCTGATACCAAGACCTGAGACTGAATTGATTGTTGACTTGGTAGGTGATGTGATTAAGGACAATGAAGGGTTGAGGGAAGGGTTGTGGGCTGATTTGGGGACTGGAAGTGGTGCTCTTGCCATCGGGATTGGCAGGATTTTGGGGAGTTCAGGGAGGGTCATTGCGACTGATTTGAGCCCGGTGGCAGTTGCAGTCGCCTCTTTTAATGTGCAAAGGTATAATTTGCAGGTTAGTGATTTAGCCAATGTTTTTATTAGGTAAGTTGCATGATGATTGTCAACTGTTCACGGGCAGGAAAAACTTTTTGCGAAATTGGTTAAATGTTGCTGGTGTTTTAGGAATTCAATAACTTAAGTTAGGATTTGGCTATGGTTAATTTTTTGCCATCGCTTTTTAGGGCAATGTTCAGTGTTGGAACCAGTATACATACTATTATTTTTCCATATTGTGAACCTTTTGATTGAGACGGTGATTTGAGTTTCAAAAACTCTCTGTCAAGTTAGTTTTGAATACATGGTCAAGAATGATGATGGGAAGGGATAGAGAACTAATGTAGATCTTGTGGAAGATGTGCTATACATGCAAAAAAAAAAACAGATTTGTCAAAAAAGATAGGAATATTCAAACTTTCAAAGGCAAGAAAAAAAGAAGAAAGGAGTATGAAGAGAGAGGCAGCATTCTAAAGGCCTTAAACCTAGGGAAGTGGAGATACTGTGGCATTAAACTCCCCTATATGCCAAACTCATTTGGCTACGTAATGAGTGATTTGGTATGAGCTGACAAAAAGTATATACATTCATGCATTCCGGTTTTCTTTCTGCCTTACATTTGTTTGAACTGCATAGAAGTGGAACTGCAAAAAATAATAGAAAATGAAGAAAAGCGCTTTTCAAATTTTAAGTAGTCTTTGATGTTCTGTAGAATGTCTTGTTTATTTAAGGTTCTCATCTGATGTGCATATCAGGATAAAATTAAGATAAAGCAAGGATCTTGGTTTGAACCTTTGAAGGATGTCAAAGGGGAACTCATGGGACTTGTAAGTAATCCACCATATATTCCAAGTGAACATATCAGTGGGCTACAAGCTGAAGTTGCTAAGTATGAACCAAGACTTGCGTTAGATGGTGGCTCAAATGGTGTAGGTAGCCTTCTTCATCTCTGCAATGGGGCTGTTTCAATGTTGAAACCTGGTGGATTTTTTGCTTTTGAGGTACTAATCTCCAGTTTTTTAGTTTTAAGGAAATTTATAGAGTCTACCCCACCAAATCCATTAACTTTAAAACTGCTTGTTCTTCTGTAGATTATCAGCTTTTTGAAAGATATTAGATAGCCCCACTTACAAGGCAAATGTTATGATTCCATCATGCATTCTGGTGTATTTTAAGTTTCCTAATTCTTCTGCCTTGTCACTGGCATCCATCTCTAGAGTAGCAGTAAAGCCCGCACCTACATCTTCGGGAGCATTTTGGTTGAATTCCATATGTAGCTTTCATGTAAAGGAAGATTTTATGTCCCTCTTAACCAAAGTGACATTTTAAATGGAGGATTTCTTTTTTAAAAGTTGAAATTCAAGGGTTGTGACATACAGGGTTGTTTGGCATATCCCACTCTGAATGGTATTGAATGTTTTCCAATCTTTGCTCATTCGATAGCACCTTATTTGTATGCTCTACGAAGCCCATATTTTTGTAATAAAATGGATTAAGTCGTCGTTGTGTGTTGTGGAATAAATCTGTCCATAGAAACCTTGTCAAATGTGAAACAGTAGAGTTTTGTTATCTTACGTTTGTTATCTTTCAGGGTAAGGTTAGTTCTATTTTATGAAGAATTGTTTTGAAATTGTGTTGTGTTTTCATGTATTTGTGAGTGAATCCTATTATCTATCTGTTGGTAGTATCTATCAAAGTTTCTGAAGAAAGATTAGAGCAAATAATCTTATTGAATTACTGGAAAGAAACAGCGTTATAACTTTTCAGATCCTAAATAACATTAGTGACAGTTGATTGTAGTTTGATAATGAAGATTTGGCAGAACAGTAGGTATATTTCACAACTGGAAAAATCTAGTGGGAACGTTTGCTCTTAAGGCATTGTTTTCCACCAGTCATTTGGTCCAAATTCTTACTTTCTTTATCTTCTTACTGCAGACAAATGGTGAAAACCAGTGCAAGTTTCTTGTGGATTACATGGAAACTGAAACTGAAGGCTGCTTCCGTGATGCAAAGATTATATCAGATTTTGCAGGTATCCAGAGATTTGTAACTGGTTTTAGGGCACAATAAGTTATCATAGTCTGTATACTGTCAACTATTAGTCAGTCTTAGAGGAAAAGAGAGAAATGAGGCACCATACCAGTTTTGTGTCAAAATACTTTGACAGAGAAGCGTTGTATGCAATCATGGCTATTTTGGTTCAACAATGAATGACAAGATTGAAGAAAGTGAGAGTTACGTGTTTATCATGGTTTTAATTGATTGAATTAGAACTAATGTTGAAGACACCCATTTACAGCCTATTATTCCGTTCTTTTCTAAATGGTGAAATTAAGAGGAAACATTCTATAAAGGGATTGGTTGGGGGGACTCAGCCCACTTTGTAGAAGCTGTCCTTCTATATCTCCTACTATAAGCCGTCCGCTCTGTCCACTTTACAAGTCCATCGGGCTGGCAAAGACTAGCTCAAGCAAGCACCCCTAATTCCATCCCTAAGGATTTTCATGGGATACTTTGCTTACTCATTAAGCCTTGTAACTTGTTAGGGGTGAATGAGAATACTAAGAGGTGATTGTAACATTACCAGGAAAACGTCAGTTACTTTTTATTTTGCATTTCAAAAGATACATCAAACTCTAATAGAGCAACAAGAAATCAATAAGTGATTATTTGACCACATATGAAAAAACGTTTCCTCTGGAGAACAAATTATATGCTGCATGCCGATAACTCGGTGTCCAAACGTGAATAGATTAGGACTTGTAATGGTAATCCAGTATTGCCGAAGTCACCCCTGGAGCCAAAATGGTAATCGTATCATCGATGTTCATGGGCACCATTCACTCAGTTTTGTTTCCCCCGCCCAATTTTACAATAGATGAAATGCTACAAGAGAAGTCTAAAACTTATTTACACACGAGCATCGAGGAAAACATGCCAAACCACCACATCCAATGTCATCTCACCTCCTTTGATGAGATCAGGCGCCTCTGGACATGACATTGAGAACTGCCAAATTATGATCCGTCTTTTCTTGTTTACCTTTCCGTGTGTTTGTGGTTCTGGTGTTGTAAGTGTGATGGAGGCAATTGCTACCCCACTTGATCGCGTCGTTTAAGGTGATCTTCGCCATTGTTTCTTTCCTTTCTTCTGATGCAACTTGAAGGGACTCCAAGTCTTTCTGCGCTTGGAGGTCTCACAAAAGAGGCCAGAGGCTAGAGCTTGCTGAAGCCATTGCTCAAAATCTTCCTCTTCATCCATCATTTCAGCATCCAAATCCCATGGGTACCTGCTTGAGTTGGATCTCTGAGTTTTCTCCAATCCAACCATGTTTACGTGAAAGCTGGGCCGATGGGTATTGGGCCTACAAGCCATTCCCTGTATAAAACAGCTTTTAGGCTTTGTAACATAAAATGGAGAAAGGAATTTATTTTTTTCCAGCTTTGAATTACCAGAACAATCCCTCATTCCTCAGCACCTCCAATAATAAATAGTACAATCATTGCCCAAGTCTCTGAACAGAAAGAGCCCAGATCTTGTTGTTGAACTCCTAAAAGCATCTATTGTTTAGCATATTTAGAATCTACATTGGGTTTTAGCACATGAATTCAACCAGAGTCAACTGTCCCAAATTATGTAAAAATAACCATATAGACCTAGCTAAGTTCAAATTTCCTATTACATAGTTCATCTAGGGCTCCTGAGTCCTAAGTTCACAGTGCAAGTACACGAGTCCATATGGTCAGCTACCATCCAAGTATCCAACCCCTATGTGTGATTAAACCACGTAGAAAAGAGACTCATAATCACCATTAACATAAAGCAACATTGTTTTCACCTTTACAACCTCCCTTTCCTAACGTTGATCGGCTAAAAAGAATACCATTTATTTCCCCCTTACCTTTTTGCCGTTACCCCCTACTCTTGGCACAATTGAAAATATATGGTGTTTTCCTTTCTGGGAAAATACATGGTGTTTTCAAATAGAAATCAAAACTAGCACATGCTTCCACCATGAAGAATGTAAATATATACACATTAAACTACTAACCTGACATATGGCCCATTCTGACACATCAAAGATCTTGCTCTCCGCACAAACAAAAGCTCGTGGTATTTCCACCTAAGTGGCAAACAGATGTATCAGCAAAAAGAGTAATGTGTATTTACAGCAGCACAGTGAAAGAAAAGATATACACAGTGTTAGTAATAAAGCCACTGTTTCAACAAAACAGATATTTCACCAAACCAGAGTTGGGCCAGAAGGAGCCTGTGGACCAAAAGGCAATGGAAAAGGACCTAAAAAAAAGAGCATATAATTGTTGCAACACATTGGTAAAATTAGAGGCAGAGGAAAAAGATACTAAGAGAAAATAATCTGCAACTCCTAAGTTAGATAGTTAGCTCTTCTTTATTGACGTGCTCCTCTTGGCTTAGTTAGCTCTTACATCAGGGGTACTCTTTTTGACCTCTTTCTTCTTGTAGCTATTGCCCTATTCCCTACTGCACTGCTTTGTGTTGTCCTACTGAAGTGCCTCTCCTATTCCCTCTAAAGGTGACCCGGCTTACTTGCTGGCGGATAAAAAACTGACTGCTTTTCCCTATTTCACCTCTTTTGTTGCTCTTTCTCTTTTGGGTTAGCTCTTTCCGATAAACCAGGACTATGCAACAAAGAAAATGTTTTCCAGATGCATTATCAATGAAAACCAAAAAACAAGCAGAATGGATGTGACAGACACGCAGAGTAAGATGTGATCTTTTAAACATTTGAGAAGCAGCAAAACATACGTGGGAGTTTGGAATAAGATCGTAAGTCATAGAATGCATTGTTTTAATACATCTGTGCCAGAATTCATAACATAGGGCAAAATGAACAGAGGAATGTCATGGATGCATATGCTGGGAAAAATAATTCTTGAAACCTTCATGGCAGTGTCTTTAATAAGTACAGGTTAAAAGAGAAAGTGTGTGATCAATTTCCAAGCCTACTTTCATGGAAAACACTATGGCTGAACAAACTGTCAAATCCTGGTAAAGCTGAGTTTAGGGATACAAGAAATTATCAGACTGCAGTTCCTATGTGCAAAATATTACTGACAAACAACTCTTACACCACTACACAGTAGACCAAGAATTAATCAAACGAGGTATATACACAGCGATAAACCAACTGGGAAATTAGCATAAAGTTATCTACTTGTCCTAAGTTCAAAACCATGAGAATAGGACCTCTTGGAAGAAAAATACCTTTTGGGGTTGATCAAATACCAGTGACCCCCTGTATTCAACCCATCCATCACCATCCTTGGCTTGATGATATTGACAACAATCCTGTGTTGACAATAAGTCTTGTCAATATACAAGAAAGTGCAGATATGATAGTGCACTTAATGAAGAAATTCATGAAAGACCCACCTGACACCATCTTGCCTTCATCTTAGTCCTATTGGTGCAAACCCAAATGTGTGAATTGCCACATTTCGTGCACTGTATACGTCTTGACTCTTCTGAACAATAATCAGGGCTATCCTGCAAATCATAGAGAGATAACCAACCAATTGTTTCATTTGTCTTATCGCCAAGTAAAAGATATAGAACATTCTTCAAAGATAATAATCCACTCCAGTACGTTAAGCCTTGAATACATATGTTTACACAAAGTTCATGTCATCAAGGCATGTTTATGAAATTAAAGGTGAGCTGCCATGACAATGGCCACCCACATCTGTATTCTACTTAATGCATATCAACCTGAAAGTACTGTGGTTCATCATCAACTTATCCCAAACAATAAGATAAGCAGAAAGCGTGAAGAATGATAATATGTTAAGAAGTGCATACCAACAAATACAAGGAAGGATAATGTGTTACAAAGTCTTGTTCTACATTTAAGAAAAATATTGAAAGCCCGAAAACAAGATTGCTTCATTTCAAGAAGTCTGAATAAGGACATCTGTTTAAAGAATGCCTCATTATTGTTTTCCTTTTTCTCAGCCCAAGAAAATCTGTGTGCTTTAGTTATCATTGGAAAATATAAACTACAGTTAAAAATTTAAGTGCATCTGGTGGTAAGACCAGCAGTAAAAACTAGAAGCAAAACACACACATTATAATACCTGCTGTGAAGTAGCATGTGACTTTTGTGAGACGCGCTTATGTTCTTCCTTTCTCAATTGCTCATCATAGTCCCTCTTCTTTGTAAAATCAGACAGAACCTATACATTAAGCCACTTTAAGTTTCAGAGAGGAGCACAGGACATCATTTATCGTCAATAATGTGAAATAGAAAAAGTGATTTTCCCCCAAAAAGTAGCATGCATAACCAATTTTAAGGGATAGATACTTACCTCATATGCACATTGAAGTTTTTTGAATGATTCACTTGCCAGTGGATTTCCCATATTTTTATCAGGGTGCACAAGCATGGCCTACACCAAAAAGGGGCAACAATTACTAAGTACACCAGTAAGCAAAACAAATGGTGGATATCATGATTTTACTTATACAAAGAAGACAACTAGATACTGAATGCAATATGAGAAGTTGCATCTATTTTTTCCTTCCTTTTGGGGAATGGGTTGAAAGCCTAAATTCCAAGACTCATAATATATCATTATCGCAGCATAGAGGATGCTATTTTCGTCCATGAATACGCAGCATGCCAATTTATTACCCTATAAATTGGAAGAAGTAAAGAAAACATGACAAGTTTTGGTCGATCCTTGCAGGTTTTGCAAACATCATTTGTGAAAGGAACATCCAATTAATTACTACCTGCAGACAAAGGACAAATTAGCTGATATTTAGTAACAATTGGTCATGTCATCCAATCCACTACAGTTTGGTAGAAAGTCTTCCCTACTGATGAGCACAGTTCAGGGTTGCACAAGCTCAGATAGAAAAACAAGGAGCTTTAAAACAAAGATTAAGCTTGGCTTTTTTATGTTATAAGCAAGCCAGAGCAGGCTTCAATTTCAGCTGCTAAGATCGTAGTGTACCAAAAGATGAGAACTTACAAGGCAACAGTTGTAGAGTATATCAAGAATGACCAAATGCGGTTCACTCAAGATAAGATAACAAATCATAAAGGCCCATCAAAGTGGTAGAAAATAATAAGTAATTATGTCTCAGTATACAAACTAGCATACCTTTTTCCGATATTCTTTCTTCACCAACGAAGCATCAAGTTTATTATGGCGAGGAAATCCCAGCGCCTGATAATGATCCATACTGTTTAAAATCCGCTTCATCTCATTCATTGAATTTGCATCTTCTCTTACCACCTGATAGACAGCTGATTCTTTTGGCTTGCTGACACGAGACGAATTAGTAGTTATTTTGCTGGATGATTTGCAAGAGTGCAACTTTTCAGCCTCATTAGTAGGAACATAATATTCACTCTCTCTGGAGAAGTCATCTTCTGTCAATGACTCTGATTCTTTGTGCTCTTCAACATGTGTGTTTTCACTCAAACTGTCACACCGCTGGAGCAAGTAGTTTAATAAGTCATTTGAGATGAATGCTAGGTTTATCGAGAGAAGAAGTCCAAGCCATCCAACTCGAACTTTCACACAGTAGACAGCATATAGGGTTGCCATCAATACCACAAACCGAGCATGATTCAAGGAAAACAGATAGCCTGCATTGTCAAAAAGACTTCAGAGTCAAATAGTTTCAGCAGGTGACAGAACAGAGTAATGATGACACATGAACATGCTCCGTAACACTCCCGACAAGAAGTTAAACACACTAGAAGTCGTTCCCGAGTTCCTCAAACCTAGAATAGGCCTACTCCAAACTTAAGCCACAACCCACTGGGAATCTTGATAGTCCAAGGAGGAAAAAATTAAGGCTGGATTTGATTTTCCAGAGCCTCAGGCCCTCACAGTCACACTTCCCGAATAAAAGCCGACAAAAACAGTTTCCACTTCATCCAATTGGTGGTGCAAGAAAACTGATTGCTCCAGGATTTGTTTCTATGGACCTTAAAATCGAACCTCCAAAATTTACAGATCCACATACTCAACATGAACCTTGCAAATAAATTTTCACATTTAAAAAAAAATGAAGCAGAAAACATTTGGCATAGGTCAATTGCGTGCCTAAAACTTGGATAAAGCCACATGCCTAACATCTACATGGAATAGTTAAATCTCTTCCTAAATTCAACAAAGTCATGCACCAGACATGTCATTAAAACACCAAACTTGACTCGAAAAATAAAATGGACAGGTCTGTAAGACTGGTCAAAACATCCAGAGAGTACGATCTGGGATATGGCTAACATTACAAAAATATGATTACAAGTAAAGAAAATGCAAGAAAACAAAACCAATTAAGATAAGCAATTTCTGGTGTCAATTCTAGTGATTCAAGGAGTGAGATAAGTAATAAATTCCGGAATCAAGGCATTATATAAACTGTTGATGCAACTTATAGACATTATCTACAAGGTTGTTTTAATTTTTACTGATATGATTTCCCCCAACTGAAAGATCGATTGCAAGAAATTCTAAGTTAAGTATTATATCGCATATGAAGAGCCAGGACATACCTCCAACTATGAACAATGTACCAGTTATCCAAAAGTTAGCATACATCCATAAAATTAAAATGGCAAACAGCCCCACAATAAAAAATCCAGGAGTGTAACCCAAGTACTGAACTGCAGCGCCAGCAGCTCCCTGAAAAAAAAAAAAAACAGATGCAACGGTTTGATGTAAAAGCATTTGTTGGGGTTACTATGCAGGAAAGGACTAGAAAGTCATAATAAGTAATGATCATACCATACTAAGAAGTACGTAAATTAGGCAAGACATTGATGTCATACTAAGAAAGAAGCTCCACATTATAAAAAGCAGTGCTGCTGAACCTAGCCCAACAAATGACTGAGCGCCCCGAATAACACTATCCCTCCAATGAATCAACAAGAAGAGCAGAACCCTTCCTAATCTCGCACACCCACAGGACACCATTGGCCAGTGACGCTCTATAAAGATCCCAATTTTTTCCATGAAACTGCTCACCGCAGTTCGCACAACCAAGTAAGAATGCTTTTCAGATTGCAACCATTTCCACCCTTGTTTAAACAACCCAATATCCCCCATGACTGAAAAACCTCAATAGTTACTACTCTCAAACAACCCACTCTAACTGCAATTATATAAGCTACAACAGTTAAACCCCTGCTAGCTATATCCATCCATTCGACTCTGAATACGATTACATCTCCAGAGGTGTGATGTTAAAGCATCGAAAGTACCCATTGTGGAGTTCTGGTGCAAAAAATTTGTTAATATAAGACTAACTTCAACTCAAACAGTAGAATCCCAAAAGACCAATTTACAGGTTATGAGTAAGCAATTGCCCGAACAAGAACGAGACGACCCAGAAACTTCCATGTCCACTCGGTAAAAGCACGCATTTGATGAACTGAACAGTTGGGAGATGATGAAAAACTCTAAATTGCTTCACATGTACGTCTCCGAAAAAGCAAACTCCATAAATTAAACAATTCCGCTTTTTGACGCCAATAATGACAATTTTTCCTTCTTTATCTATATCTCTGGTCCCTTCAAAAGTTCAATCTCAAATACCAACACTCGAAACATCAAATTAAACACACAGATATTTGTGTATGTTCCATAATTTTGATCAGAGCTGAGAGGATGTGAGATAGTAGAAGTACCGACACATCTTCGGTCTTCGAAGCTCCAAAAGAAAGGCGGAAATGAGAAAGAAAAGAGAGGAGAGAGGATCTTTAATGGATTTCCGACAGAGAACCTTGAGCTAATCTTGAGCAATTGACCTTTCCTGTGACAAAACCCTAGCTTTTTCAGCCAAAGCTCGTGAAAATTTCTTGTAGTTAAGGCCAAAAAGTTTCAAAAAAGAGCTCCACGAGAGAGAGAGAGAGAGAGAGAGAGAGAGATTGCATTTACTTGTGGATTTGGGGTTTGTTGCGTGGTAATGATGAAGTGGGACCCATTAATTTGATTAATTAGTGTTAATCATAGACGGGTTGGGTTAGTTGGTTGTCGAACTGGCACTCCATCAGTTTCTTCCCAGTAGATAAAATACAAGTGGTTTCACTTGAATCCATGAAATTAATATAAAGAAATTAAAAATATATGTACAATGAAATATGGGTTAGGGGTGTTAAATTATAATAATATTTATTAATACACTATAAAATTATAAGATTTTGATCTTTTTTTAAGTCATCTGTTAGTAAACGGGTGAACTCAATATGACACAATAAATAAATAAATTGATTATAATAAAACCAATTAAAATAATTATACAATACGATTCAGTTATATATCATTGAAACTTAATTCATACACAACACGAACTCGATATGATATAGTAATTTGTTAGACACAAATTAATAAATAAATCAGATATAAATAAAATATTTTTTTGATATAAACCCACTAAAATTTGACACAAACTTACCCACCCAATACGATTAACAAACCGAAGTTGGGTATCACGCCAGGGCATCCAATCCTCTTTATAAAGCGTAGCATGTGGGGGTAGTTTGACCCGGCCGTGGACGAGCCATTACACCCATTAGCCTATAACTATCCTAATATTAACTTAATGGATTAATTGCAAGTTGTGCCCTGAAAAAAATAGTTTGGATTTTAATTTAGACTTTCAAAGATTAAAAATTTTAATTTACACCCTCAAATATAAAAATTTGTATCAATATGCACCTCAACGATAAAAAATCTCAATTTAAATTTAAATAATCTTTCAGGGTGTGATTTACAATTAACCTTAACTTAATAGTATAAAGTTTCAGTAAACAGTGTCACAGACCACCAAAAAACAGCAAAAGAAAGAAATAAGAGTGCTCTTCGACCTATTACTAACTCAAGATCCGAGTTTTAGTTGTCAATTTTCTTTGAAGTTTCCATATTTGTTTGTATGAAAAAGTAATTTTGGGAACAAAAATAATGTTTGTTTTATACATTTCTCCTAATATTATTACTATTCATTATCCAGTAGAATTACATATAAAACATTTCTCCCAGTTGTTATTACTATTTATTATCTAGTAGAATTGCATATAATTGTTATATGTTCGAGCAAACAACCTTACTCAAAATTCTCCCGACTCTATAAAGTAATGGAAAATGGTCATGTACCATTATTTTGTCTAAGTAGATAATTTTAAATAGAAATAAGAATAAATATGGTATAACTCTTTCTCGAAAATTTTGGCACTCTCCTCTTAGCATGAAAAGACTGAATAAGAAAAAAAACTTGAATATACAATTTACAAGCGAACAAGCCCCAGCAAACCAAAAAATGAAAAAGAAAAAAAAAGACAACTTAAACACAAAAACAAATCTCTCTCTCTCTTGGTGGGAGTCTGCGAGTTCAACTGCTCTGATCATATGATACAGTAAAGGTCATGGTTGCTTGAGAGGAGGTTCCTGATGTCATAGTTGAATTGTCTTGATTATCTAAGCTTGAGGATATGTTGTACGGGACCTTGTTGACATCAGGCTTTGTTTGAGGAGTGGTCCTAATCTTGAGGTCCATGAAATCTGAAATTAAGCCCGGCTTTGTTATCTCATTGTCATCAACGTCAATCTGACCAATTAGCATCTTCACCACCTTTGACATGGAGGGTCGAAGCTTTGGAGTATCCTGGGTGCAGAGTAGACCAATCTTTAGGAATCTGCAGGCCACTTCAGCATCAAAATCCCCATTTAATGATGTGTCCACCAGCCCCACTAGCTCCCTTCTCTCGTAAAGTTTCCATGTCTGCAACAAAGCAGTCCACTATTATAATCAGCGATTGAAAAAAAAAATCAACTCTGCAACAATGAATACACCAGAGACAGAAAACCAACTCTACTACTTAGTAGTGTTTGCTTGGCTACTGGATGGAAATGAACATGACTGTAGTACACATTCCGCAAAGTTATGATTCTAGTGTTTAAAAGGGTTTTGCATTTTTATGAGTAATACAACCGAGAAGCACCCATTCTGATATCAACATTTTTCCTTAAAAGTTCAATAGTCAAACAGAATATGTGCAGTCTAAAACTAAGAGCAGAAAACACTGATCTTGGGTGTTCATTCCCTTCTTCTTTCTAGGCTTGCATTCCCTCCTGTCTTCAATTAATGTCATAAGCAGAGAAACTTGGGTATTCAATTTCTCATCAGCATTTAAATCTCAGTGATTCTGTGTAGCTTAACTTGGGGGAAACTTTCTAAGAAAGTATCCATCCAATAATACCGCTCATGCATGGAGTAACCACTGAATGCAAAACAATTGACTAGCAGTGGCTCAAGAACATCGTACCCTTTCAAGAAGATATTGTTCCTCAACAGGCAATCGCGTGTTTGTGTTGCATCTCCCACTGACTATTTCAATAAGAAGAACACCAAAACTGTAGATATCTGCTTTACGTGTCAACTGCCCTCTTATGGCATACTCTGGAGCCAAATAACCTCTGAAACAGCATTTGTAAGATGTAAATTTTTTAAATGAAAAAAGAAAAATAAAAGAAACGAAAGAACTAGGGTAAAAAAGAAGAGTTACAATACTATTTTTAGGGAGAAAAGGGAAAATCAATAGCAAGCGGAGAGGACGGAAAGCGGGACTCAAAGGCAGGACACACAAATTGGCAATTGTTGACTGTAGAAGTACCTGTGGAAGCTTATTCACCACTATTCCCACTCCACCTAGACAATAGATTCTGCAGGATGGTGATAACAAAATTACCATCAATGGTCCTTTCCCTTGTTTTGGATAATGTTTTTCATTGAGAGAGGTATTTCTGAGTGACCAATGTGCAGAAGGAAAGTATGTTTTTTGTTAAGTGAGAGTATAACATCTAGTCTTTTAAGTGGCAAACAGGCTTAGAGGGAGGGAGTGGTCATCTCCCAAGTTCTCACTAGCAACTGATCAGCTAGAAATCTCTAGGTTCTGTTTTTTTTTGGGGGGGGTAAAAAATCTCCAGGTTCATGGATTGATGAACGGGGTGCCATAACACTTTGATCCAAGACGTGGCCACGGAAGTTTGGTAGGTTTCCACACGGTGCAAAGGTATATTTCCCACATATAAAGAAATGTCAAAGCTGATGGCAGATTAATCTCTTAATGACTATTATTGATATAGGCTAAGAGTTTGTACATGGGTTAATTCAAAATCCACAACGCTTTTATGTAAGCCACTATCCCTAGCACTGATCTGCTGAAATGGTTAACAAGCTACAGATGCATAATGTAAAGATTCTAAACAAAAAACTGAGAGGATCAATGGGACTTACATTGTTCCTGCCACACGTGTACTGACATGAGTCATGTTGACAGGGATGAGTTTTGCAAGTCCAAAATCTGAGATACTGGGTGTTAAGTCTTTGTCGAGGAGAATATTGCTTGCTTTGATGTCCCGATGAACAATATGTGGGCGTACTTCCTCATGCAGGTAGGCAAGCCCTCGTGCAACTCCAATGCAAACTCTGACCCTTGTTCGCCAACTAAACTGGATGCTACTGTGACCTCCACCTGAAAGCAGAAAGTTGAAGCATAAGATACCATTTGATTCTAAAAAGACAAAAATATTAAGAATTTCCTTTTCACTAGATTGCAAATTTTTATTCTCGTGCATTCCCAACGAAAGTACTGTTTGAGCTTTAAGCAGCATTCTTCAACAAAAACTACTTCATATGCCAAGCACGACCTCATTAGACTTTTTAGATTACAGGGACTCCAAAATCAAGAACAGAAGAATGAATTACCAAGGAGGGTTTGTGCGAGGTTGTTATTCTCAAGGTAGTTGTAGACGAGAATCCTTTGATTTTCTTCCACACAACAGCCATAAAGTTTGACTAAGTTTTCGTGCTCTATATCTGAAATCACTTTAATCTCTGTCAAGAATTCTCGTACTCCTTGTCTTGATTCAGGTGAAAGAACCTTTATAGCGGCAATTTTTCCATTTTTAAGCCTCCCCTATTCATCCACGATAAGGAAGAATAAGACAAGGTGTCAATCTTCAGAAAAAAGGACATATAACTACCATTTTATGGCATGGAGATAAGTCAAACATTTATGCAAATATATGTTGAAACAATAATCATTTACCTTGTAGACCGAACCAAAACCACCCTCCCCAATTTTGTTGGCCGGACTAAAATCATCAGTGGCAATTCTTAGCTCTTTGTAGGAGTAAAAAGTAACCTTATGAATGCCTGAAAGCTCTGTTCACAATTCAACTTGATCAGAAGATTTTATATAAGAATAAGCAAAAGATTGTGGCAAAATTATGAGAGATGCACATGCCAGCTCTGTTTAGAAAATAATTATCAGATAAAAATGAAGACAAACATCCAACTGCTTCAAAAGTTTTGAGCATTATATGTCCACCTATAAAAGTTTCTGTGGATACCTTCATCAAATTCAGGAGGTGGTTTTCTGCGTAAGAAAGAGAAACAAGACATAACTGTATGATACCCCCAATGACCGGTCTTTTATACAATGCTCCTTGATGAATGCTTCAGATGGAACCAAATTCAAAGCCTGCCAAACTGAATAATTGTACACCAATGTCAGATACATCATACATCATCCTATGTAAGGAAAAATTAGAAGGTTTGAAAAGGTGGCTTCAAACTTTCAGTAGAATTTGATTCCAGAAATTTAGAAAATTAAAACCAAAGCAGAACAACAGAAAGCACGAATCCTACAGCCAATATGAGCTTATGCGATATGGAAGATAAATTCCGATTTCAGATATCCATGTTTTAGTGTTGTGGTTCTTTCTCGTCTCCATTTTGGAGAGCAGAAAAATGAAATAGCTTGGTATTACCTTGACTGCCATCAATGAACAATTTTGCTGATAATTCTGAAGGGTGAGTTTGTGTAACATACTGAGCACAATGGTGAAATAAGATTCACCCAAAAATGTTCAGACACGAATATGTTGAGTTGAATAATATACTATACACTTTTCTAACAACTTTGCATATTGAAGTGCATCTAAAATTCATTGGGTCAATAACTCAAATATTTATTGCCCAAAAAACAAACTCAATATTGAAAACTTATTCTAAGTTCGTCAATGTGCATTGAGGAAATATTATGTAGTTTTTCTTGGACGAATCATTACGAAAATACAACTTTACACAGTTGAAATCGGATTAAGCAGGCAGTGAGTAAATTAATCGCACTGGAAAAGAAGTCCAGGTACAGCTTAATGATCGAACTATAAGCACAAGGATGTAAATATTCAGAAGACAAAGCTAAGAAATTTGAACAATGCATACATTGGATCAAACAACGATTTATCAGTAACATGAAGTATTGAAACTAATTAGACAATTAACATAAAAGATTAACAATAATTTGCTAGAACAGAATGTATTCATCTACGAGATGATCAGGCTCAAGAAACTGTCTACAGTAAAAAAAAAATCTAACCCAATAAGTATGATTATAAGAATCAAAATGGAGAAATAATAAACAGACATTAGTTTTAAAAGAAACATAATCAACAAACGAAAAATAATCAAAAAAACGCATACTATATCAAATCTATGGCATAAGCAGTAGTGAGAATAATCCAAATCAGTATATGATTAAACAATGAAAAGCAACGAATCAAAAGATTAAACAACAGAAATTAAAAAGAAACTGTAAAAAAATACCTCAGAAACCAGATCAAACAAAAAAGAAAGCAGAGGAGAGTTTCGGAGAGAGAAGGGCGGAAGGTTGCGGTGGTTGGGAGAATGCGTTGGGGGTTGGATAATAGAGAAGAGAGAGAGAGAGTTGAAGTTCTTAAATCTGGACTAGTCTTTCCGTAGTCCATGAAGGAATGCGTACAATGTGTTGACGTCTCTCTCTCACTCCAATCGTGTGTTTTGTGGACACGGCGCGTCTGGGTCAACGAGTGGGGCGTCATGGCCAACTTCAGCTTTGGAATGCAGGAGAGCCCTGTCAACGTCATGTTTGGTTACACCCCGTAAAAATTCGAATTTTTACGGTCAATTTATAAATTTGAGTCTCAACTTACAGATAAAGACAATTTGATTGACCTTATTCTTCAATGTTTTAGGGTATGCGATTCGATGTAAATCAATTAATTCCTAACAGTAACAGTCGATAGCTATTACAATAACGAAACTCACTGAAAAATATTATTTATTTATTATTTTATATTTGTGTCAGAAGATAATATTAAGAAATAATAACTGTTAAATCTAATATTTACTCCCAAACACGGGAGGGACGTCATGTTTGGCGCTGTGCTTGCGTGGCCGTAGACTTTATTCCCAGTCAATGTTCTCTCCTCATCCTCATGCAACCATATGTTCACACGTCAAGTTTTTTTTTTTTTTGAACAGTACTGAAACGTTTTCACATTAGCTGAACGTTCTAGCTACTGCGTTCGTTCATTGCTAGACTGACCGTCTAAATCATTAGTACATTCTTCTTAATTTTCCTTCTGACCAGATTTTTTTCATTTGTTTTAGGGGAATCACATTTTGTAACTTAGAAAATTTAGTAATTCTCACTATATATTTTTAAATATTAAAATTTTTACATTATATTTTTAATATATTAATATTATTATCATGTGATGCTACCATTAATTTTGACTGCTCATTTTGTTTCTCTTTGATAGAATTGAACAAGGAAATCTAAACGACCATACCACATTTTAATGTGAATATATATATATATATATATATATGTACCTTCAAAAAAATTAATATTTGAGGGTACAAAACAGGAGTTCTTAAATTTTTGAGGATACAAAGTATAATTCACCCATTATTTTATCTGTCTTATCTTCTTTCTTTAAAAAAAATTCTATTTCCTTTTTTTTGGCCTTTTGTACCAAATATTTCTAAAAAAAATTCACTCAGATCTTATTTGATTCTCTTATAATATAGATGATTTTTGAGTGAACATCTATATATAAATTCATGTACGTTATATTGTTTGCAAATCATTTGAATAGAAAAAAAATTCAATCCAAATGTAATCTTATTTAATTTAATCAATAAATATAATAAGGAGATTGAATGATTATGTTTGGCAAAAGGGTGAGGTTATTATCATCCCACAAATATCTATTTTCACCCAATTTAATTTTTTCTTATCAAATTATTGAATTCATCTCATGTTAGACACACTATTAATAACTAAATTTACTCATTTTTTATACCCTTTTAATAATTAAGTCTAATTCATTATGTACCTATCAATTCGTTATTAAACTCACCTCATTAGTGATTAAATTTACCACATTATATACTCATTTATTTGTTTGAATGTATGGTAAAGGCCCACTTGTCTATTAGATTAATGTTTTCTTCTGAATCTTTACAAGAAGGTGGTTGATTTCATTGATGAAGATGGTAACTGGAATCTCCAGGAAGCAGTTTCACACCTCTCTTATTCTTTATGTTTTGATATCTTACATACCTCTATTCGCGGCCCTTGTGATTATCTTGATATTTTTTGTTGAGGTTATTCAAATAATGACAAGTTTTCAATAAAGTTGCTTTTAACCTTTTAACTAGGTCCTCTAAAGTCAGGTACCCAAACCTTGATTCGAGCTAGATCTGAAAATTAAAACTCCCTCAGAAGCTGAATTTTTTCTTGTGGCTCGTCCAACATGATAGAATTCTCTCTAATAGTCTGAGGGCATTAAGGAATATGACCAACGATGCATTTTGTTGTAGAAGTAATGAAATGTCTGAATCCACCTTGCATATTATTCGAGATTGCCCAAAAGTACATAATATTTGGAAGTTGTTTTTGATTAATTAGGAAAAGGAAATTGACCAATTGGGAGATTTGTATTATTGGTTGAATCTAAATTGTAAGGAGAGAAAGGCTAAATAGTGGAAAGGTATCAAATGGGTTGTGCTTTGGAAATGTATTGTTTAAAGCCTATGAAAAGACAAAAATCGACAGAGCATCGCCAATATTACTCCCCCCCCCTCCAAAAATTGTTGCGAGGGAAGCATGACTCCTTGCCTTAGAGTCCATCAAAGCTTTTCAGGTTGTTCATTTTGCAAAGGATGTTGTTTTATCTAATCTGATTAGATGGTCTTTCCCTTATGCATGATGGAACAAGCTCAACACAAATGGATGCTCCAAAGGCAATCCTAAATATGCAGGAGTTTGAGGAATTATCAAACCCGACCAAGGCAAATGGATTATATGCTTTTTATGGGAGAATGAATGACACAACAAGCATTCAAGCTGAGCTTTGGACGATTTTAAAAGGGCTAAAACTTCTGCTAAGGCTTCAGATCACCCAAGTTGTTGTGAAAACTGACTCGCTGGAGACAGTTAAGCTACTGTTGTCTAATCTTGATGAGATTCACCCAAGCAGAATTATCATCAGGAACTGTAGAAATATGATGGGAACTAACCATATCCCCATTCTCCATACCCTCAGAGAAGGAAACCAATGTTTTAACTTTTTGACCAATCTTGGAGTTAGTGTGTTTTACTCTAGGCACCCTATTTAGATTAGGTATTTTATTTTTCTAGTGTACGATATATATATATATATATAGACTACTGCAAAAAAAAAAAAAATTAAAAAATAAAGACGAACCAAAGAAAAAAAAGAAACAACCAAAATTGAAACAAGAAAAAAAAAAAGAAACAAGCAAAGACGAAAACAACAACCAAAAACGAATCAAGAATCAAGAAATAAAAGGGAACAATTAAAGACAAAACAAGAAGAAAAATAAACAACCAAAACAGAAACAAGAAAAAAAACAAAACTACCCAAACAAAAACTGAAACAATCAAAGATGGAACAAGAAAAAAACAAAATAAGAAAAAAAAATAATGAAAGAAGACAATTAGTGATGGCAAGAGATTCTAAAACACTAATTTTAATGCGCACACACACACACACATATATATATACAAGTATATAAATTCTAAAAAAAATTATTAAACTTGACAGAAATACCAAAACAAATAAAAAATAATGAAAAATCTACACAAAACACATGAAATCAAATATATTATTAAATCGATAAGTATATTAATATGTATCTCGCTAGAAAACTCATATTAAAAAAATGTTTTTGTTGATGTATGAGATGAGATAATGAATAAAACCCTAATTATGAGAAAATATATAAGATGAACTTACTTATTAATGGAGTGCGTATAACAAGTTTAGTTATTAATAGAATGAGTATAAAAGAGGTGAATTTAATAGTTTGATAATAAGAAATTAAATGACAATTAGAATAAATATTTGTGGGATGAGAATAACCCACCCTTGATCAAATTGTAGTATAATATATCATATAAAACTTTAACTAAATTATTCATATCCAATTGGATTTTTTCATTTTAGCAGGTTGGACTTAATTTTAAAATGATAAATTCAGATATTTTGAATTAAAAATTTGACAATGAGGAATTTATTTATTATAAACTATTTTAGGTGTGAATGTCTTGAATTTTATCGTACCGAAAAAAAGATATACGACTAAAGTGAGTCGAATACCTCCGAGGGAAATACCAAAATAAAAATAAAAATAAAAATTTGGGCGGTGGTGATGGTCACCGGTGGTTGATTTGGGACCACAGAGTCAGCTATATCGTTCAGCGCCAGAGAGAGAGAAGGGACAAATAATGAGTAACGTTGCTAGTAAATGAAAAGGCCAAGTGTTGTGTTCCATCCAAAAAAAGGCAGGGACTGAAGGAGAGAGAACGGACAAATTATGAGTAACGTTGCTACTAAGGTCGCCGTCGTCGGAAGCGGAAGTGAGCAACTATCCCCAATCTCTCTCTCTCTCTCTCCAACTTCCTCTATATAATATATATGTATGTATGTATGCAAGTATGATTTATCATTGTGTCATATATGAGAGATCAAATTGATCGACGGAAAATATTTTGTCACTGTTGGATTCAGTTTCGGGAGCTGTATGTGCGTCGACTCTGGCCAGGAATGGGGTATCAGTCGCCATCCTTGACTCCGCTAGAGGCCCTGGTGGACGAATGTCTCAGCGAAGGTAACTCTCTCTCTCACTCTCTTTATCGTTATGGATTATATTACGGAGGTAACAGCCAAAATGCCGTCATTGTGTTTGAATTGTGAAAGTTGCACGTCTATGTATTGCTTATTTGGTACTACATTGGGCTATTTAATAGAGAAATTACTGAAGATGGGAAGGAGCTGTTATTTGACCATGGTGCCCCTTACTTCACTATCAGCAATCCTGATGTGTTGGGCCTTATTCATGAATGGGAAGCTAGAGGTCTTGTTGCTGAATGGAAACAGAATTTTGGGTCTTTCGATTGTATTTTTAAACAGTTCTTCGATATAGAAAAGGTATACAGATGACCAAATTTTTTTAGAAATTTCTGACCGCATATTTTCTCTTGTCATCTATGTGTGCTTAATTTTAATGCAGCAGCCAAATTATGGCTCGCTACCTAATCTGTTAATTTTATATGATGTCTTTAGCTTAAGTTTTTATATTGGGGCAGTTTTATTGTCTCATTGTCGTAAGCTTGTGGTTGTACAGTTTGTATCTGCAAAATTTCATGCGTGAATATAAGAGATTAGCCATACAAATGTACTTGTGTGATCCATATTTCTTCAAGTGAAAACTTGTCTCTGAATATCTGTTCCATTTAACCCGCATTTCTTCAAGTGAAATTTTGTCTGAATATGTGTTCCACTCAGGAAGGATTAAGTAAGAAATATGTGGGTGTCCCAGGAATGAATTCTATATGCAGAGCATTATGCCACGAGCCTGGTATGCACCTATGTTACTGATTCCGATGTGTTGGTATCATTGAGTTTCTATTCAGATTCCATTATCCGCTTTTGAACACTAACATAGAATGTTGCATTTTTCGCAAATTCTTCTTCAGGAGTTGAAAGTAAGTTTGGGGTAGGTGTTGGGAAGATAGAGTGGTTACAGGCCAAAGATTTATGGTCATTGACAGGGTTGGATGGCCAAAATCTCGGTCATTTCAACGGAGTGGTAGCATCAGATAAAAATACATGTGCTCCCAGATTTACAAGTGTAACAGGACGACCAACTCCTCTAGGTAGGAGGGCTTTGCATAGCTTTTGTTGGTTACTCAGTCATATTATATTTGTGGCCTTTTATGCATCATGACAATCATTTGCCTTTTGTTTATGACCTAGGTCCAAAATTATAAGGCAATGGGTTTGGTAAACTTTACTTTGGATGCTGGTCAGCAGTGATTCTGTTTTAATTATTGGTGGGCCATGATGTTGGGTCTATTGTTGACCATGGATAAATCACAGTCGCAGTTATAATTGATTCTAACCTATTTTATTCAACCATTGACATTACTTTCAAGGGCAGTTTGATCCTGGATTTGGAAAAAAGGAAGCATGGATTTGACACAGCTTACACAGAACGCTAAAAGTTTTAATATTTTTGAACTGGTAGAATTCCTAAAGGTTACATCAATAGTTTGTCCATAAGCAGGAATTTGTTTGTGGTAGAAAGGAAACAAATTGATGGCTGGATCTCATTATGTCCAAATTTATGCACCATCATATCGGTATACTTTATGCAAAACGACTAGCTGTCCTGCTGAGGTGGTACCCTTTTCTGATGTTAGGGGTATGTCCAGGGTTTGTGGCCCAATTGAAGGAATAGGATGGAAGGCTTATGGGTTGGGAACTCGCTAGCCTCTATTGTGTATTGCGTTGCCACCATTCTGGACTACTCTATTTATGTCCATTTGGTCAGATGGTGTGGAGGTCCAAAGAAACTGAATCAAGATGAGCCTGTGTTTATTTTTTCTCTTACTTCCATAGTTTTTTGGTGGTTGGATAATAAGATGAGGGCGGGCCTTTATCCTTTTTCTACGATCTAATGAATTCTCATTCTTACTTAATACCCCCTTGAAACTAACTTAAAAGAAAAGGCACCTAACAAATGAGCAGCATTGGTTTATCTTCTGATAAGTACAACAATCCAAGTATCTACTTATGCTGCTAGTTACTAGGGGTGGGCAAGGGGCCAGCCGGACATAAGGGATGGGGTTAGTATTTTTGGGCCGTGGGCAAGGCCAAAAAGCCCACCCAACTTGAAACAGGATTTTGGTATTTATTTAATGTATATTCAATTTATTTTGAATACAAAATTTTAGAATAATATAACTACAGTGGCTCATGGGTTGGACCTTGTCAAGGGCAATGACCCAAGGGCTTGGCCTGGGCCTGAGAAGGTCATCCCAAAGTATGCCTCAACCCCTAACTCAGCATTCAGTCCATCTTTTTGATTGCCGGCCCCAACCAGCACGTACCCAACCTACTGGGGACTCCTTATTGGTACCCTCCCTGCCTCTTTCCATGTACTTAAGTTAGCCATATAACTCACCACTGTGGTTCTAATTTTTCTGAAGGTAATTATCTCTATACAACAGTTGTCTCTAGTTTAAGACAAATAGCTTCAAAACGGTAGGCTTAGCTGTTTAACCTATTATTATATGTTTATGATGAACAATTCCTTTAATTTCCAGTGTTTTCCCCCTAAAGTTAACCTATGCTTTGAAGCAATTGCCACTATTTTCTATTTTAGCTGTAAGTGTGGGGCAACTCTATCCTTGAAGACACACAATTGGTGACAAGCACAAGGGCACAGCAGATCAGCTCTTTAAATCCAGAACTAGTGGTAGAACCCCGCAAGATGAGAAGGTACAGTTGGAGAACATGTCAACCAGGATTCTATGGATATGTGAAATTGCATTCAATATGGGCCCCAACAATCCATACAAGTAATAAATGTGATTTTTGGATGTAAATGTAGTATTCCAGAATGTTAGTTTGGATATTTCCAATATTTTCTAACTGTTAGAAAACACTTTTTGGATAAGGTTAACGTAAAATGGATTGATTTAATTCCCCTTTGTTTCTGGATGACCTTTCAGTGATTGTGCACCTTAGTTAAATTCATTGTGACAGTATAACAATTTCATATTTGTCATAGAACCAGCATATGACAGGAACATAACCATACACTGTTTTACTGTTGTACAAACAGATTTGAATTCCTTTCCAGAGTTGGCCGAGAAGATGAAAGAAATTCCAGTTAGGTCATCTTTTGCTCTCATGCTGGCGTTTGAAGAACCTTTGTCTTCGGTAAGATATATATTGGGCACTTCAGTTATGCTTTACTTATCCTTTTCAACTTTGGAAATCCATAATGTTATTCGATGTATTCTGCCATTACGGCTTTCTCCGATAACCTCCCCTCTTCTCCCTTTTAAGTATGTTTACCTTAAGCTGTCTGATTGAGGATTATAGCATTGTACTTTTACTTATTTCTTAGTTTCTCGGCCAGCTTTCAATCGTAGTTGACTATATCTCTCGAGGTATATTTGAGGACGCGTGGACCACGTCTTCAACTATAGGATCCCAGTCAGAATTTTTATACTGTCTGAACTACAAATTCTCAAGATATATCCATGCGGTGTATAACTCTGTTTATTGACTCGAAAAAATTTCTTAAGATTTAATCCATGCCATTTTGTGTGAATTAACAAATACTTCTGTTTTTTAGTCTCTATTTGTGCTGACACTGACAGTGGAATAATCCTGGACCTCTCTTATGATACAGATACCATTAAAAGGCTTGTCATTCAAAAATTCTGAAGTTCTAAGCTGGGGATTTTGCGACAGCAGCAAGCCGGGGCGTTCTATCACTGGGTATGTGTTTGTGTTGCACAAGGGAATGGTGGAGGTGCTTAAGTTTGAAACTATATTCATTACTTCAATAATACTTTTTTGATTGATTCCCACACAGTGAACGTTGGGTGTTGCATTCTACAGCAGAGTATGCAGAGCGTATTATTTCTCAAACTGGACCTCAGAAGCCTTCAAGTGCAACATTAACAAAAGTTGCTGAAGACCTATTTCAAGAATTTCAATGCACTGGAATTGGTATTTCTCAGCCATATTTCAAGAAAGCACATAGATGGTTGGTATTCAAAGCACAGCCCTCTGTTTAATTGCCACTTGCTAGTGTCTTTTCAAGCGTATACACCTATTGGAAACATGAGGGTTGCATTTTGGTTCCAAGCTTGTTAGTATAAGCTGCGCCAGCCACACTTTTGCAAGCCCAGTTTGTTTCTGGATGTGTTGGGCTACAAATATCTCATCTGCCTTGTCCAGCTGGCGTCAGGTGTATTTTGTGTAAAATCCCTAGTTAAGTCATGAGCTTATTTCCAAGCATGTAAAATCTTAGCCTGGTGAGATTTTTGGTTGATTATATCCATGTTGGGAGATTGTCAATCCAAAAGCTGTTTGGCCTGGAAGAAAAAAGAAGAAAAGAAGAAAAGTAAAAACCTGAACAAAGTCTTAATATCCCAACTTCAGTTAAAGTCTTCAATTTAGAGAACCAGTGTTCCAGCCAGAGCCTAGATTTCACTGGAATGTTAAGGTCTCTGCAAGTCATTTGATAAGAGTGGAAATTATCTAATGGAGAACATGTTTAAGAGAACTGAACTAGTATTTGGCAATACAAAACTTTAGAGGAAGTTTCTCTTCCCAATGAAGTATACTGTTGGGCATTGACCGAGCTAACACACTTAGTGAGTGTGCCTTGCAAGCTTACTTGGTCTTCCCTGATATATGTTATCTTGCCACCTTTTGTGGTACACATCTGTTTCCCTTTTTCACTTGCTCTTTGTTGAAGCTGAATGTTTATTGCTAGCATATGTCCTAGCATTCTTGACGTTTTGAAAAAAATTTACATTGAAAATGTACTTTGTTTAGGAAAGAGAAAATCATTGATTGGCCTATGAGATCTTGTAAACTATTGTTTTGGCCAACCATCCACTCAAAATGCTCTACTGTGACTAATGTGGAAACTGATAACTGATATCTGGTTTCTGGATTTTGGACTCACCTGATAGGTTTAGGAGTCATTTTAGCTTGGAAGTTCCTGAAAGAAGTATAATTGCATTTTTCCTATATTCCATCTATATTCCCTGTCACGTCGTCATGCAGGTGTGGGAAAATATGTCCGGATTCTGGAAAGCTTAAACATAACCCTTATGGCTGTTGTGTTCAATAATGACCCTAATTTCTTTCTGGTTGCATGATAATTTCATAACTACAAATCACGGTGGCATTGTCAGCTTTCCTCTTACCATATGCAATATCAGCTGGACTTGGTTTCCTTGTTTCCCCATGTACTTTATTTTCTTGATTGAAAATAGTTTTTCGAACTAGTAGATACCACAGGGATAGTCTTATGGGCTCACCTCACCCCTCCAGCAAAGGTTGTAATCATGTTCTCCAAATAATGTTAGAGATGAGGATTTATGAGAGGAAACACACCTGTTATCATCCTTGCTTCGTGTTCTTTCAATACATTTTTCTCATGGTACCTTCCACAAACTGCACATTCAAATCTTGCAATTAAACTCTTATTTACCAATTTTATTTCTGTTTGGTACACAGGGGAAGTGCTTTTCCAGCTGCAAGCATAGCGAGAGAACAGAAATGCCTATGGGATGTCAAGAAGAGACTGGCCATATGTGGGGATTTTTGTGTCAGCCCAAATGTTGAAGGTGCAATAATTAGTGGCATGGCTGCTGCCTCAAAGGTTACAGAAATTCTTAGCAGCTTGTAGTAGCAACATCTTCAGTAACATCAGTTCGTTCAAATAATCTGTGGAATTTGAGTACCTTGTCTGAATATATAAAAGGAGGGCCTGTTGTAAGAAAATATTCCTTTCAATTTATCTTCTCCCTAGTGTGTCACTGAAGGATTCAAATCTACCTGTAACAATAGAATAATTGGTAATGATTTTATCGTTTTTTAGGGCATGCTTTGATTGTTGGACTTTTGGATTGAATTTGATTGGATTTGATTATTTGACATCCACATCGTTGGGCTCCCCCTCTTTTTACTTGTTCCACTAGAACGATGTTCATGAAGAAATTTGCTTCACGAAATTGGAATATTGGATATCACAAATAACAATTGGAGGGAAAGGTCAGGGTATGTAAGCCAATGTTCTCAGCATTTCTTTGGATCTTATGTTCTGAATCAATAAAGTAAGCTGGATTATCATTTTTCCTATTCAAAAACCCTTATGTCTTCCTTCAATCAACTACTGAAGGAATTCGTAACCATGGTATGCACCTACTGATTCCGATGTGTTGAACACTGAGAAATACACAAATGGGAGAGGAAGAAGTAAAGAGCGTGTCTTGCTTAATGGAGGACATTTATATGAACACTGAATAAAATAAAATGGGTAATTTGGTATTTTTAAGAGTTATGTGCCGGATATCCACTTTTGCAATTTGGCCAAGAGTTCAAGGAGTTTTAGTGCAAAAGTGGAGTTGTTCAGTGATGCTTTTTTGGCTTTCGTGTTCCCCTATAAATTATGATTGTCATTTTAGGACCTTATAATTAAAACATATATATATTTTTTCACTTATTTTTGCAAGAAATTTTATTTTTTATTTAATTTTTTTATTGAATTATGATGTTTTCAAGTTACTCTCGTTTTATAATTTCGTTAAAGTAGAGGGGTACTTCGTTGGCATGTGATTTAAAAAAAACAAAAATAAAATTTTCTATACAATGCGGTAGTCTCCTTCTTCAAGACACCCAACGACTGAATTCCCTTTTCCTTGTCCCTTGCTCCATTGTGAGTCTATTTGTTTTCCAATCTGTAAATCAATGCTAAATTCCAAACTTAAAAAAAAAAAGATTATAAAAATTTCAATGCTTTTACTCTTCGCGAGCATCCTCTCCCGAAAACCCCCATCCTAGAAAAACCCTCCCTATCCCAAAAAACCACTCCTGCATCCCTCTTCACTTGCGAAAAACCACTATCAAAACCTTGCAAAAAATCACTATCAAAACCTCGCTAGCCACCGCATCGAACCTTATCCGCATTGAAAACAATACACGATTGTTAGTAGATTGAGGTCAATGAGTATTCTATTCAGAAAAGACAAATGATTTGATTGGAGCCAAGTTTGGACATGGCATAGAGTGTCATTACCTCACAACCCACCCACTGAAAACCCTGTCTAGTTAAACCCAAGCCGATCAAACAAGCACCACAGCCCACTATTAAGAACCCAATTGAGAGAGGTCATGGCGGCTCAACATAAATTCGGGCCTAAAGCGAGATCGGATAATAGATTGGGTGTAATTGTGAAGTCAAGAGTTTATAGATGAATAAATAGAATGAAGTTTTAAAGAGATAGTAAGATAATTAAAGGTAAGAACAAAAAACCTGAGTAAGACAATAAGAGTGGTAATGAGAGAAAAAGTTGGAGAGAGGCGATGAGAGTATTCAATGGAGGTGCAACAAGCTCTCCCTCAGCGTCAAAGTTTTTGAGCCACTACCACTAGCTCAGTAGCTTGTTCCTCCTTTGTTTGAAATCCAAGCTGCTGAGGTCAACCAAGAGGACATCTTGAGGGAGTTGGAGCAGCAAGAGCAACCAACTCCAAACCTCGGTCTTTGGAGTCAATAGTTTTGGTTCTTTTCAGTAGCCCGAATGAGAGTCGACTTATTTCATACTAAACCTAACTTCTCACCCCCGATAAGGTGGTCCACCCACACTTAGGTGAGCTATCAGACTCCACATATTTGTCGGTCAAGATGTGGTCTGACAAAAAATAGAAGTTGTCCGTATCAAGTGATACATGAATTGCTCAGTAGTGCTTCGCCATTACTGTAGCTACCAGGAATAGCTTAATGGTAGAGCATAGCCTTGCTCAAGCTAAGAGATGGAGGAAAAAATAGTGAAAAGAATTTGGGAGAGATTTCTACTTTTAAAACAAGAAATTGTTACTTATAGATTTTTTTAGAAGATTTTGTTATATTTAAAATTTTATAAAAGGCTTTATATAGACTTTGTAAAAATATTGTTACATTTTAGAACTTTTTATAAAGTTTTACATAGACTTGTGAAATATATTAGGCCTTTAATTTGGTTCATTCAAAAGGGTCTCAGAACGTAAAGCTAAACTAAAAACTGAAAATTAAATTGGGGCGCTGATATGCGTCCTCCCATTCAAATGATCAAAGTGTTTATGCATCTTGTAACAATTGTAGTCTCTGCTCATCCCTCATTGTCAAATCTTCGTCCATGGAATCAATTAAGTGAGACAAATTGATTAGTAGATAACACGCAAAGATTAAAGATAATAAATGTGCTATTCCATATTTTATGCATTTTTTAAATTTATCAAAAATAATGCGTGGACCATTATAAGGTACTGTTATAGTAAAGATACTCAATGTTACAACATGATGTTATATAAATTTTTTTAGTAATTTAGGCATTTAATATATATTAAACATTACAGATGCATTATTTTATACTCATACTATCTGAGTGCAACTATTCAATAGTACAATTCATATGAATTGTAAATATACATAGATCATCATGGCTAAATATACATTTTTTAGCAAACAGATCTACACATATATTTGTCTCTCTCATTTCTTACTTGAATGCACTTTTTGAAAGTATAATATATTATTTTATTACTATTTCTATGTTCTTCTTATTTGTTTTGTATATTCTTTATGAAAATTGTGGTATTATAATATCAACTATCGGTATGTACTCATAATTTCTTATTATTTCGTTGTTGAATTATTTTATTATTTTTTTATGATTCTTAATTTATTTGTGTATGCAACGTTTACCTACTATTTTATTGTGTTTTATTTTCTCTGATAATAATTTATTGATATTTTTTTAATATTAATTAGTTTTTATTGTGGATCCTTTATGAAAATGAACAAATTTAATTAGTTGATATTTTTGTATTTAAATTATAACAAAATCGAGTATGAGAGAAGTATAAAATATGTTTGATTTATTTTTATTTGTGGAAGAGAGAGAAAAAGATATGCTTATTATACTTTTTTATTGACGAGTTAACTATTTTTCTGTCCTTTAATAAATGTGTATGTGTGAGGTGGAATGACCTTTTAAACCTAAATTCTAAATTTTATTTTGTTGACTTAATCTTTCAGAAGTTTTTTTGTTAATCTAAATTATAATGGGTTTTAATTTTTGATCGATACTTTTTTTATTGAACTTTAATTTAAAGCCCATGAAATACGCACGTTGTACTCTTTTTCCTTGTTTAGTTTTTGTCCCATTTAGTTTTCCTTATCAAGTTTTAATTAGACAACATTAGTGCGTCCAACGCTATTCTAAGATTGATTTACATATATACTCTTTTTCCTTTGTTGAATTTTTTCCCACAATGTTTTCTTAGCAAAGTTTTAACGAAACATATTATCTTAGCATTGTGGTCATCCAAGGGAGAGTGTTGTAAATATTACATTGTATATAAATCAGTTATTGTCCATGTTGAAGACATAGAGTAATAAAAAAAATTATCAATTATAAACATATTTGTATTCACACCCAAAATCAAATGACAAACATAGAGGAGAGAGAAAAAAAATTTAAGCACCGATTGTAGTAGGGGTGAGCGATGGTAGTAGTGGTGGGCGGCAGTGGTGGTGATGGGAGACAGTGATCGTTGTGGTAGACAGTGACCTTGGTGGTGGTGACAATCGTGGGTGGCAACGATAATAGTGATAATGGGAATAGGTGGTGATGGTGCAACAATGGTGGTGGGCGGTGACGATGATGATGGTGGTGGGCGTTGGTGGCAGTGGGTGGTGGTGAATGACGATAGTTGTGGTATGTGTGGTAAGGGTGGGTGATAATGGGTGCGGTGGTGGTGGGCGATAACGGGTAATGGTGGTTGGTGGTGGGCGGGTGACAATGGGGTGGTGGGAATGGTGGGTAATGACAGGTGGTGGTATATTGTGGTATAATGGGTGGTGGTGGTACGATGATTTTAGTGGTAATAAATATAAGAATGAAATGATGGTGATGGTGATGATGGGTGGTGATTGAAAGCGACGATGGTGGTGGGATGATGATGATAGTGAAAATAAATATAAGAACGAGATGATGATGGTGGTAACGGTGAGCAACAATGGTAGCAATTGATAGTGGGTGACGGCAGTGGTTGTAATTGTGATAGTAGCAAGAGTGGTGAGAGTGGTGTTCAGGGCGGTGGGGGGAAGGGGCAGTTGAAGAGGCGGTGGTGGGGGTGGGAAGGTGGTGGGAGTGGAGCGGTCCCAAATATTATTTTTTTTAAACTGTTTATGAGAAGTTATAAGTCCTAAAAGTAATTTTAAAAAGTTACTCTAAGCACGTTCTTAAAGACCTATTTTTTTTATTAAATTTGAAGAATTAATATTAGTCGTCAGATTAATTTTAAAATAAAATTTAAAATGATCTCAACCGCGAAAAAAAAAAATTATTTTATTTATTATATAAGATTTTATATATACATTGTATATAAAATGGATGACTCTTAACCTTTTAATTAGTACCCTAAGTAAATAGGAATTAGTAAATATTAATACCGTAGCCTATAGTCCTTTATTCATTGATGTACCAACTTTATTATTGTATTTAATAATTATTATATTTAAAAGTCTATAAAAAAATCTTAAATACATTAAAAAATACAAGTTTAAAAACTCTTTCTCTGACATTTTCATATCTGTATTATCTTATTCTATTTGTAGCGTCTTATTTAGTTTTGCAACATTCTTAGCTATGAATGATAGCAACAGTAAACTTGGGTATCATTTACAAAATGCTTATTCACCTCAAGCAGAAGCGTAGAGCTTGTATTTTGATAATGCTGTAACATCATATCCAGAACCAACCCACAAGAGGAATGCCACGTGTCAAAGTGGCAATCACCAATCCCTGATTATTATTATCTATCATCAAGGACATTGCAGTTGCCAAACCGTAAGGACTAAGGAGTTGAAGAGGAAGCAGAAAGCCGCAAAGAAGAAAGCAATGGCAACCACCTCTGTAGTGATGAGTTCTCTGAGCCTTAAGCCCTCTCAGTTCACCGTTGAGAAAACGGCGGTGAGAGGCCTCCCCTCCCTTGCAAGGACTTCTTCTTTAAGGGTTGAGGCCAGTGCCAAAAAAAAGATCAAGACTGACAAGCCTTATGGTTAGTCTCTCTCTACATAGAACACACACAAATGGGTTATTTTGGAACCACATCGTACTTGTATGTATGTAGAAAAACTTGGGATTTCGAAGTTTTCTTCTCGTAGTTCTGTTCTCAAACTGTTTCTTTGTCCATATTGTTCCATCTGATGCCAAGTTCTTCAAAAGAAATGAAACAAAAGCACTGATTTTGTGCTCTGAGAGAGAGAGAGAGAGAGAGAGAGAGGAAAGGTTGTCAGAATACGAGCATGTTGTTGATTGGTTTTTCTTTATGTTTGGATGGGTGTTGTTAGGAATCAGTGGAGGGATGGCTTTGAGGGATGGACTTGATGCCTCTGGAAGGAAGCCTAAGGTTAGTTTCTACTACATACATGGTAGTTTTCATTGATATTCATGAATTTTCAGTTAAAGTATCCAAGGATTAACCACGCTAATAGATATGATTATGCGTTTCACAATCTATCCTCTATTTCTGATTTCTTCTACTTTCTTTCAACGTTACCATCTAATACTGATTCAGGGGAAGGGTGTTTACCAATTTGTTGACAAATATGGTGCCAATGTCGATGGATACAGGTAGAATTAACATCCTTTGATTTTGTGATTCTGTTCCATATATTGCGAATATAGATTTCTGTTTCTTATACTGATTATTTACGAAATGAAAACAGTCCCCCCACGGTTTACCAACCCATTAGTGACTCGGGTCTCGTCTGGTGCTCTGAATTGTCATTTACGCATAAACTACTCATTACAATGTAATGTATTTTAACATATAACTTTTTTTTTTTTTTTTAATGATGCATACAGTCCTATCTACGATACCAACGATTGGTCTCCAAGTGGTGATGTCTATGTTGGAGGTAAGCCCAGAATACAATAGTTGTTTTCCTCATGATATGAATACTCATTGACTGAATAAATGTTGTGAAAATGCAGGTACCACAGGCTTAGCCATATGGGCTGTTACTCTGCTGGGCATTCTTGCTGGGGGTGCCCTCCTCGTTTACAACACCAGTGCTTTGGCACAGTAGACCGTCCTTACTGTAATTCATGTTCTATTCTAGTCCGTCTCGAGCATGTACAAAATACTTTATGGATCCAAGTTGTATCCGTAATCTGTATTAATTTTGTATGAATTTGAATCCATGCATGTATGACTGTTTGTGTTTTGAGGTTCAAATATGTTTGGATGTATAACTTGTGTAAACATACTATGTACCATGAATAAACCTTGATAGCTATATACCATGAAACATGAGTAAAATCTCAAGTAGAGTGTGCGTTTTATGACAAAAAGAAAAAAGAACAATAATCATAGCAACCGATTACTTTAGTAAAACGATTGATTTTTTTACAACTAATTCAAGTAGCAGAAACTCCATGGATTTCGAATTTCTGATGCTAGATAGTAAGTGGTCAGGCAAATAGCATTCCAATCCACATGTTGTAGCCTCTTGTAAGAAAGTCATCCCATGCCAATGGGATTATCAAGAAAACTTGCAAGATCTGGATGAGAAGGATGATATATGGTATTCTTAAAATTAAGTATGACGACAAAGTTTATTGAATATCACAATTCACAAGTACTCAGTTTGTTACAGAGCTTACACAGCCACCCTCCCATTAGTCCCCTGACATCTAACTCCACCCCCTTTTCTTTCCTATCTGAACCCATCCGCTGCATGGTCCACAAATACAGAACAAAATGCGTGCCAAATTGAATTGCCACTACCATTACTCCAGCACATAGCATTAACAAAACTGGGTCTCCCCCTGAGACCAAGATGGAGGATGAATGATGCCAATTCATTATATTTCAATTAACCTAGAGAGGATTATGTTCCTCATGTTTCTTTTTCACCTTGTGTATTGACCTCTGCCTCCATCCCAGTCTGATAGCCAAGCAATGACAAAACTTTTCAATCATATCATATTTCTTCAAGAATATCTTCATCTTGCTGTTGCGGCAGTGAGTTCCCAAAGGAAGAAGTGCCTACTTGTCCAATTCCTTCTACCATTGTGGACCGAACATTCTGCACATACAAATCAATTCTTCATTCAGTATTTCTCACAAATAATTTATGGTTGTGTCAAAAACCTTCCATCCTTGAGCTAAAATAATCTAACCCACAAGAAATGTATCCTCAGATTTGATCCAAAGACAAAAACCAAGAAGGAAGAGAAAAGGGGGGGGGGGGGGGGCCTCCCCAGACAAAGTACAAAAAAGAGAATGGTAGTTCTAACCAACTTGGGAATTGTTCTACTCCTCCCACTACAGCAAACATAGTGGGGAAATGTTCAAAAATAATCTTCATACAGAATGGGATTTAGTTGTGTATTCTAGGGTAACATCAATATATTTGTACATTATATGTTTGCACTAGTTAGATTGGCAAGGGAACTCATGTAATTAGAAAACACATATATATTTACTATCTTTGATAATAGGATCATATTAAATATATATCCTGGCAAAAGGGAACAAAACTTAACCATAAACATGAAAAAAACCCCCCACCAATTCTATAAGTAGGATGCATGTCTGCGTGTGCAAGAGAAGGGAGAAGGGGGGATGGATTTGCCACATTCATAGTTTGAAGCTCAAGTTTGTGGAGTTGTGGGCACTGGTGATGCCAGATAAATCAGTGACACTAAACATTGGGTTCACATGTATGACTCCATATGCCAGACTGATCAGTAGAGAGAATTATGAAAAAAGGTAACCCCTGGGAGGGGGAGGTGGAACGAATATGCAAATTTTTTAACTAAAACAAAAAAGTAGGCTAAATGTGTTAGAATTGAACTAAGAAAAATAAATTACATATACAGAAGACATAAGCATACAAACCTTTTCTATTTCTTCATACAGTAGAGGGTTTTCTCTCAAGAACTGTAGTGTTTTGTCTCTTCCTTGGCCCAACCTTTGTCAAGCATCAAATACAAGAATGACCGTAAGCCACAAAATAGTTCATGCCAAGACATAAATGCAAGACAACTTGGAAAGGAAAGAGATGATACAGAGATCATTGTTAAAGTGGCATGTGCTAAGCTAGATACACAATACTACCCTGAACCCATGAGATGGTGATCAGTTGCCAGTTCAAGTGTAATAAACTTAAGCATATGGACTTCTTTTTTTTTATTTTTCTTCCATGGAATTGTGGTAATAATCTATAAAAGATAACACTAACAACACTAAAATATAAAGTTCAAAGCTAGTTCTAAGTTCTAACTGAGATAACCTTCTCATATTTCTTTTTTTGTAAGCTCAAGAATTCTAGGGCTTCACCAAAGTAGAGACATTTGTCCACTTGACCGAGGCAGCAGTAAGTATGCCCTGGCCACCTAATAATTGTTTCTGCCTCAGGGGATTGGGGGAAAATACATCTGGAGAAAATATAACGCCATCACATTTTCAATGAAGGTTCAGCTGATATTAAGTGTCTTCAGCTATATCAGACATTTTAGTTAGCATAAATTAGACTCAAAATTACCTTCAGTACTGTGGACCCTGCATAAGAAAGACATATATGGAGTATGGAGAACAACCAACCAAATTTTTTTATTTTTTCATTTTTAATAATCAACCAATCATCTCGGATTTAAGTGTAATAATGAGTGAAACAACGAGAATCACTCATCAATCTTCAGTGACAGAGCCCTGTTTTTAAAACAGCCAGCAACCTTCCCAGTACAAAGTGGTAACATGCATTGGCAACGTTGACCTTTTAGCACAGATCCATAGATTTTGGTGAACAAGCTTAGTAGATGATATCAAAGTAATGATATGACACCAATTTCATCATTGTCTACGATGAATATAAAGTCCAAGATAATCGCCGGAACAAAACCAAATTCTGTACATAATGATGTAACTAAAATGTTAAATGTTCGGCGAGTCCAAAACAAATACAAGGCGATGTCTTGATGGCCATGGTCTCCAGATGGCAATGCAATATAACAGTGGAAACAGAGACAATTGCAAGGATATAACATAATATAAGAGGCATTGGACATGACAAGAAACAAAATTCCAGAATCTTATTATCCAGCAAGCATTTCAGATAAAGCTCAAATGCACGGTTTCAAATCATCATAGCCATGGCACAGTAACACAAATAATCCACCAAACAGAGGGATCAACACAAGCACCAATGTACACCCTATATGACACAGAATATACATCACTAGAACAGCAAGAAGAGTAAACAGAAGGACATGTATGCTGAACATGATGTGTTCTGGAACTATTCTCAACTGTGAGATGTGAACAATTAAAAACAGAACCGTATCATGCTCAACACAATGCAAATGAAAATTCCAAGATGCTAACCTATGATCTCCATAGCTGTACCAAGAGCCCTTCTTCAATACAACACCCATAATCTCAGCACAATCCAAAATGCAACCCTGCACATCAGCTCAAGAGCTTAGCAATTTGGGCACTGCCAAAAAATAAACAAATAAAAAAGCATTATACTGCTAACCAGCTTGCTCACTCCTTCTCCAAATATGATTTCAAACTCAGCTTGCTTGTACGGCCTTGACACCTATGACAGCAATTAGTAAGAAGAAAAGCTACGAGTTGGCGCCATCATTCATAGGCACCCATCTTGAAAGAACTAAATATTGACAGAAAATTGGTGCAAATATGAGTTGCATCAACTAGATTATGGGACAGCAGGTTAGACTCACTTATCCTCCATCCCTTCAGATTACATAATGAAAGGGAGTCCACCAAAAAAATAAAAGAAGTGATTCGTGATCACAATATAAAAGAATTTTTTTTTTTTTTTGGGGGGGGGAGGGGGGCAATGGAGGAAGAAATTGATAGAAAGAGAAAAAAAGCAATCAGTTCCTTTTATTTGTGAGACATGACACACGGACTTATTTGCATCATCATTTTTGTTTACCTTACTCTTTTGAACTCTTACACGAACCCTAAGCCCAATGTCTTCGTCTCCTTTAACCTACAGCAATGACCAGGTATTTACTATAATATGTCCTCACATATCATGCTGTACATAAAATAGCTGTAAAACAGAGAGAGATTAAACTTTTTGTGCTTACAGACTTTATCTTCCCTATGGGACGTATCTCAAGTCGAACTGACGCAAAAAACTTCAAAGCAATCCCTCCACTGGTGACTTCAGGATTTCCGTAGTATACACCAATCTATTAAGCCCCAAGGAGCAATATTACTTCTCTTCACATGTGACATAATTGCAATGGGCAATGCCAATAGACAAGCAAAGAAAAACTTATGTAAAACGCAATTGATTAAGCTAGGCACCTTCAACCCCTTTCAGTCTTAATTATAATCCCTCTCCCTCCACAGTAAGTCCCATCAAAGAGTAGATTACATCCACTTAATAGAAATTACCTTGTACCGTATTTGATTTAGAAAAATAAGAGTACAACCAGCTTTGGAGGCATTGCCTGACATTTTACGCAAAGCTTGGCTCATAAGTCGTGCCTGTAAACCTATTTGCTGCATCCCGATTTCTCCCTACGCAATACATACAAAGAACAAACCAAGGAAAAGAGTTAGTCCTTTGCAATCCTGTCAGCTTCTCTATATGAAAAAAAATTAGAAGCATGCAATTTACTTCAATCTCAGCACGTGGAGTAAGAGCTGAGACAGAGTCGACACAAATGAGATCAACGGCACCAGATCTACACATACGATCTGCAACTGAAGCCATAGAAAGTTTGGTTAGTCCAGCAAAAGTATTGTAACAAATTTTAATCGCATCTCCCACAAGAACTGATTCAGTATTGCGGGAGTTGTCAGAACTTATCATACAAAACAATGTTAGCAAGAAAAAATTATTACTCTCTAGTGCCATCTCCCCATTATCAGGTTGGCACACAATCAAATTTTCTACATCAACTCCCAATGCTTTTGAATATGCCGGATCAAAAGCATGCTCAGCGTCAACGAGCATGGCATTGCCTCCTTCCTTCTGCATTTTTGACATTGAAAAAATCTGCATATCAATCTCAAAGCGGATATGAACCCTACTAAAAGTGCCTTCTATGAAATGAAACCAGACATGTACAACACCTGCACTTCTGCAATTGCATGGAGTGCTATGGTGGTCTTTCCACTACTTTCTGGCCCATAGATCTGAAAACCAAACAAATAGACATCCTCAGAATTTTGAACACAGCACTTTTATCAACTGATTTTGCAGATTTCAAAAGTAATTAACCAATGACTATTTCAGAGTTTGACAGTAGTCTACCACTCAACACAGGCTATATGGAAATCTATACATCCCCTGGCATTTTCTGCAGTCCATTATGCAACATTATTTTTCTAGGTTATGCAGCATCACTATCTCTTGTCAATAGTTATGGAAGGGCGATGGCCAATCTCAACACCTTATCCAATATGTGAATTCAGTATAACTGTCATAGCTCTCAGTGAGTATATAATAGACTAAATAGCAGTACAGCTTCCCAGATGAAGATTTCATAGTCAAGTATATAAGCAATCACCCACAGCAATTATGTGGAAAAAGCGTGGGAAGGTACAAAAAGATAGCACCACCTCTACAATTCTCCCTTTAGGAAGGCCGCCACCTAAAGCAATGTCTAATGTCAAACAGCCGCTTGGAAAAGTTTCACTGCAAGTGAAAGAAACTTACTAAGCCTATAAGGAAAAGTATGTTGATTATAAATCATGAGAAATAACACAAGGTTGTTTGTTCTTTTTTCCTCACTAACATGACTTAGAGGATCACATTAGCAATTAGCACAAAACAAGTGAAGCCAGACACACAAACACACAAAAAGTGGCTGGGATGAAGGAAAAACACATACACCAGAGCTCCACCAGCACTGCCCAATCTTGTAACACTTCCTTTCCCGAATGAGTTATTTATGTCATTCATTGCCACTTCCAGTGCTTTTTGCTGAAATGAAAAAGATAATAACAATGTTTAAATCAGTTGTGAGCACTAACGATGTTTGTCATTTGGAATCCACCAGATGATTTGAAGTTATTGCACTTCAAGGCAAAAGTTTTGTAGCCAGAGGAAAATGACATAACCATTTAGATCCAGATACTCGGAAAAAGAATCGCAAGATAAAATCATATTCTTGGATGACACAAGCATAGCTTATCAAGTTGATGGCATCACTAACATGAAACTATTGTATCCCTTTCAAGCCACGTTGCCTGCAATTTTTGGTGACTTAGAAGAGCACCACAGACAGCACCAATCACCATAAATGCACCCCCTCAGCAAAATTCATCTGTCAACTTATTAGATAACGCTCCTAAGGTGAACTTCATATAGTTAGCACTTCATTTCTATCTCCTATTCAAAACTTTTAAAATTCCTAAAACATATGTGATGAATTAATAATTTGTAAGAATCCTCCGCAGGACTCAAGGGAACCAATATGTTAATGACAGTTAGGAATAGTTCCATACATCAATCAACATGGTGTCAATTGCAGTACAACAGAACCCATCACTACACACGCCATGAATGGAAAGTTTTTCATCAAAATAAACTGAACAGAACTTTTTGAAACGTCAAAAAGCTTCTCATATCCATATCTCCATGTAGTAGGGCCATAGCTGAAACATATTGACAGAACCCTATTGATATTCCACCGAGCAATATTGGCACCCATTTCCTTTCTACCCCAGCAATCCGTTGAACTGTGTTCTTCACAAAGCACAATTTTTGTCAGCTAATATGAAGCAACTATTCTTCATTATCGAAAAACACAACAGTTAAAGATTACAACTTCAATGAAAAGATTAGTCATTTAATTTACAGTTACATATAAAAACCCCTCACGTATCGGAAAAGGCTAGAAACGAAGTACATACATTAGCCATGTTATTAGTACTACCCATCAATTCCATCGCTAGTGCCACAAAAATCATTGAACTGACTCCCTCCACACACACACACACACACCCCTCTGCTCAAACATCAAAATTTCAATCAAATGAAGCTACCGTAAGTTGGTTACGGACACAAGAAGAATATCTGAAATAACTACCAACATTACATATCCATACCCGGTCAAGAAAACGAGGATCTGAATCAGCCGAGAGAACGCCATTCACTTTAGCATCGAACTCCGAGCGAACCCTAATTTTCTTCACGGCGAATTGCGGCTTGAAAGCAGAACGAGAAGATTGAAATCGAAGTGAGGAAGAGCGTGAAATGTGAAGTGGCTTATATATCTTAGAAGGAACATATTGAAGCTTCGAATGGCACATCAAATTCATATTCTTCTTTAGCAAGTTATGGCTTCCAAGAGAGAGCAAAGTAGAGTGAGTGGGAAAAGCAGAGGTTGCTGAGAAGAAGAAGAAGATGAAGAAAATGCAGTTAAATAATTGTTGGGTCTTCCATACACCAACAAGCCCAACCCAATTAAGGATTCTTTTGCGGGTTGATCCAGTCCAACTACTATATTTGAGTTGGGCTAAATTAGTCTGAGGCCTGCTTAATTGAGCACGAAATATTTCATTTCTTATTATTTTGCTAATGTGGAGCACCATGCCATGGACAAAAGTATCAAAATATGACACGTCTCATTAATATGATACGAAATTAGAGAATTTGGATTTTCATAAAATCACCCATTTCATAAACGACTAGATCCGACATGACACGATTAATAAATGAATCAGGTGTGAATAAAATCAATCAAAAAAATATACGTCTTGATTCGTTTATATACGAGTTATACACAATATGACCTAGGAGAGAAGTGTTTATGATTTGGATATCTGTAAGTTGCTTATATTAATTAGACTCTTTTGCCAAAATAAAATAATTTTTTTTTTCAAATTCTATTAATTTTACAATTTGGACTAACCAAGCTCATGCCAAGTTCGAGTTGTTGGAAGCCTTACCAAATTGGGCTTGGGCTTGGTATTGGGCTGATCGTAGCTTAGCCCCCTAGATTGCTGGCATTAAGGGTTGGTAGACCCTGTGAAAATGTTTCAAAACAAGTGATAAATCTATCCACACTAAGAAAATAATAACATGTGGAATAGTTTAGTTGTTGAATATATATGAACCCCTTGGGCTATGCCCCCCATTGTACCTCACAAAATTTGTTTTGATGGAGCTTCATTCTTCTTGTCTTTGTGGAGTTTTGGTCATAGAAAAAAAAAAACTAGGTGAAAATACAAAACAAACAGCTTTTTTTTCAAATCATTCCTCCGAGAGGTGAAAGACCTTGCATGACATATTTGAAAAGTTTATTCTATTATGATGTGGTACTACCGGCTCAAGTTGCATGAACATACAAGTGGTGATAAAATTATGTACATTTAGTTCTTTCCAAACCTCGCCTTTGAGGAAAACTCGGGCACCGAGATTATCTTTTTTACCTTCTCCTTCCAAGAATTAGGGATGTTGGTATGCTAAGGAACGAGAATCCAGTGAAGATTATTGGATTCGGGAGATTAATGGGTGTCTTTCCATCCTTGAAAAGTCACCACTTTTGTAAGAAGGACAAGAGAAGATGATGTCTGGATCCGATTATTGTGGTAGTTTGGTCACAAGTAGCTTTCAAGAAACTCATACACTTTGGGTTCGTTTGGTAGACGTATTATGAGAGAATTAAATATTAGATTGTATTATTTTTTATTTAATGGGACCTAATATTTTATTTGGTAAGTAAATTTGACACCGTATTAATTTCAAAAACGTATCTTTATCGTATATTTTTTATACGTTAGACCTGTATTATGAAGATATTTTAATACCACCAAAAGAGATGATATTATAATCCAACTCAAACACTGATTGAGGGTATTTTTGTTAATTCAACATTAATACGATAAAATAATTTCTTAACCAAACAATCAATTGGATTAAATAATTATTATCCAACGTTTATGTTGTGTATTACCAAACACTAGATAAAATTATACATTATTCTAATATCATATTTAGTCTTGTCTTTTGTCCTTCTGTATTGTATTAAACCGAATTATTTTATCTAATCCATCCATTTCTAATACGGCAACCTAACGAGCCTTGGGATTATATTATTTGAAACTGGGATTCTTATTATACTTTCTGGCTCCGCAACCCGCCTAACTATTAATTTTATGACTGCCATTTTGTACTATGTATTATGTTTGTTTATGATACATACATACATACATACATATATATATATATATGTTTAAAAGAATAAGGTCCCTATTGTTTGGTTGGACTTTCAATCATCAACTTAATTTCGGTGTAAACCGCTGAGGTCCTCGTGTGGGAGTGAAAAAGAAAGCAGTAAGTACTTGTTTGGCAGCCATTGTTATATGAAATTATTTGACAGTACCACAATAAGTTTTATGTAGGAACATATACAATTTATGAGAGAATACGTGTTCAAATATTTGCCACAACAGAGTTGCTCGTATTTAGCAAGTATTTACGTCGATTATAAAAGAAAACTAAAACTGGAAAAGTCTTATGAAAACTGATGATTTATATGTCTGTCTGTCTTTTTAGCATGTGAAACTATGAATTAATTTTCAATCCCCCTTTATTTGCCTGCTAATCTGGATTTATATACGTTGATTTCCACCAGAGCAAAGCACAAACATAGCTTGAACCCCTCTGATAACCGCATTATTTTTTTGTTGATTATAAAATGTGTGTCCCTGGCCTAAACACCTTGACCAAACACTGCCTTGTGAAAATCAAATCAGCAAATCTCCAGGGTGACCTCATTTGGATTGAGTGTTTTTTCTTTTCTTAATTGTCTTCTTCTTCTTACCTGTTAGTTAAACTGATGAAAGTGATAGTCATAATCTTTGAAATCGTCGAATTGTTCTCTCGTTGTGTTCTGCTTGGGTGATACCCTAGCGTTACGCAAATGCAACAAATTCTCCGTCTACCCTAACTTTTTTAACCAAAAGGGAAAAAAAAGGACAGAAATTTTCAAAAGAAGATGAACACATATCTTCCAAAATTCAATGCAGTTATTGTTGCAAAGCAGCTGGCTATAGCATCATCATTCACCATCAACATATGATCACCTAAACCATTGCCATGACCACCAAATGTTGTCGCCGCCGCCGATCTTGCTAGGGTTACCCTTGTTCCTGTATGTTTTCCTAATTGGTAGCCATAAGATTGGGGGGTCAACTTAAGTTGCTTAAGTTTTTGGTATTCTTGGTCAGCCTGTCTTAATTTTCTCACCAACTTGGTTTAGTAAATTCAGCTTTTGTAAAGAACATGTATCTCATGCTGGTATTTGTTTAACTCGAAATAAGTTTTTAATGAACATATACAGTAGTGTGAAAGATTAGCCAACGTTGGTGTCTTTCTCATCCATGATTCGAAGTCATCGTATTGATCGTTGAATCAGATGACATTAAGAGTGACTGGTCGTGGTTCTGTGGAATGGTATAAGAAGATCACACGAAACGTTACATATAAAAAACTAAATTTGACAAGAGATTCAAGTTATATTGCGAGGTCACATAATATTATTAGCTTATTCGATAATGATGACTCGAATAACTTGAGTTGATTTAGAGATATCTCAGACGACTTGAGCAAGTTGAGTGAGACCCGTGATTTACACATAATGTGGAAAGATATCAAGTTGAAAGGTGTTAACTCAAATATGAATCAAATAGTTATATCAATATCAACTTATACTTTAGATCGTGTTCCCATCTATCTTAGGTCTACTATGATGTTTGGTGACATCAAATAACATGGTGCTAATGACACAAGTTTCATTAAAATTTAGCCATAATTTTTGTTTGGGTTAATTCTCACATTTGGCAAAAGTGCAACACCACTATTAAACTTGTGATCACTATGGCAAGTCCTCAGGTTACCTGGTGCATTATGAAAAATAAATGACTGAGCAGATATTATCAAGTTTATTTTTTTTCGATGTTTTTTTTTCTAAGTTCTTTACTCCATTCAGTGCAACTTTTGAATGAAATAAAAAATCTGAAACAGTGTTTTCTGCACTGCATTTATACACCCTGTATTGAATGGCCAATATGATATACCTTCAAGTTTTTAAAGTCAAAAAGAACTAATAATTCTCATCAGTTTCAGTGTCTAATTGCTTGTCTCTCTCTCTCTCTGCCGCATGGTTGGACTAAAAGAAACCTGACCTAAAGGGTATGATTTTGCTTGAAAGAGTGTCGATTGCCTGGAAATGGAGGGTAGGTTTTGATGCAAAAAGGTCTATGTCAATCTCACCAAAGTCAACTCTCTCTCTCTCTCTCTCACACACACACACACACAATTTAGCTTTGGTAGGTAAAGAAGTTATCCAACTAAATTTCAATCCAGGCATAGAGAACCCAGATGAAAATTTCTCAGCACATATTTGTTCCCAAGAAAGTTTTCAACCAAAGTTATTTAATGACATGCAAATTTACCAGCTAAAAAGCTTTCCATTCCGTATAGGAAATAGATATAAATTGCTGACTGTTTAAACACCATATATTACAAAGCCTAGTGTACCGTAATAATAAGATAACTTTCCTGGGGAAAACCCCTATGAAATCCTTGCTAATTGGTCCACATCGTGGACAAACCCAGTTCAGATAATAACTTCTCAGAACTTCCCTCCCCAAAGCTTGGCGAACCTTTCATGTTGGGATTACTATCCAACTTAGTAAAATGATTCCAAAGAGATTTTATTACCTTGTTGTCACAAGAGGAAGGGTCTAAATATGTACCAAGGTCTGGCATACCTTCAAGGATGGGTGTAATTTTGGTGCAAACGTTTGGGTCAATATTAATGATCTGAGAGAAAGTTGGGTTTGGGGTGAAAATGGAGAAGCAGGGCACTTGCTCATATTGAGTAACGTTGGTCTGAGTTTGGTCATAAGTGATGTAGGGTTCCATTAACGCTGGAAGAGACGAAGAGCTTGTGTCTTCATCGCCATTTCCCATGCCTAGTTTGTCTGGAACTTCTCTATTCTTGTAGAACAGACGGCACAATACCCAATCTTCCAGCTTATAAAAAAAAAGAGATTATCAGAATTTTTTTAATTTCACATAATTAATCAGGTGTCATGCACAAGTTAGAGAGAGAAGTTTCATCATAACATGGATACAAGAGTGCCTTTGTTATAGCCCCCCCTTCTCTCTCTCTCTAAAAAACAATAACATGAATTCACAATTACAAAATCCAAATTGCATTTTGAAGTGAAAATCTTAGTGTATATGAGCTCAGCTTGTTAAACAAAGAAGTTTAAGGACAAGGGAGTTGGTCAGGATTTTCTTGTATAAAGTCAATGAGTGATGATGGACTTTTGTTGTGCTTAGATTTTAGAAAGCATTAGTTGAAGCTCCACAATTGCACTTATTACTACATGGTATCATTCTTTACACCCTCTTAGAGAGAGAAATAATTAACAATGTGTTTACATTGTATTAGTGCTGTTAATCATAGGTCATGTTTTCTATTCACCTGCTTGTCATGACCAGAAGCCAAACTTGGATTTTGTTTAGAAAACAGAAGTTAATAGTTACAATAGACCCCCTTCATGAATAGAAAAAAGTTTTAGAGAATATTAGGCCCATTGTGTAGGCTAAACTTTAAGACTTTGGCACAAAATGACAAATAAATATACCCAAGTGAAATTAATAATGAACCCAAAACTAATTTGTCACAAAAGCATCGACAAAATAGAATTCGGTGTACCACAAAATGCATAAAAAATACCATAAAATTTTACAAAATTGCATAACGTGACAAATTAATGAAAATAATTTAGCCAAATATGCATGTTAATATGTCAAATTAGTGCTAAAGTTACTGTTTCTAATATAGAAACAAAAAGGCAGCAAGAAGAGCATGAGAGGGAGAAAAACCTTGACGGAAGACAGTTTAGGAGGCCCGAGGGGTCCTTCAAGCCGGAACTCGTGCATGACCCAATCTGTTTTTCTTCCTTTGGGTGCCCTCCCTTGGTAGAACACCAAGGTTTTCCTCATCCCGACTAGGGTACCTCTGCGGATGATTGGCCTGTCCTTACCGGTAGCCTTCCAGTACCCTGATACCGTGGCCCGGTTTGTTCGTAGTCCGGTGGCATATTTCCGGTCACGCTGGCTGTAGAAGTACCACTCCTTGCCTCCCACACATGCAGTTTCTGCAAGTCAAGTAATATCCACACGCGCACACGCACCCGATAAGAGATGTGTTAAAATTGATTTATCCATAGGGTTTAAAGTAAGTGTGAGTTATGGTAGGGGTAGCGCATGTATGTACCAGGAGAACAAAAGTTCAGTTCCGAAGGAGAAAAAACAAGTGCAACAGCTTTTGAGAAGGTCTTTGGTCGAGCACACAATACCATTGTAGTTTAGGTCACTAGGGGAATTTTATAAGATAAGACAATAATGTTTTATTAACTAGTAGGTAGTAAGAGGTATTCAAGCCTCGTAGGTTATCGACTTAATTTGTTCGGTCAATTATAATTTTTCATTCTTTATGCACCAAAAAAGTAACAAGATAAATCCTTTAATTTGTGTTGACACCAAGAAAAAACTTGAACGTAAAACTTACAAATTAAACGTTTCGGACCAACTTATCTACTATTGGGTTACTAAAACTTATAATTACAAGCAAAAAAATAATTCACTTAGTATAACTTCTCTCCTTTCTAGTCTTTACTATTTGTATTGCTGCCTCATGAACAACAGCCTTAATTACATACGTCCAAAATCAAGAGTACAATTCACCAAATGAACAAAAGATCGAACCCAGCGAATAAATATTTTTTGAAAAAGAAAATCAGGAGGGGGCGTGACCTATTGGTGACAACCATGTGGCTAAGAATGTTCTGGTGAGTCACCATTTTTGTCTGTCACCGAGGACCTTGAAGCTCAATAATTACGTATGAGCAAAGTGTCATACTGTGAGAATTATTAGATATACAAGCTATCAGCGTTAATTGGGTAGGTGACAAATGTGGATACGTACGTTTACTTGCATGACATGCAATAATACGCCTGTGTGTGTGAAAAACAAGATGGAAAACAAAGAAGTTTTCTCCCTAGGAACAGAAGAAATCTGGGAAGTAACTGATTAGTGACAAATCTTAAATTCATTTGCAAGAACTTAGGTGAAAATCATGTTTTAAGTCTCCCACTCAATACTTTTTGTTTTAATATCATTTCATGCTCTATATAAACCACGAGTCTCACGACTTGATCAAAATATTTTTAAGTCAACTTTGAGATATTTGAGTGATCCTCGTTGAATCGATATCAATGATGATACCATTTAATGTTGCCACTATATATCTCCTGAACTTCGTGCATCTCAATACCCTCTGAATTGATGGTGGGTTCATACCTCAGCTTTGAATCTTAAGTGAAAATCAAATTGATTCAAACATGCATAAACTGTTAAGTGCACACGCGTGAGGTTGATGTTAATTGGGTGGAGGTTGTGAGAACATGACTTTTTAAGTTTGAATTACTTATCTCTATGCCTATGGCTGTCACCATCTTTTGGTTAGGAATATGCCAAGAATGTCAATATCTTTTAAAAGTAATGGACAAGAAACCGAAAGAAGACTTAGAAGTATCTGCTAAACACACATACACAGGTACATAAAAGACATATGCCCATGTATACATACGTGCAGAAGTACCCAAATCATAGGCATCTGATCTGACATCAATAATCATAGTGGATAACAATTTTGTTTTACATCAGAAGACATATATGTGTATATATCCTTAGAATTAGTAAATAGTAAAAGGACCAGTGGGGAATGAGTTTTTTCCTTTCAACAAGAACTTGAGAATATACACCTAGGAGTTTAATTGGTATTATCAGAAGAAATCACGAATGATCAAGATAAAATGGAAAACTAAGTGTTGAATGAGAAAATATCAAAATATAACCGTCGGAATAGAAGGTTTGGTACCTTCCTTCCTTCTATAAACCCTCAGGAAAACTTTTACGCTAAATTCTCTCTTTCTCTCTCTCATCATGAGGATCGTATTCCGATAAGTTGCATATGTACAATACTAACAACAGTAGACAATCAAATATATGAAGAAAATATGGTAACCCTGAATTTGTTTACTGTGATGGGATGAATGGTAGTGGTGGTGGTGGTGCAAATGACGAGAGAGATGGCGGTGGACTCACCAGGAATGTCCCAAGGTTCGCACTTGTTGAGGTCAACTTCAATCATAAGCGGAGGTTGGTCACAGCATGTCGTCTTGTTCATCAAGTAATCACATATCAGTTCTTCATCTCTTGGATGGAACCTAAAACCTGGTGGCAACTTTGCCTCCACCATGCTCAGATTGCTCATTTTCAATGAAGATCAGAGAGACACAGAGCGAGAGAGAGAGAATATGAAACACCCAATAAGAAGAAAGAACACCGAATGGCAGTGATTTATATATATTAAAAAAAAAATAGCCCTAAATTGAGAAAGTCCACAAAAGGAGTTAAATTAAATTTGACAAAAAAGAGTGGGTAAGTCAACTAATAATTCCGTGTAAGAGAGGGGTGTCCGTGTGAACTTTGAAAAGGTGTGATGAAGTGGATTCACCAATTGCTGCCAACCAGCTGATGTGTACCCAACCCATATGGAGGAGGGAGACAGAGAGAGAGAGAGAGAGAGAGTCATTGGTCCTTGCTTCTTTGCATCTCTCTGGAATTTATGGTGGTGGCTTTTTTTACCAGAGCAATGATACCTGAATCTAAAATTTTAACATAATTTTTTAATTTTATTTATAATTATTTTTAAATTAATTGTGGATCTCATAAAAAAAATAATACTTATTTTTAATTCAATGATTTTAACAAAAATATATCATCAGATCAATAAATCATACCAAATTTTTAGGTTTACTCTTTTTATTATTCACGCAAAGTAGCCACCGAAACCAAAGCCTCCACTCCCGCCACTTGTTACTGTACTTACTATTTCATGACGCCCTTTCTGAGAGTGGCCTTTTGGACTCTACCCCATCGCCTTTTTCTTTCTGTTTGATAATTTTTACACTGTTTATTTACTTTATATGTGCTGTTGCTCGCATACACAATTGATCTGATTTTTTCCTCCAGTTTTAGAAGACGAATATTTAAAACTTCGTATTTGATACACTAATACTGTGTGTGCATACTAAAAATTTTACCAAATCCAACCTCATAGATTGATTTAATTTGTAAAAACATTAGCAAATTTACCATTTGGGAATAGGTTTAGGCGACTCGTTGAACCCTTCATTCAGGTTTTGAGCCCACTTCTAATTCTTGATGGGTGATAAAAAATGAACAGCTCGGAATTTTTTTTTTTTTTTGCAAGAAACTCGAACTAAAGATGGTTATAACTAATGCATCAGCAGCCAAGGCTTGACTGAGATCAAAGGCTGTTGGCTGTCGTAGAAAAACAGCAACGAGGCTCAAACCCATGTCAAACTTGAGGAGGACAACGGTTGCGTCCAGGCAGATTGCACTGCCGTCCACAGCTTGTGACGCACAGATTCCGAAAGAGCTGATTGCTTTGGCGCACGGAAAACAGAACCAGCTCTTACAATAACATTATCCATGTATAACTTGCAAAAGAAAAGAAAAGAATTCAAAGTCCACTATTACTTCTGATGCACTCAACTCACAAAGTAGTAGTTGTGTTTCCAATCTTTTCTAAAAAGTAATGACATTGAAACATCCCTTGATTACCCGGTCAAGTCCTCATGATAGTTTTGATTAGAATAAGGGCACTATCATCCAACTCAGCCATGACAAAGAAAGCTCTTGAGAAGGTAGATTTCACTCAGTTATTGACCTCAATCTTCAACTTTTGACAAACTTCTCACATACCCACATCTCGACCTACTGAAGTAGAGAGGTCATTTGTATTTTTACTCCAAATACTTTGAATCGTTTGAAGCACTTCTGTCTTGTGTGACAACAATGTCTAAAGTTATCTTTGCTCTAAACTTGGAACACTACCTGGAAATTGATATCCGCACTTGAAATACCTAGAGCAAAAATCTGTTCAAAAAGACAAATACCCTTCAACGATCAACACGTGTACCATCTTGAAATGTCATCATCTGTAAGCAAACAAAAACCGAATCGATAATCCATATTCCATACTATCTTAGTGATATCAAGACAAGTGATGGCAGTAACAGGGCGTCCAACCTTACACAAGCTCTAAACTGTATAAAATGCACTGAAATAATAAATTTCTCCAAATGAATCTTCTGATTAAAAAAACCTCTACCATCTCACTATAATGTTCATTCTCTAATTGCTCACTAAACTATTTCAGAGTACCAAGTTGATATTATTTCCCTGCAAAGCAAGCGGCAAGTTGGTATTCATTATTTTTTTCTAAACCTGTTGGAATAACTAAAAAAGAATTTGAGAATCAATACATAAGAGTTAGGAAACAAATTGAATACATACAAAACTATCCTTGTCATTCCAGCATGCCGACAAAGACATCTAAAGAAAAGTTTGGTAGGGCACAGTCTCAAACAAGGGAGTGGATAAGTGGAAAAACCTTCCAAGTGCCAAGGTCTTATTGGTACCTACCCAAACATCAAAAGTTGATCTCTACATAGTGCTATGACAGTTAAAAACCCTTAAATCCCCCACAAAAAACTATAAAGGCAAAGAAGTTTTTGTATCTTTATTTAGACTACCATTCTCAGGTAAAATATCAGTAAAATGAATCACATGAGAACATACCTTATGCAAGAAAATGAGACATACCTTCCAAGTCTACAACCTCAATCTCCTTTTTAGCAAGAATGATGTCTACTATAAACCATTCCAAAATGACATAAAAAATAAAGTTCACATCCGCCCCAAATTTGTGTCCAAGAGACCAAAACTCTTCCCATAATACTGAAGTCAAAGCGTACAAGAGATTCGGAGAAGCTTTACCAATACCTGTTTTACTCCTGTTTTTTGTCCCCAACACGACCCTTCCTTGTTATAAGATGACATTCTATTAATGTCAACACAACAGATGTCCATGCTAATGGTTAATATTCCTAAATTAGAATAAAGTTGTTCAACATCCAATTAGTCCACATAAAAGATGCTTCAACAATATCAACTCAAAAACAGTTCAACCAAGAACAAAGACAAAAAAGCTATGTCATTTGGGTATATCCTCAAAGAAGATGGCAGGAGCTTTGGAACTATTCACACCAGTATTCTTTTTCCTTTTGAGGGAAATAGACCTTCCATGTTGATAGCCAAGCAAGGCCCAATACTAGTCAACAGAAGGTAGTACCAGCATGCAACCTGCCTAATCTTTCAATGCCAAGAAATTTTCTTCGAGGAATTGAATTACATCTGCAATGAAATTAATCAATAATACTGTATCCAAATCCTAGATGAGGAGACCTAGTACTATGGAGATGCTTGATACAAGAGGTTACCACCATTCAATAAAAGCAAGAAATTAAAATTCCATATTCCTATCGAATTGGTGAGAATAAAATAACTAGATATGTAGGTTGTTGAGTAGACCTGATGGGATTAAGACTACTATTGCTCACTGAACCACTCTGAATGCAAAGCAAATATTTGACAGCATGACTCAACACATTCACCACTCCAAGAGTTACCATCATAGGGCTTGATAAGTCTTGCCTTCTCAGACACACTCAGGGAGTCAAATACGAGCTTCCTCAAACTAATTATCAATCTGAGATTTTTCCTCCATTACCAGAAAAAGGTTGGTTCTAACACATCTGAATATAAAAAAAAATGGTATTTCCTGATTTCTCCCAACAGACAGAATGTATCAACATTTTTTAGCAATTATAGCCACATTCCTTGGGGAGAGCATCGGATCAAAAATGGGTAACATAAATGCTTCCACAAAATTGCCTTGTTCCTGAAGAAACAATAACCTATCAAGCAGAAGAATAGTTTCCAAAACAGGCCCTAAAGCAGCCCGAAGAGACCAATAAGGCCCTATAAGTTCCTGCAAGAAATTGGTTCATTAATCATTTCAGTGAATAATTACATAATAAAATAATACAATTCTCACTTTCATACAAAAACGAACAATTACAAAGCATAACTTAAAAGAGGCAAACACCACATTGCTAGCTAGCAAACTCTAGAGGGTCAACAGAAGTGGTTGGACTTGGGGAAAAGTGCATTCCAATTGTCACCCAACTATCCAAATATTGCCAAATCTTAAGTAGATCCTAAGGAATCTCATAGAGATTTGGTAGGGTCCCAAAATTTGGTAAGCTTATATTGTAGATATTAGTACCACCAACTCTTCATTCAGAATTGCCACTGTTGCTGATGCTTCAGCCAATCCATTGCTGCTTTTTGCTCTAACACCATACAACATTAATAGCCATCAGATTACAGTTTACATTCTATGCATCACCATTTCCTCTGAAAAGGCACTATATTTGTTTGCTCCCTATTCCTATTTCAATTTGATAAGGAGGTTGATTTTTGACATTCCACCACTATAATTTGTCTTACTAACAGATGCATTAAAAGGCCGTACTCAGTGCACAAGGGTCAGAAAAGTAAGCGATGAGTAGCCCCATGCCCACTTTGAAGAAACTGATTCCCGGATGCATTAGAAAGACTACCCATACATAAAATATATCACTCAAACTGAAGGTGCTGGGCTACGACAAGTCAAATTTTGAGATCTTCCTGCAGACATGCATTTTTCTATAATTAACTCTAAACACCATATGTATCAGATCTATACATTGCACACTTATGGGGACGTTTATCTAACATGGGAGCCAAACGAGTACCCCAACATACATCGGGCAAGTGAAAGCGAAAGCACTACTAATATATCATTTCAAAGAAATAATTACTATGAAATAAATTGCAGGTATATCTAATTTACCATAGAATCTAGGAGATAAAATAAAAGGTACAAGAGCAACTTACAGCATATGGTTCAGTTTCCCTCCAAAATCCAACCAGATCACTGTCCTGCAAAGGATTGAGACCCAGGCGACCTAATCCAGACTTACTGAATTTTTGAAAAAGTGAACATTTGTCAGGTTTTGTGTCTTCACTCTTAGAACTCTGATTAAAAGAAAGACCCTGTAACAAGGCATCAGTGTCCCACGCTGACCCTGCAATATCAAAAGCACCATGAAATCTTAAAAATAGACTTGCATGTATCCCAAAGCAGTAGTTGATTTGTCTATTTCAAATGCCCAATGAATGATCCAAAAGCAGTCATCTCATTATAGTGCAAATATGAAATGTTCCAATCCCAACAGTAACCATAACGATACTCTCCCCCCTCCCCCCCCCCAAAAAAAAAAGAAGAAAAAAACGGTTCTCATAATATGGAGCTCATAGAAGATCTACTTTTTTCCTTCAATGCTGGGCAGGGGTGCCTGTATGTATGTGCCGGTATTTATCACACTCCGATTCTCATAATAAGGACTTCATTATTTGTTACATAAAATAAGGTGCAAGCAAGTATACCTTCATTACAGATTGTTTCAGTCTCAGTGCACTTCATGGCCGTCCAACTTCCTTCCTTCTTATAGTTGTCCAGAAAAAAGGATGAGGGCAAACTTGCAGTTTCTTTACATTGCAGAGTCGACTTCAGCATCTTCTGATGCTGCTGGCGACGCAAAGCTTTCCCTTGACGTCCTATCGCAGGACTAGTAACCAAAATTTCTGGATGATACCGAAAAAGAACCTTCAAAAGGCACCACGATTGTAACCACCTTGACATAATTACCATATTTGGACAAATATAAAGCAACAGTTTCATTCCAAGTCTTAATCCTGATGTTTGTGTAGATTAACGCACCAAATGCAAGAAAAAGAAATAAAATAAGTAGGGCAACAGCAGGTACCATCTGGAAGGCAGCACGAAAAGCATGCAACTCGAAATTATGAAGACCGGCATCTTTTCCCATACCTTTCCACCTCTCTGCACTCTAATAACGTAGACCAAGGTCACAACAGGTATGCTATTATGAGTAAAGGGGCTGATGAATGAGGCTTCTCAACAATAAGCAATTGGTACATCTAGTTTTCCCAAATAAAAGAGTATGAGCAACATGCATAAAACATATCTATAATGCCAACACCTGAAGATAAAGTACATCCAAATTCCACTGAAGGAATATTTGACCTACTATAACTTACTTCACAACATTTTTCAAGCTGGATCTTTCACAAATTAGCATATTATACACGGACTTTTGAGGGTTGCGCTTGAGTCTATCCTCAGATGCCAAAACACTTGATCAACAAAGAGGCCTTCGGCATTCCAGCAAACACGCCTCACAAGCTAAGTAGTAGTAAAAGTAGCACTTTTGCAGCCCTTCATACATCAACTCATGCATTAATGGGGTTTTTTCACCAAAGTTTCATTTCAATGTTAACAGTGACCAACCATGTTTTGATTGCCAGTTGACCTTTTCTCCTCAATACTGGGGCTATTTTAACCTTACTATAATCTATGTCACCATGTCCCAAAATTGTCCCAAAAAGAAAACCATTGTGGTCTGAATCTTTAGATCACTTGTTTGCCAATAATTCAAGCATACCACATTAAAATACTATCCTTCCAACACACACAATTTTTTATTAGTCTACTTTAAAAAGTGGTGCTCTGTTCTCCGTTTCATTCTTAAAAGCATGTGAGAAACATTTTTTTCACTGGTTTGGACTCGTAAAAATCCAGACACCACCAAAGCAAGTTTTTCCAGCACAGATCAATATGCTATCAAATCCTAATCTGGCATGAACATACAGGTAATGTTTGGCAAGTTACCAATAAGGTAGACTTATATAAAGGCCTTCACTCAGTGTTAGTCCCTGTTAATCACGGTATTAGGATGGTGGGCTGGCGATAAAACTAACCTCAGGTATCCAATGTGATCAGCTAACATTCTAACTCGTGTTTTCATTCCCAGCAGCCCAAACACTATATTTTATAATTCCAGCAAGCACGGGCACCCCTATCAACCCACATACTTGATGCCACGCATTGGCTTTAGAATGAAACTCCAATACCTTGATTTCATTTTATAGGCCCCATATCTAGCAGTAATAGACACAAAGCATTATGCACAGCAAAAAGTTTGAGAAATGAACAGCTCAATACTGTATTATCTCCCTGAGAATGGCTGTCAATAAATAAGCAGGAATGATCTCATGTACCTGACATGCAAGATCACGTGAATTTTTCCCAAGTGATAAGCCAGTAGATTTCACGCCTTTACTCATTGGAAAACCACACTGAGAATCAGAACTTGCAACTTCTTCCTCAGACAATAAGTTATAGCAACAACCAATGCTAATCACTGCTTTGATGTCTTTGCACTCCAAAAACGCCCTTTAAGAAGAGAATCAGTTAGGTGCTGAAAGATCCAGATCACAGAAGGTAGAATTAAATCCTTGAATACAGAGTCAGTCCAAGACCATGACACTTGATTTTTATGGCACAACTACCAGACTAAAGCTTAACGACTAAAGAGACAACTATAAACACAAGCATGAGTGCCCACAACGTAACAGCCTGGAAACTTAAAAGAATTCCTTATCAGCAATTACACTTTTCCAAATCTGTCACATTTGTGCTATAGCAGAAGTGCAGAACAACCAACACAGAGAGGTGGATGAAGGATCCCTTTGCATTGCTCTTGCACTTAAATCTAAACTCAAAATTGCTGTTTTTCAAATCTCCAGTGACGATTTGAAAAAGAAAGAAAGGTTTGTATATTAGGGATAGCTGCACAATTGTTAACCATTCAGCTCTACCAACGGTGGCATCCATTCTAGAATCACAACTTATCACGTCTTTCCACGTAAATGTTATTTTGGTTTTTCCCAAGCCTTTATTTTACCAGTGTAGTGTTTTCCACACAAACCTACACTCCTACAATATTATGCATGGCGATCATATTAACACCATATATTTAGCCACCCTCAATTTATGCCTAGTCCAGACCAAAAAATAAAATCAAACAACAAATGGGATGGCTCACATCTTTACTATCCTCCTAAACAATCAACCTTGTTAATTTTTTTACTAAAAACTTGTCTTTCCCTTTTAACTTTTTAATAAGGGGACATCAGGAATGAGAATAAAAAGAAACATAACAGAAATTGTAAAACGAACTTATGTCTAACAACGAAGGATTAAGGCCGCCCAATGATGGCTTATATGAGTGAGAGATCTCTCCACCCATTCTCCATTAGGTTCTGAGTTAAGTGCTCTAATATAGTATCAAAGTTAGGCCTTGGGTAGAGTTAGTGGGCCAAGTCTCTCACCAATTAAAAGTTTTCGATATACAGGTTTATCTATTTGTTAGTTAGCCAACATGCGACTCTGGAACCAGTGTGAGAAAGTGTAAAGCGAGCTTGTATTCCACAATAAAAGATTAAGATCGCTCCAAGGTTAGTTTTTATTGTTCAGAGACCTCTCCACTCCACTCATTTTCAATTAGTCTTGAGTTAGATGCTCCAACAGATATAGTTCAACGTCAAAGACACCAACAAAGATAGAGTTTCATTGGCTAGCATTCCTTGTCCTGTGAGGAAAACCGCTTCTTTAATTTAAAGCCAGAAACAAGTTGAATTTACTTCCTAGGGGATCTCTTCACCTGAAAATTACATCTTGAAAAGAAGATAAAAATGACAAACAACAAGTCAAGATACAAGAGTCATGTTTTTAATGGACATAGCATTCGACTTCGAGGGCCCAAGCTCTTAACCTCCCCACTCGTCTAACAGATGATAAAAAATGATGAACAATATGATGTTTAAAGGGACTACTAATCCATTTTTGTAGTTACTCATTTCTATTGCTACTTTATATTTGGTGTGACTCAGATCTCTATAGACCCACAATTTTTTCTTGAACCCCAACCTATGCCAAATCACGTCAATTAAATTCGAAAAATATTGCGTGGTAAATTATTTAATACTGCTAGGGGTCAAGAGCTCAATTTACTTCAACAAAACAATGCCAATGAGTTTTTTAACTGCCACCTTTGTTCTCATGGAACTAACATAGGTCAATATTGCACCAATCACCACTTGGCCCACAATCCTGGGCCAACAAAATTGTTTTCAACCGGTCAACATTTCTATGATTCATTGTACCCTTTTTCATTTTTAAGGATTGCATATTATTTCAAAATATAAAGGAAACAAACAAAAGGAACCACATAGATAATCTCATTTGTACAAAGTTACAATAATTTCAAAATTCAAGTTTCAGATCCTAGCAGTCACCAAACCACTCTCACAGAGTTGCGTATTAGAATTGTATGCCTTTTTGAATAACCTTTGCTCTTACGTATGGGTTTAAGTGTAATTTTGATGCATTAAGCTGGAATATATGACTCAGCGATGTTGTATTAACAATAAGGTCAAACAAGTAGACCTATTGCCCATATGCATTCAAGATAAAGGCAAATACAACATAAGCATAAACTCACAATCTTGAATAAAATTTCATTTGTGACCCTGACTGGGAAAGAGACACTTCTAGGTACCAGAATCTTTAAAACTACCAAAAAAATTAGTCCTCTCTAGAGTTCACTATTCCTTGAAACATATCTACTTTGTCACTTCCATTAACAAAAGTTTTCAATGATTTTTCCCTTTTTCCCTTCATCTCCATTAAGGTTCCAAGTCCCTACATTTCATTCCGTTATTCCTTGTTATTTCGTAATATCATTTCTTCCGGTTTGCCACAGTTTTCATCTCACCAGATCAGTACAACCACTGCAGAAAGTGAAGAACTGCGAGACTAGAAATTCATAGAACTAAATTTTTTGCCACAGCGTAAGCATGTTTAGGAGATTACCTCAACATTGTAACCGAAAGATCCCCACAAGCATGTAGTCCAGCAAGAACCAAAGAAGATTGGCTATCTGAATAAGATGGAGAAGGTTCTTTTCTCTCATAAAATCCTTCATGTGAATCCTCACCAACACCTTGTCTACCAACATGATCTTTTTGTAGCAAGGAGTTACTCAAGGCTGTCAATGTGTCAGCGGACAACACATGGCATGTGACTGTCTTGGGCATTCTCAAGCCTGTGTTGTCTGCTCTGCAAAAGAATGCAAGTCAAAAAGTGCAAGTCATGAATTGAGGAGAAAAACACAATAAGTTGCATGCCAGTTGCAATAGAGAAATCTAAGACCAATCAATTGGAAAATAAATCATGTTGCTTACAACATAGCATTAAGATCAACATAAAAATAGTATGGCCAGACTTAGCATACCTTGAATCTACCATAGGCAGCCTCATAAAAGAACCAAACCAATGAATGTTGGACACCTAACTTACCAGCAATTGACAAAGGTCTGGTAATGATGGCCAAAGGGAGAAGATTATGACAAAAAAAGATAGCTCATTCAGGCACTATAGTGTCATGTGAACAAGTTAAGATTCAGCATAGATCTCCCAAGTGCACCGGTTAAATGCATAGATCATAGGAGTTCAACAATAAAAAATGGCTTGTGTAAAAATACTGGCCTAGGTTAAAAGAAAAAACTGATAAAGCTATAGTCAACTGAAATAAACTGATCAGGATACCATCTGGCACCCATCAAACAATAAGCAGAAGGGACATGTATGAGTTTGATGCAAGTGGCCTTGAAAGATACTCACACTTCCTCACATGTGCACACATCATCTATGTCAATGGCAAAAGAAGCTACATATCTTACCTATGACAACTTCAGGAGATTCATTCCGACACTGCGATTTACGCATCTTAGCAACATAATGTTTCCTGATTCTCTGTGCACGCTCATCTGTAATTCTTCCATGATGTGAACATGCATCTATTGCAATTACGGAAAGCTGGTACTGGAAGGAAAGTACTTGGGCGAGATAACCCTGACAAAACAGCCAAATTTCGAATCAAAGTGATGCATTATATAAGAAAAGCACCACCTTTTTGGATTAAAGTGAGATTAGAACACCCATTTCGGAGGTTTTCCTACTACAAGAGAAAAGCTCAGTAACTCTCATTCAATTTCAAAAACGAGATTGATCCAACAGACAATTATAAACTTCAAACCCCAAAAAGGTAGAGATCTTTTTTTCCAACAGGAAACAAAGATTTTGTAGATAACCAAAAAAGATGTAGTACAAAATGAGAGCAAAAGTGGACAAGTTGTCCAACCCTATTGCAAAACATAGAAGGACTGCCTAAAGACAAAAAGCATGAACATATGATTATTTTCACATCCACAACCAGAAGTCCAATTCGCCAAAATGCCATAAAGGAGCATATTTTCAAAATCCTTAGAAATTGTTAAGAATAGTAAAGTAGTATGTGTAAATTATTAATAGTAAGAGGGTGTATATATAATTCTTATTATTGTAAGTTAATTATAAATACTAGTGATGTATGAGAGCTAGGTTAAGTTTTTAACCTCTCTCTGTTTCTCCCTAAATAGTGTCTCTAATGTTATGTTAATCTTTCAAACTTAACATGGTGTCAGAGCTAATGAACAATTTTAAAATCCAAATATTAACTCAAGTGCTTGCCGTTGTGTGACTATTATCACTGTGATTACTATCGGAGATCGACTGGTGGTGGTGGTGGTGTTGGTCCTGTGTTGGTCGACGTTGGTTATCGAAGTATTGTGGTGGTGGTAGTATTGTTGTGGTGGTGTTGTTGCTCGTGGTGGTGGTGTGGTGCTGTCATTGTGGTGGTCTGTCGTTCGCCATCGTCCGTCGTTCCTCGTGGTGGTGAGGCTCAGTCGAAGACTAAGGTTGCCAACGTGGTGGTGGTGGTGTGGTAGTTGTGGTGGGTTGTCGTTCGTAGTGGTGGTGAGGCACAGTCAAGACCAGGGTTCACTGAAACCTTAATCAAACGAAGAAGACAAGGTCGTCGGGTCAATTCAGCCCACTTCAAATGTGGTCCAGCTCAAGGTACAAACCAAACCAGGTCCAGACCAAACCAGATCCAGTTCAAACCCGGTCCAGACCCTGACTAGATCGATTCAAGGCCGGTTCACCCCAGTTTGATCCATTCCAAGTCGGTTCAGGCAATTTTGCACCGGCTCAAACCAGTTTCTTTTATTTTTACTCCGGTTCAGTGGGCTAAACCTGTCCGGCTCAGGCTACCAGTAGCCTTACCAAGGCTGGTTCAGTGATCCAGATGGCTAAATCAGTCTGGTTAAGCAGTTTTCTAGGCCGGTTCAGCCTTCCCGCAACCTTTTTTGGGCTAAAATTGGCCGGTTCAGCCTACCAGCAGCCTCTTTTGGGCTAAACCAGGCCGGTTCAACACTCCTTTCCTCCTTTCCTTTTCGTTTTGCTGCACTATTATGGACCCCAAACAAGATACCGGGTCCCTTACTCCATCTTTGCCTCCTCTGACTCTTATTAATGGTCTCATAACCTCTGTCAAACTTAATGGGACTAATTACACTTTATGGTCCTGATCTGTTCAAGTTTTTCTTCGAGGCAAAGGATTTAAGAAATATTTGGTGAATACTAAACCAAAGGAAGACACTCCTGGGTATGATCAGTGGGAACAAGAGAATGCTCAAATTATTTCTTTATTATTGAATAACATTGAGCCTAGTATTAGTTCTACTCTGCTCTACCTTGACACTGTCAAGGAGATATGGGATCACTTGCCACTATGTATTCTGGTATGGGTAATTTTACCAAAGCTTATGAGGTGTGCAAAGAGTATTTCCGTCTAGAACAGAATAATCTGAGCATTGAAGATTATTACTCTCACGTTCGGGGAGTCTGTGAGGAGATGAAGACCTACCATCCGTTTACTACTGATGCAGCAGTTTGACAGAAACAACATGAGGACATGAATGTTGTTAGGTTTTTGGTGGGTTTGAAACCTGAATATGAGGGTATTCGTTCTCAAATTTTGGGTGGTTCTACTCTTCCCTCACTACTTGAGGTTTTCTCTCGTATACAACGTGCTACTTCAGGTATCAATCTTGATGTTTCCACTGATCGCTCAGCTCTTGTAGTACCTAGTAGCCATAGTGATGGTCATCGAGGTGGTCGTGGTAGTCGTACAGGAGGTTGTACGGGTGGTCGTGGGGGCCGTAGTGGACCATGTTCTTGTACTCACTATGGTCGTGGAGAACATACTGTTGATTTCTGTTGGGATTTACATGGGTACTGCGAATCAGGTTTCTTATCAGGATGACACCTCTGTTGCGGCTTCCATACCTTGGTCAGCTCCACCAGACACTGGGTCGATTACTATTACACGAGAAGAGTATGCAGTTCCTGTCCCAATAACAGGTTGTTCCATCTCCCTCCACTGCTACTTTTGCCTAGTCAGGTACTGCTTCCACATGTTTGTTGTCCTCCACTAGTAGTCCTTAGATCATAGACTCTGGTGCTTCTGACCACATGACTGGTGCGTCTGATGTCTTTTCTACTTATCAATCTACTACTTCTACACGTAGTGTTACTCTTGCTAATGGTTCTTATTCTAAAGTTTTAGATTTTGAGACTACAAACTTGAGTCCTGATATGTCTCTATCTTCCGTGTTATTTGTTCCTCAGTTTCCTTTTAGTTTACTTTCCATTAACAAGATTATCCGTTCTCTCAATTGTTCTGTAACATTTTATCCCTCTTATTGTGTCTTTCAGAATCTCAAGACGACGAGAAAGATTGGTACAGAGCATGAAGCTAGTGGCCTATATTACCTAGACTTTGATTCACCTACCCGGGCTCTACAGACCTCGTTATCTCCTTTTCAATGGCATTGTCGTCTTGGACGTCTTTCTCTCCAGAATTTGAAGCGTCAAGTTCCCAATCTTAGTTATGTATCATCTTTGTCCTGTGAATCTTGTCAACTTAGTAAGCTTCACTGTGTGTCATTTCAGTCTAGAGTCAATAATCGTGTGTCTAGTCTATTTGAATTAGTTCATTCTAATGTATGGGGTCCAATAAAGAATATTTCATCTAATAAATATCTTTATTTTGTGACATTTGTGGATGACTATTCTCGTGTGACTTAATTGTTTTTTATGAAAGCTCGGTCTGAATTATTCTCTATATTTGAGACTTTTCGTAAGGAAATAAAAACTCAGTTTGGTTGTCGTATACGTACTTTACACTCTGATAATACTCGAGAATATGAATCTGATCCTTTTTCAACTTATCTTAGTAAAACTGACATTATTCATCAGACTTCTTGTGCTTACGCCTCTCCACAAAATGGTGTTTCTGAACGCAAGAACCGTCATTTGTTGGAAGTCACCCGTGCCTTGTTATTCAGATGAATATTCTCCAATATTTTAGAGTGATGTTGTTCTTACTGCTTGTCATCTTATTAATCGTATGTCATCCTTTGTGTTAAATGGACAAAATTCATATTCTGTCCTTTTTCCTAGTAAACCCTTATTTTCCCTGATTCCTAAGGTTTTTGGATGTGTCTGTTATGTTCACAATTCGGGTCCTGAGTTTGAAAAACTTAACCCTCGAGCTACCAAATGTGTATTTCTTGGTTACTCTTACACACAGAAGCGGTATCATTGCTACAGTTCTTCTCTGCACCGATATTTTACTAGTGCCGATGTCACGTTTGAAGAATCTGTTCCATACTTTCCAGCACCTTCTCAGCCGTTGGATCTGGACTTTGGATCATCTCCTGAACCACCATCTTTTTCCTCATCTTCAAATATTTCTCTACCCACTGTGTTACCATCTACTTTACCTCTCCGTGTCTACTTTCACCGTCCTCGCCCATCGATTGAGGTGCCCGTACCGTCTTCCTTGCCGCCTTCTGATCCTGGTACATCAAGTAATTTAGACTTTTACCTATTGCTCTTCGCAAAGGTACTCGTTCGTGTGTCACTAATCATCTCATTTCTCATTTTGTTTCATATGATGCCTTGTCTCTTGTCTTCTCCTGTTTTACTTCTCAATTATCAGCTATATCTATTCCTAAACATTTATAGGAGGCATTATCTGATCCGAATTGGAGGAAAGCTATGGAGAAGGAGATGGATGCTTTACATCATAATGGGACTTGGGATCTCGTTCCTTTACCTCCTAGTAAACGAATTGTTGGCTGTCGTTGGATATATACTGTTAAATTTCATCTAGATGGTTTTGTGGAGCGTCTCAAAGCTTGACTTGTTGCGAAGGGCTTTACTCAGACTTAGTGTTGATTATGTGGAGACTTTTTCTCCTGTTGCCAAAATTTTCTCTGTTCGTATCTTGATTTCTTTGGCTGCTAACCTTGATTGGCCCTTTTTTTAGTTAGACGTCAAAAATGCCTTCCTACATGGTGATTTGGTTGAAGAGGTATATATAAGCAGCCACCTGGGTTTACTGCTCAGGGAGAGTATGGTAAGAGTGTATGTCGGTTAAAGAAATCTTTGTATGGTTTGAAACAGTCACCGAGGGTATGGTTTGATAAGTTTTCAGATGCAATTTTAGAGTTTGGCCTTCTTCGATGTCAGACAAATCATTCTGCGTTTCATAGACAGACAGATGCTAGATATGTCATATTGGTGGTCTATGTAGATGATATTGTGATTACTGAAAATGATTCTGAGGGGATTGCTAAATTAAAAATATTATTCCAAGATCGATTTCATACTATGAATTTGAGAAAACTCAGGTATTTCTTAGGTATTGAGGTGACTCGATCTAAATAGAGTATTTGTTTATCCCAGAGGAAATATGTATTTGACATGCTTGAGGAAACAGGTTTGCTGGGTCGTAGACCGATTGATGTTTTTATGGATTCGAATCAAAAATTATTGATGAATGATGGTGCATTGTTTGAGAATCCGGATTGATATCGCAGATTGGTTGGGAAGCTTAATTATCTCACTATTACTCAATCGAATATTTCCTATGCAGTCAATATAGTAAATCAGTTCATGGGATGTCCTA